AAGATCAAATCCCTGGAAAGAAAAGTTGACAAGCTTGGGCATTTGGAAGATAAAATTTCGTCATTAGCAGCAACGGTAGCTTTGAAGAGCGAGAAAATCGAAGAATTGGAACGGGAGATTAAAAGGGCTGCTGTAGAGGAAAATGGTGCAAAAGAGACTGTCTCCGTCAGAGCAGAAGTAAATAATGGGGAAAACCCTGCAGATCGGTCGTTGACAAAAAATAAGTTAAGAGGTAAAGAAAATACATTGTTTTATCTGTAAGAAGAAATTCGTTATCTTATGATGTTTTGAGAAGCGTGGACCCTATTCTCAAATTAACACTGCTATTAACGAAATACAGAGTAGATATTCGACTGTCAACTTATAAGAACTAGGAAGAAATATTGGCATTGTACATATAGTATCCGACAGGCGGTTTGCCCTAACTCTGAAAGTAGTCCATAGTCACACGTAATACTGCAGCATGTACGTGAAACCGTCCATCTATTCTTATTCAGTTTAGCCATTGGTCATTTAGCAATTTAGTGTCTGATTTTTTTTAAACATCTCTGGAATATGAACATATTTGATAGGGTAGACATAATAATAGCAGTCCAATGTCAAATATGAATTAAAAAGCAGTCTAAACAGCCGGTTCATTTTTTTGTTTTGTGTGTGTGTGCGCGCGTGCGTGTGTGTGTGTGTGCGTGTGCGTGTGTTAAATTGATCTGATCTTCACCAAGTCCATTTCTCCTTTCTTTTCACGGTTGACGAACCGGACAGTACAGTAAAATATAGTTGTACATAACTTTAATGTCAATTCTTTTATACATTTCAGGAATGCGACAAGTTGAAACAGTGGCGTTCTCCGCTGTAATGACACATGCTGTTCAGCACCTTGGAGACAAACAAACGATTAAATTCGACAAAGTACTTCTCAATGACGGTAGTGGTTATGTACCAAGTACTGGCGTCTTCACCGCACCTTTATCCGGGACCTACCTGTTTATTTATAACTTTGGACATCATGGTACAGGTGAAACCTGGCTGGAACTCGTGAAAAACGGAAATGTCCAGAATGCCGCTGCCGTTGAAGGTCATTTTGGAGGTCAAAACCTGCAGGGAGGTAATGCAGCAATCATTAGGGTGAATCAAGGAGACACGGTGTGGGTGGAGACATGGCAAGTGTCAGACGTGTCGGCACAGGATACATTCACTACATTTTCCGGGGTGTTTCTGTATTGAATATAAATTTTCAAAGATCAATTAAATATTATTTGGAAGTAACAAAGACTCTTTGAAGATTATGTTTGCACAACCAATTTTAGTGATTTACAAAATTTAATTAAGAACGTCTGCAAACTTGTTTTTTTGGTTCAAAATGTCAACAGTTTTTTCTGTATACACTGTAATATGGTGGCTGATTTGTGCCATTCGTGTTTTTGCCCCGTGACCCCGCCAAGCGAAAAGTCGAGAATTAACAACAAAAAAAAACGGCGGGGTCGCGGGACGAAAACACGCTAATTTGCGATTAAGTTTTATTTCTTTAATTTCCTCCCGCGCCTCCGCTAATTAGCGTGTTTTCTTCCCGCGACCCCGCCGTTTTATTTCTTAAATCTCGCTCCGCGCCCCCGCGGGACGAAGTTTTATTTATTAAACTTCGCCCCGCGCACTAGCTTATTTTAAGAAAGCTATCTCGTGGCCACGACTAAGTAACTCGTGACCACGACATAGAAGCTCGTGGCCACGACTTAGCTATCTCGTGGCCACGACTTAGTAATCTCGTAGCCACGACTAAGTAACTCGTGGACACGACTTAGTAACTCGTGGCCACGACATAGTATCTCGTGGCCACGTCTTAGCTATCTCGTGGCCACAACTTAGTAACTTGTGGCCACGACATAGTATCTCGCGGCCACGACTTAGCTATCTCGTGACACGACTAAATAACTCGTGGCCACGACATAGTATCTCGTGGCCACGAGATAAATAAAAACACACACATGTCACCTTAGTGCCACCGTACCTTTGTGCCACCGTAGATATTTCATTAATTTATCTAAAACAAAACAAAAATAATTCTTATGTCCCCTTTATGTCACCGTAAACATGCTATAATAACGTAGCGAAACTAAAATCGCGTGCGCACTATTAACTATCGCGTGCGCACGTAGTAGCTATCGCACGTGATAGATATTTCTTATGCCCCCTATATGCCATCGTACATGTTTCTACTGTCTGAAGGAAAATTTCTGCTCTGTTTGGTCGTAAATAACAACAATATTTTAGTGAATAAAATATATTCAGCATCGCAGCAAGCGATAAATATCACATTTTGGTGTCTGACAAAGTTATAGCTATAAATATTGCAGCTGATGCATTAGCACAATAAAAACCAAGGAGATCCGTATTCGATACTTGTTCCAATTGAAATTGCTTAACAATTTTTTTATTACATTTGTATATGACTTTCTGTTGGAAGAATGCTTGGACGGGTAAAACAGTGGGATCTGCAACTGACTACAAACCTGCTTTGTAACTAATATTGCAATTAAGTATTTTATCGCAGAAAATTTTGAAAGGGTATTTGAATGTGTCATATTGTGAAGTAACCAAAGGGAAGCCATTTACACATTATTAATGGCACTTACAAACCACGTAAATTACCAAAATGTGGTCAAAATATGCATAGACAGCCTTTACTGCGTTAGTAGAAATATAGTTGTAAATACTGAAAAATCACTGAAAAATCATTAATCGCACATAATATGAAAATATTTCTTGAATCTTGACACTTTTTACTTTTCCTTAAATCTTAGTACATTTTTCTCAAAATCGATTTTATTGAAATATTTTGAGTCATCTGGAGGCATATAGTTTTAAAAACCAGTCCAGATATTTCAGGAAAAAAACAGAAGATCAGATCAATGGAAACTTAATTAACATAAACACAGATGCAGGCACACCTAAAGCACACGTGCATACTTTTACATATTATACATTGTGTCATATACAATCACATGTAGGTATAAGATTTTAAATTAAAACATTTGATAATGTCTTATACATCGTAGGTCAATCTACATGAAATAGATAAGAAAAAAATGTGAACAGATTTTCCCTTTTAATTTAAATAGTTAACAGAATGCTAACCTTAAAGGTGTTTATAAGTGTGTGTGTAATTTTGTTAACGTTAGAAGATGTTCTAGCCGACAACGATGAAACAAAAGATGTGAAAAATCTGAATGGAATCAGCAGGGCTACTCTGGAAGAGATTGTTCTGGGTATGTCCGACAAGATCAAATCCCTGGAAAGAAAAGTTGACAAGCTTGGGCATTTGGAAGATAAAGTTTCGTCATTAGCAGCAACGGTAGCTTTGAAGAGCGAGAAAATCGAAGAATTGGAACGGGAGATTAAAAGGGCTGCTGTAGAGGAAAATGGTGCAAAAGAGACTGTCTCCGTCAGAGCAGAAGTAAATAACGGGAATCCTGCAGATCGGTCGCCTACAAAAAATAAGATAAGAGGTAAACAAGACATAATTGTTTTGTCCGTAACATAAAGTCCGTCATCTCATGTTTTGAAAAGCGTGGTCCATTCATTCGAATTTATACTGACATTGACGAAATACAGAGCATACACTTGACTGTAAACTTATAAATATGATACGAATAACTAGCAAGAAAATTTTAGTTTACATGTATGTGGTAACAGACAGGCAGTCGGAACATGACGTGAAACTGTCCGTCCATCCTAATTTAGCTGTGCCATTGGTCATTTAGCAATTATTGTCTGATATTTTGAAAATATCTAGCTCATGAACATACATGTAGTTGAAGGGGTAAAAATAACAATTACAGTACAATGTCAAATATACATTGTAAATGGAAAAGCAGTCCAAAATTAAAGCATCTGTTTTTGGGTTAAATTTATCTGTTATTCTTACAGAAAATTGCTCCTTTCTTATCCGGACAGTACAGTAAATTATAGCGGTAAATTTCAATTCTATATACATTTCAGGAATACGACAAGTTGAAAATGTGGCGTTCTCTGCTGTAATGTCACATGCCGTAAAACACCTTGGAGACAAACAAACGATTAAATTCGACAACGTACTTCTTAATGACGGCCATGGTTATGAACCCAATACGGGCGTCTTCACCGCACCTTTATCCGGAACTTATCTATTCACTTATAACTTTGGTCATCATGGCACTGGTGAAACCTGGTTGGAACTCGTAAAAAACGGAGGTGTCCAGAATGGCGCTGCCGTTGAAGGTCATTTCGGAGAGCAAAACCTGCAAGGAGGTAATGCAGCAATCATAAAGGTGAATCGAGGAGACACGGTGTGGGTGGAGACATTTCAGGTGCCAGACGTCACGGCACAGGGAACATTCACTACATTTTCCGGGGCGTTTCTGTATTGAATCTAAATTTTCCAAGATCTATTAAATATTATTTGGCAGTAACTTAGACTCTTTGAAGATCTTGTTTGCACCAATAATTTAGCGATTTACAAAACTTATTGAAGAACAAAATTGTTGTTCCGTTCAAAATATCAACTTTTTAACGATTTTAAATACCTATTTAAATACTAATCCTTTGGAAAAAAAAGTTACTAAAACAGTATTTTTTTTCGGTTGTCTGGATCGGGTTTCGAACCCAAGACCTCTCACGATATATGCAAACACCACAGGTTTCCAATATAGTTATCAGGAAAAGTCAGAAGCAAACAAAATGATTCCAAAAGGGTAAGGTTTGTTATTCTTCATATCTTTTTAGGGGGGTCGCCGCAGAAGGTATCATGCACGTGTCCGACGACGACGTTCCAAAAAAAATGAACTTGCTAGATAGCTTCCGTATACAATGTATAAGATTCCATAGAAATCGTGTTGGATTCGAACCCACAGCGGTGAGGGACCAGTGATTTATAGTCAACGACCATAACCACTTGCGCCCCTTAAATGTTTGAATTACAGAAAAATTCTAAGCAGGCTTAAAATGATATTATAATAATGCATTGAGAATACAATAAGAGGCGAGTAGATTTGTTATTTGTTTGGGTCGTCAGACCAAACAAATAACGGTGGCGAATTCAGACCCTGATAAGCTTATTTGCAAAAACTGAAAGTAGTCTAAACTCCTCGAAGCGGTTACTTCCTTTTATAAGTACAATAACGCCGAAAAATTAAGGGGAGATCAATGCGTAAAGATTGTCAAATGACAGGCGCATTAATTTTCAAGCCTTCAATGGGAAAGAAAAAATAGTTTCCGATTGGTCGAAGATTTCTAATATTGTGTAATTCTTTACAGATATACATGCTTATATAAAGCTCCATGATTATTTACATCAGTGTTAAACAACAGGTTTACCGTGAACAAAATATCTCGAAATATCTCGAAATTAATAAGGGTTACAAACCCTAATTTAAAATAATGTGGTTTTGTTCAGACTGTTGTCTTATAATTTCCCCGTGGTTGAGGGGTTATACGCTCGCTTGAGAAGTGAGAGGTCTGGAGTTCAAATCAAAGGTAGGGCAACTTTTTTTAAATTGTTTAAAGCAAATAAACATTGTAATTAGCTTTTATAGCCAATTTACTACAGTTACAACATTGGAAACAGCATTGGTGGCACTATAAAAAGAAAACAAATTGGTTTATAATCTCACAACCTTCACCTTTCTGACATTCTAAGACACAAACAAATTCAGCGTCATCTTTGCTTTGATTATTTGTTTGAAACATGATCGATGCTTTTCCATATACTCGTGTAGAATTGATTCGCGTTGACATGTAACGTATACAAATTGATCAGACAAAAATCATATAGATCTATTTTTGCCTTTTTGGGGGCATCATTTAGCCATATATTTAGTGACGTTTTTTTCACTACTTTCACAAAGATGAGTCATCTCAATTTGAGTCATCTCCATGACATTCGTGTATGTAACTTCCGCCAGCACCCTGCTAATGGGTGCGACTTCCTAATAACAAGGCGGACTTTGGAACAGGTTGAACCGTACCAATTAAATAACGAACGCAACACATCAAATATCTATACAGAACGGATGATATATCGTATAAATGAATATAAGAGCAATCGGAACATGTCGACTATTATCTGTAACAACCTCGGTTTTAGATGTAAACAAAAACATGACTTAATTGAGGTGGATTTTTACTGGATATTTTGGTATTAAACAAAAAAAATTGTCCAACAACATTGACCTGGCACTCTTGCATTTGACCCTGTAGTCGGTATATTCCGTAAACTTTACGATCTGCTTGTAAATCTATATGAATGTAAATATTGAATTGTTAAAATTGTGTAACTTAAAAATCCATCTTAGCGCAGTTGGTAAAGGACTTTCACTTCACTTGAAGAATGTAGACGTAATCTGGTAGTTCGAATCTGGTAGTTCGAATTCTATTACAGCAACTTGTTGTTGGTTTTTTTTTCATTTTAATTTTAAAATTATAATTAAAACTATTGCAAATCTTTTATTTGTGTGCACCATCAGTGTGGTATTTTTAATAATTGCCTTTATAGCGTGTATGCGCTAAATCACAAACGACTGCATAATGTCACAAAAAGAACCGTTGAAAGATACTGTTATAAAATAAAATATATGATTGTGTATAAAAACACCACGTAAAAGGTTTTTAAAACCAGGTCTTGTAAAACTATTTCAAATTAATTCTTGCAGGTAAATTAAAAAAAATAACGTGGTGTTGGTAAAGATTCGAACCATAGATCTTCAGATCGGTAATCCGACATCTATACCAATACACCACACTCTCTGACAAGTGAATTAAGCAAATATATTATATATGTATTCGGTAGATACTGGTCAGTGTTTATTCAAATGACCTTTACGAAAATTAATGAAGTGCCAGGTCAATATTGTTGGACAATATGAATTTAATCATCAACTACAAGCATGTTTACATGTTAAGTTTTCTTTGCGTAGATTAGACCGAAATACCTTATTCTTTCTGTGTTCAGAATTTGACGGAGAGGGTCCAGAGGAATCGATTGAGATAAGGGAAATGGTATTTCCATTGGAACTCCGATATAAGTATATTGTTGGAAACGTCATGTAAACGTTTTATGTTATCATCAACATGTCAGGCTAATGAACCGTTTGGTGGTCTTCTACATTTCTCCAATCAGTAATGATGACACTGCATTTTTCCATCACTGGTGTCTACTAAAATGAACATTTACACACATTCCACTCTCAGTAATGACTTAGAAAGAATTTGTTTGATTTTAGTAAACATCATATTTTTTATCAAAATGCAAATTGCGCTAGTATCTTTATTTTATTACAAAGATAAATCCAGAGCATTAAGTGGCGGCTCTCTCATTGCTTCGCCAAAAGTTTCTTAATAAATAGAGGACTTTTTCTTCTTTTCTTTGGTATTTTTGCCGACACCTAAACAGCACAAATAGAATAAGTCCTGAAAAAGATCTATGCAAGGATGTAGACAAATTGGACAAGTAGTAGTCGATGCTAAATCATTCACACAACAACTTAAAATGTGGGGAATGAACAAAAATAAAATGAAAAGACAAAGTATTTTTTTAAGAAATATTTGTTTTTTCTTTTTAATCTCATGTTCTGTAATGATTGATTATAAACAAGGAAATAAAATGTAAATGAGGTCTAAATAAACAAGAATTGAAACAAGACTAGCTTATATCTATATACAAAATATACAACGGTAGAAATTAGAAAGCAAATGTATTTGTGAAAACAAGTTAGTTATTGCATTGTACATATAACTTTTAACAAAATTAATCAATTCATATTTTATTACATGCTATTATAACGTTTTACATATTCAAAATAATTGTATAACCAAATAAAGAGGTTTACACTGAAGTGACACAACGCTAATTATATTGTATACTGGTATATGTATACTTGTTTACGTAGTTACATTTTCTTTGCAGACATATTAAGACAGTTTAATATTATTTGTTATATATTTGTATTCACGTCTGTACATCTTTTTGCACTGCTTAAATAGAAAATACAGGACTTTTAAAAGTTTAAGTGGTAGCAGCAACATACAAAGTTAAAACCTGCAGCCCAACCTACAGAAACCTGGAAAAAAGGTCCTCGGAAGCATTAATCACAACAAAATTACATGAAAATTGCAGACACTGTTTGATTAAGTCTATACATATTGCAGATCTATACAAGAGGGATAATGAAAACGTGCAACATCCCTCATGCCCCCAAGCACCGGCTTGATTGGTACTCAATTTTCAACACTTAAAAGTGCTGGAATCAGGTTTTCATGTTTGTCAATAAAAGCTCTATATATACCGAAAGCTACTAAACTCTTGTACCCCAGAAATTTATTATGAGACAGTTCAACAATTAAATGAAGATCAAGTCTGTTTATAAATTTCAGCATGGTAAGGAATTACAAATCAACTTCACCCAAAGATAGTTGTTGTTTTACAAAACATAAAAGTATCAGCTTAGCAAGATATAAAACAATTTCAAATATTCTTATATTATAAATATACAGGGATTGTTTAATTCAAAACAAGATATACTAGTATTCACTATTCATTAAAAACAAAACAATAAACATGTTTTTTTTATCAGTATATAGTGTTCAAAAATAATTACCACAGTAAGTTGATATATCCTTTACTTATTTCACTAATTTAATCGGATATTTCATTAATTTATCTAAAAAAAGCACAATGGAAACATAAATGAAGTTAAATGACTTCATACAATAACAATTTTTTTAATAGGAAAAAATACACATTCATATGTTTCAATTTTGATGAGTTTTAGATGATAGCTTAAATAAAATATGAGATGAATGATATATAAATGTGTAGGTTATCAACACTGAATTCTTCAATGTTATACAGCAGGGGGTATAATGTGGTTATACTGCTTATATATAACATACTTTAATACAAATATGAAATATTTTATTATTCCAGTAGAAAAGAATCTGTACATATCTACATAGTTATTTCATAATATAAGAGATCAAGGGAAATAACTATCTTCAGACAGTGTAATCAGCAAAACTTAATAAACATTCATACAGTAACACACGGTAACTAGTAACACAAGGTAACTAGTACACAGTTACTAGTAACACACAGTAAATAACTAGTACCACACAGTAACTAATAACACATGGTAACTAGTATTACCAGGTAACTAGTAACACACAGTAACTAGTATAACCAGGTAACTAGTACCACAGTAATTAGAAACACACAGTAACTAGTATTACCAGGTAACTAGTAAGACGCAGTAACTAGTATTACACCTTAATTTGTAACACATGGTAACTAGTAACACACGGTTACTAGTAACATACAGTAACTAGTATTACCAGGTAACTAGTGACACACACTAACTAGTATTACATGCAAACTTGTAACACATGGTAACTAGTAACACGCAGTAGTAACTAGTATAACACCTTCACTAGTACCACACAGTTACTACTAACACATCACATACAAATGTAAATGATATATCTACACAAACAAAGAAACTGGGGTTTTAATTACAGCTGCCTTGGATTCAAGAACACATTTTTACAATATCTAAGAACTTACTTTAAGTTGCTAAGCATGTAACACAATCAATATAAACAGAGGTTAGCATTCATTAACCGTTCACCTTCACAAACTCAGTGATTTAAACTTTAGAACCAGTATAGAGCCAGGCCAGCCTGTACTACTGCCAAGTCTGACCAGGCTTTAAACTGTTGACTGACTAACTCACAAGTCGTTTTTAGAAATTCAGCAGGTCAGGAATCTCCTTACGTCAATACTAACATCAGTAACAGTCATTATTTAAATACACATGAAGACAAATCAATTTACATGTACTTAACATAATTGATGGTCGTAGATTAAAGAATTAACACATTTTGAAAATTTCAAATGCTTTTCCACCTTCGTTTCCAATCTTAGGCTTACATCATACATTGGATATTGTATATATAATTATTCAGTCTAATATAATTAAAAGTTAAATATCACTAATAACTTCTTCAAACATGCTTTATTAGTATAACTTATAATAAAGCGCAACTTTTAACATAAAATTAGAGCTCATATATTATGTATTTAAATGAATGCTTCAAATGTTTCAACTAATTTTTAGTTTGAAAAAAATAGAGAATTGTGTAGTATTTCAATTTTGTTATCATAAGATCTTCTGACAGGTAACCTGACTATGCGTAAATAGTTGAAGCTTATATAACTTGAGCCATATAACTTAGCTAAGTAATTTGTCAAAAAAAACCCAAAAAACATACATAACTAATTAAATATCAAAGCTCTTTACTCAAAGAAACCATTGTGATTCCAAGATAGAAAAGAATCAAATGATAACATAGAAGGGTCTTAGTAACAGCTATATAGCACATAAATTTGTAGATAATAACACTTGCAACAGTACAATATCTACTGACAATTTTACCATTAATTCCCTGAATAAATGTTCAAATGTTTCAGTAAAATCTGATTTCATAATATGCATATACACATGAATTCTTTTCCTTATATCAAACAAATAGAGAACACATTTTATTATGGCAACAGTCGCACTGAAATTCTCACCATCACAGGCCACTTACTAGCACAGAATTTGTAAGCTTAATTTTACTCAGCTTGATCAACAACACACCTCTGTCAAAGAAGACTTTCCAATATAAACTCTGAATTTCAAAATGTGCAAAAGATAAATCATCACACAGTATGCATAACATCCACTCATAGGCTGGAATTTATACAAAGCATTTTCACTTAATTACAGAACTACTGTCAATTTGTAAGGAATCTTCCAATTGGCTGCCTTAATCACATTGCTTTCTAATCTGCTAGACTCGCCATGTTGCAATACAAATTTGTATAAGATCCCTTTAACTGGTTGCCATCTCCATTTTGTGTTGTCACTTTGTAAGGTCTAATTGAATGGCCTAACAATATTGCATTGAATATAAATTGCTAGCCTAACAATGTTGCATTGTCAATTTGAAAGGGAACTTCTAATTGGTTGGCCTAACAATATTGCATTGTCCATTTTTGTAAGGAATCTAAATGGCTAGCCTAACAATGTTGCATCAGATCTTCTAATTGGTTTGCCTGACAATATTACATTGTCAATTAGCAAGGTATATAAATGGTTGGCCTAATAATTTTGCATTGTAAATTTGTGTAGCATCTACCAACTGGCTACCCTCACAATGATACACTGTCCAATTGTTTAGGAGTTTCTAATTTACTTGCTTCACCCCACTGATCACTGTTCATAAAGTCACCTTCATGGTCCATCAATGCATCACCAGTAGAACTTCTTACTTCATCTTCATCACTTGAAGATTTCTGACCTGGAGTAACTGTACATGAAACAATCCTACTGCCACTCTGAACAGTCTTTGTAGGAGTGTCTTCAATAGAAATAGGTTGAGCACAATGAGAACCTTGCTGTTCATGAGTAGTTTTAATAACATTGCTTGTTTCAGCATTTGATTGTATGGTAGTAATGGTTGTATTGCTGGAAATGTTATTAGTAATTAAGGAACCACCTGTTTTAGCAGGGCTAGATTCTTGTTGATTGCCATCATCATCATTGTTATGAAGTTTGCTGGATACTCCATCACTAACCTTGTTATCTTTCACTTTATCATTTTCAGATTCTTGATCTTCAAAAGTGTCAGGATTATGCGCAGCAGATGGAATAGACACTCTAAAACTACTCTCATCATATTGGTGTTCAATTTGATTTTCAAGGAGACTGATATATGATAAAACTTCCTTTTTATCACCATTACTTTTGACAATTTGCACAGTTGTAATGTTTCCAGCCTCTGATTTTACAATCTTGTCTTTACCTGGATTATAATCTGCCACACGCACCAGTTTACTCTCTGGTAGTGGAATTTCTTGAAAATTTCCTGGACGCAACTGCTTATATTCAAGGACAGAATCATTTTCTTCCAAATCTAACACCTCAACTGGCTCATTTTTCTTCTTAGTTTTTGTATGGATTAATACAGACTTTTCAACACTCTTTAGAAAATTTCTTAAAATGGCTTCAGGTACTCCGGATTCCACGAACGAATCTGAAAATAAAATAAGAATATTTACCACACCTTTAAACTTTACAAAATGTTACACTTCAGAAGTCTTATAAAGCAAGAGGGACTTGATGATAGCCCTTACAAGATATTGTCTACATCTGCAAGATTTATTTACCTAGTTATTCCTGGTTTGGAACAATTTGAACATTTTTTTTTCTTTTCTTACTTTTGGAGGGGGAGGGGGGCAGGGGCATATGGCCACTACCAAGCTTTACTGGCAGAGAAAGACCTCGGGTGCCCTTCTGTGCATTATTTCAGGCACAAACAGGCACCTGAGAAGAATCACAGGCAATCCATAAGCTTGCTTGACAGCACTCTTTCATGAAAGAATCAAAAGTCACTGGCAAGACTTAAACCTGTAGCAGTAAGGGGCAAGTGGTTTCAAGCCAATAACCTTAACCACTCAGCCATGGATGCCCTCTGAGAATTTTTTGTAGAAAACTAACTTAAAGAAAGTTGTTTAAGTTTTGATGTTTTTTTCTTCTTTTAGCTCTTGTAGCCATTTTGTTTAGCAAACTGAATTATTATTTGAGTTGCGTCATAACAAAACAAGAGCACCGCTAGGCGGAGCATTATATGCCCGAAAGTGTTTTTTTTTTTTTAATAAGGATGAAGCATTTATAAGACATGGGAATTAGCTGTTCATCCTATAAAATTTTACAGCTGTAGGTTGATTAATACTTAAGTTATTAATAATGAACTTAACCTTTGACCTTTTGACCCCAAAATCAATAGGGGTCTTCTACCTTATATGGACAATCATCCTAAAAAGTTTGAATATTGTTGGCCAATTGGAACTTTAATTATGCTCTAGAAACTGTTTTCAGTATTAAGGTAAAAGTGACATTGACCTTTGACCTTGTGACCCATAAATCAATAGGGGTCTTCTACCCAATATGGACAATCATCCTACGAAGTTTGAATATTGTGGGCCAAATGGAACTTACGTTATGCCCCGGAAACTGTTTTTGGTTTTAAGGTAATTGTGACCTTGACCTTTGACCTAGTGACCCCAAAATCAATAGGGGTCTTCTGCCCAATATGGACAATCATCCTATGAAGTTTGAATATTGTGGGCCAAATGGAACTTAAGTTATGCTCCAGAAACTGTTTTCAGTTTATAGGATATAGTGACCTTGACCTTTTGACCCCAAAATCAATAGGGGTCTTCTACCTAATATGGACAATCATCCTATGAAGTTTGAACACTGTGGGTCAAATGGAACTTAAGTTATGCTCCAGAAACTGTTTCCAGTATCAATGTAATAGTGACCTTGACCTTTGACCTTGTGACCCCAAAATCAATAGGGGTCTTCTACCTAATATGGACAATCATCCTATGAAGTTTGAACACTGTGGGTCAATTGGAACTTAAGTTATGCTCCAGAAACTGTTTACAGTATCAATGTAATAGTGGCCTTGACCTTTGACCTTGTGACCCCAAAATCAATAGGGGTCTTTTGCCCAATATGAACAATCATCCTATGAAGTTTGAACTTTGTGGGTCAAATGGAACTTAAGTTATGCTCCGGAAACTGTTTTCAGTATCAAGGTAATAGCGACCTTGACCTTTGACCTTGTGACCCCAAAATCAATAGGGGTCTTTTACCCAATATGAACAATCATCCTATGAAGTTTGAACTTTGTGGGTCAAATGGAACTTAAGTTATGCTCCGGAAACTGTTTTCAGTATCAAGGTAATAGCGACCTTGACCTTTGACCTTGTGACCCCAAAATCAATAGGGGTCTTCTACCTTATATGGACAATCAACCTATGAAGTTTGATCATTGTTGGTCGAATGGAACTTAAGTTATGCTCCGGAAACTGTTTTCAGTTTTAAGGTCATAGTGACCTTGACCTTTGACCTTTTGACCCCAAAATCAATAGGGGTCTTCTACCCAATATGGACAATCATCCTATGAAGTTTGAACATTGTGGGCCAAATGGAACTTAAGTTATGCTCCGGAAACTGTTTTCAGTTTTAAGGTCATAGTGACCTTGACCTTTGACCTTTTGACCCCAAAATCAATAGGGGTCTTCTACCCAATATGGACAATCATCCTATGAAGTTTGAACATTGTGGGCCAAATGGAACTTAAGTTATGCTCCGGAAACCAAATTGCTAACAGACGGACGGACGGACGGACGTACGTACGTACGTACGGACGGACGGACAGACAGACAGACAGACAGACAGACAGACAGACGGACGCCAGGGGGTATAACATAATATGCCCTTTCGGGCATATAAAAAACATAGTGCTTTTGCGACCAGCATGGATCCTGACCAGCCTGCGCAACTGCACAGTCTGATCAGGATCCATACTGTTCGCTTACAAACCCTATTACAAGTACATAAACTGATAATGAACAGCATGGATCCTGATCAGACTGCGCGGATGCTCAGGCTGGTCTGGATCCATGCTGGTCGCAAACCCATTATGTTGGTTTTGTCATGACGCGGCTCATTTCATGTCTGAACTTGTAACAAATACATAGCATATTAAGAGCACTGTGGATTTAAATATTTGATTTAATCTAATTTAAATATTCATATACAGGACATATACAATGTAGTCAATTTTGTTCACTTAGCCTTGTGGGAGCTTTCAAATTTCAAAAGCTGAGGATTATTTTTAAAGTTTTCTTTAAAAGCAACACAAGTAGAAAACAAACTTCTGTTAATTGATTTAAAAAAAAACACCCTAGAAATATGAAACCCAGCTATCATTGAATAATCATACATAAATTTAGATTAATTTAGATTTAAAGCTATATGCCCCAAAATGAGCCAAGTTATTTCAAGAAAATCAAATTTAAGACAAATGTACTAAGATCTTAAAACAAGAGGGCCATGATGGCCCTGAAGTTGCTCAACTGTATTTAGGCCCCCGGAGCCGGGCCAGTTTAAACCCCAGGGCTTTTATTTGAATAAACTTGGTAGACACCAATTAGAAGATGTTTCATGCTAAACATCTAAGGTCTAGCTCGTTGGATTTTTTAAAGTTTTTTCTTTACACACATAGTAAAAAAAACAATGACACCCCTGGGGCAGGGCCAGTTTTTGACCCCAGGGCTTTATTTTGAACAATCTTTGTAGAAACTTACTAGAAAATGTTTCATGCTTAATATCTAAACTCTAGCTATTCAGGTTTTTTCAAAGAAGATTCTAAGTTTTTGCTAAATACATATAAGGAAAATGAATGTCCCCGGGGCTGGGCCAATTTTGACCCCAAGGCTTTTATTTGAACAAACTTTGTAGACAATCACTAGAAGATGCTTCATGCTTAATATCTAAACTCTAGCTATTTGAGTTTTTTTCAAAGAAGATTTTTTTAAGTTTTTGCTATATACATATAAGGAAAATGAATGACCCCCGGGGTGGGGCAAATTTTGACTCCAGGGCTTTTATTTGAACAAACTTTGTAGACACTCACTAGAAGATCTTTCATGCTTAGTATCTAACTCTAGCTATTTGATTTTTTTCAAAGAAGATTTTTTAAGTTTTTACTTTACACATATAAGGAAAATCAATGACCCCCAGGGCAGAGCCAATTTTGACCCAAGGGCTCTTATTTGAACAAACTTGGTAGACATCCATTAGAACATGTTTCATGCTCAATATCTTAGCTCTAGCTCTTTGATTTCTTTAAAATAAGATTTTTTAAGTTTTTCTTATATGCATAAAGGGAAAATCAATGACCCCCTGGGGCGGGGCAAAAGAAAAGACCAAACCTCCTTAAGTTTGTACAGAAGTAAAATGATAAAGACATGGCTTTTCATAGAAATACACATTTATCATAAAATTACCTATTTGTTGCTTTAACTTAGCTTCCAATGTTTTCTCATACTGCTGCCCATCTTCAATACATTCCCTCAGCAATTCTTCTCGCTGGCCTAATGCAGATATTAGATTGATGCCCTGTAACAATGGAAAAAAAAACCCAACATGTACTCATCTACATCATGTTCAAATTGCACATGTACAGGGCTCATGATAAGATGCTTATACACGTAAATTACGCATGGAAATTTCACATTTACACATTCAAAACAAAATTTAAGCGTATGGAAACGTACACAAAATTCAGGTTACGCATTGAGCAACATTTCTTTTGAGTAAACGTAACCGAAAGTAAACTCGGTGATTATCTTATTTTTAATTTCTTCTGTGTCGCTGTCAAAAGTTCAAACGATTGACTCGTATTTTCAGCCAAAAAAAAAATCGACCCAAAAGTAATTGTGAAGGTAATAAATAATTAATGAAATAATTAGCGCTGCCACGTATGAGCAACAGAAACATGCCTCAGGTTCAGATAAAATGTATGCCGTTTAGAAATGCAAGATTATAAACCAAGGGAGTCCAAAAAGTAAAAGAAATGACTTTGACATATCTTGTATTACAATTATAACAAGAATTTGTAACAGAGTTACCAACATCCCCCGCCTCGGGAAGTTTTATATGAAGCATAAAATTGTGCTATTTCAAAAGATTGAGGTTATAATGGATCTCAGGACATTTACTCCAAAATTATGATCAATGCTAGATCTGCAAATGTACAGTAACAATGAATTTGTTAAAAAAATAAAATGAAACACGGAATTTAAAAATCTATCATGTTAAGCTTTGACCTCTTAGTGTGACCTTGACCTTGGAGGTAGAGAGCAGGTGTTGTGCATGACATAACGTCTTATTATTGAGACTATTTGTGCCAAGTATTTTCAAAATCCCTTGAACTATGAAGAAGTTATAGATTGGACACAAAATATACCCTTATAATAACAGACTATGTAAATCTTTGATCTCTAAGTGTGACCTTGACCTTGGAGGTAGGGACACAGATGTTACGCATGACATATCATCTAATCATTGGGACTATTTGTCCCAAGTATTTTCAAAATCCCTTAATCTATGAAGAAGTAATGGACGGGACAAAAAATATACCAAATAACAGACTCTGTTAACCTTTGACCTCTAAGTGTGACCTTGACCTTGGATGTAGGGGTGCAGGTGTTGTACCTTACATATTGTCTTATTATGGTGACTATTTGTGCCAAGTTATTTCAAAATCCCTTGAACTATGAAGAAGTTCTAGATTTGACACAAAATATACCCTATAACAGACTATGTTAATTTTTGACCTCTAAGTGTGACCTTGACCTTGGAGGTAGGGATGCAGGTGTTGCGCATGACACATCCTCTTATTATAGTTACTTTTTGTGCGAAATATTTTCAAAATCCTTGGATCTATGAAAAAGTTATGGACCGGACACGAAATATACCCTGTAACAGACTATGTAAGTATTTGACCTCCAAGTGTGACCTTGACCATGGAGGTAGGTGACCATTTTTTGCGCATGACACATCATTTGATTGTTGTGAACAATTATGGCAAGTATTTACAAAATCCCTTCATAGATAAGAAAGTTATGGACAGGACACAACATATACCCTCAAATAGACAATGTTGACCTGGAATGAGCAAGTACGACCTTGACCCTGGAGGTAGGGGTCTGGTTGTTGCGCATGACACATCGTCTTATTATAACAAACATTTGTGCCAAGTTATCTCAAATTCCTTTGATAAATGACCAAGTTATAAACCGGACACGAAATATACCCTGTAACAGACTATGTTAATATTTGACCTCCAAGTGTGACCTTGACCTTGAAGATAGGTGACTGGTTTTAGCGCATGACACATCGTCTGATTATTGTGAACAATTATGGCAAGTATTTACAAAATCCCTTCATAGATAAGAAAGTTATGGACCGGACACGACATATATCCTCAAATAGACAATGTTAACCTTGAATGAGTTGTTGCGCATGACACATCCTCTTGTTATAACAAACATTTGTGCCAAGTTATTTCAAATTCCTTTGATAAATGACAAAGTTATGGACCAGACACAAAATATATCCTGTAACAGACTATGTTAATATTTGACCTCCAAGTGTGACCTTGACCTTGAAGGTAGGTGACTGGTTTTTGCGCATGTCACATCGTCTGATTATTGTGAACAATTATGGCAAGTATTTACAAAATCCCTTCATAGATAAGAAAGTTATGGACCAGACAAGACATATACCCTCAAATAGGCAATGTTGACCTTGAATGAGCAAGTGCAACCTTGACCCTGGAGGTAGGAGTCTGGTTGTTGCGCATGACACATCGTCTTATTATAATAAACATTTGTGCCAAGTTATCTCAAATTCCTTTCATAAATGACAAAGTTATGGACCGGACACAAAAGTGTGACGGACGGACGGACAGACAGACGGACGGACGTTCTCACAGGACAGTAATTATGTGGCTACTCTACTGTTCTCTCTATTGTTCATTTTAGCCACGCAAAAGAAAATAGCCACATAAAAGCATTACGGAATGAATGACATCAAAGAGAACCTATTGTCCCTCTAGCCACATAATTACTCTCCTGTGAGTGCGGACGGACAGACGGACGGACAGACGGACGGAGCCTATTTCTATATCCCCCTTTTTTCTTCGAAAAGGCGGGGGACAATAATGCAATAAACATGGAAGCATAATAAATGTTTTACTCTTTTACATACATTTCAAGGAGTAAAATTACTACTGCCAAATTTAAGATTTCAAGTTTTACTCATTCACAAAAAAATCAATGAGTAAATACTCATTGCCCTAAAACATTATCTGGAGCCCTGTCCTGTAGTGATCTAAACAAACAATAACTCTGTGAATATGAGAAAAACAATATGCCCTAAGATAGTCAGATAGACATGTATGGATTGATTCCAAAATTTTTTTCTCCAAGGTGCAGTAGTCCATGTGGGGAGATGTGGCCTAGTGGTTAAGGTGTCTGCCTCCCAACCCAGAGATCATGGGTTCTAGCTCTACTCGGGTCACTACCATGTTTCTTCATATGACACCAGTACTGGTTGGTTTCAAGAAGCGCACTCGAAAGTGATTAATATCATATAGTTGCAATAAATTGTTTCGCAATCGAGCTTTAATAAATATGTTTAAACCGAACCATGTGTTTTTAATATATCAATTTAAATAGCAATGAAGTTGTACTAAAACCTTGCATCTCTTTAGAAGTTTTTAAACAACATGTAGTAAATATAATGCAATAAAATTTCAGTAGCCATGGGAATTTTGCTATTTTCTGAGATTTCTGGTTACTTGCCTCTACACTCAATAAGTTAGGTACAAACTATCACTAGACTAAAACTACTAATCTACCAGAATAAATAAAGTCATAATTGAGCCGGGCCATGACAAAACCAACATAATGGGTTTTGCGACCAGCATGGATCCAGACCAGCCTGCGCATCCACGCAGTCTGATCAGGATACATGCTCTTTGCTATCAGTTTCTCTACTTGTTATAGGGTTTGTAAGCGAACAGCATGGATCCTGATCAGACTGGGCAGATGCCCAGGCTGATCTGAATTCATGCTGGTTGCAAACACACTATGTTGGTTTTGTCGTGATGCGGCTCATATCTTTATCAGGAATATAATATTGATCTAATCATTAGATTTATACCTCTTGTAAGATAGCATGTCTCGGAATTCTTCCATAGTACCTTTGTAATGAACTGTTGTACTTAAACACGACTTTCTCCAAGTAAGTGAACAGGTCACGTAACTCTATACGACGGTATTGTTCCTTCCTTATTTTACAAGTCTTTCCTACAAAGGAATCTATGGCGGGACCTTCATATTCTTCACTCTAAAATTCATAAACAACACAATTTATATATGAACATAGTAGTGACATGGAAAATTTTATATAATACACAATAGGCCATATCTTTATTGTAAATTATTTCAATAAATTTTAAAATTGATGTTGAATAGAAATATCATGATTTTGCTTCTACGCTAAAATGATATCAAGAATTAGTGTTGTATCCCTTTATTGCACTATTGCAAATACTCCCTATTTGTTAACTCATGAATGAATGTTATTAATATTGGTAGTAAAGAGGAACTATATTGATTATATAAGTACATTTTTACAAATTATTGCATTTTGTTTATACATGTATCTTATTAAAGCATTATGACAATAATATTTGAAATAATATAATTATTAGAAAAATATTTAGTGAATCATTATTTCATTGTTTGACAATTTGAGGCACAGACAGGCACCCAAGTAGAACCACCAATCTTTCATAAGCTAGCTTCCTCACATGTCCTTTTATTGAAAGCCAAGTGGTTTGAAATCAACAGCAACCTTAAAAACTTTGCCATGTACGGTCCTATATTTACCATGTGCCGTAAAATTCCTAATAAACACCCCTCCCCTAATAAAGGCCCCCCAAGCCTTTTGATAAGGTAAACAATCTACTCATCATTGCTGAACTCATAATTAAAGACATAATTTTATTCAAATCATTCAGAATCCATTTTATTTTAATGCAAACACAAATATGTATAATATGAACTTTTAACACTTTTTAAAATTATTTCCAACACTTGCTAACACTAAATGTATTTACAGTGATTTTTGGATTAAGGAAAAACTGTGTTGTAATAACAGCCCCCCTTTTGGAAAATGTTAAGCCCCCAGGGGCGTTAATAGGATTTTACGGTATTCAATACACAAGAAAATAAATACATAAAAAACAGAAACTTACCGTTCTGCATTTCTTGATCTGAAAATCATCGTGTGGCATTATGGTGAGCTGAGATTTACGCTTGCTACCCGTTGGTACAGCTGTACTAAAACTTGGATCCTGAGTGATGTATATATCAGGACAGGGGTCTAACATGTCACATGATGTCACATCCACATCGGATTCCTAGATGACAAAAAAAATGTTGTAAATTTTTTTTTATATTTTAAAGACATATGTGCATAGGCATGGCTACACAGTCATGATAAAACAGTTGATCTACAAATAAAAGAAAAAGCCTGGATATGTTTTTATTTATTTTTTTGCCTTAAAGGATTTTTTGATAACAAACTTAATACCCTCATACAGAAAGGTCTGAGTCTAGCAAGTAAAGCAGATCTACATGCAGAAAATTTGTTAAGGGCCATCATTTTATTTTTTCAATAAACAATTATGTTCATTCTTCCAAAATTTTGTTGTTTTGATGGAAAGCCTCCTGATACAGACTATATTCCTCGAGCTGTAACTGTGATGTATATGCATGTTCATGATTTACTGAACTTACAATAGACAGTTGCTATTATTTGCATAAATAGCAGAGAAAAAAAAAAGGCTGTATAATGCTTGTAAAGACATCGCTAACATTCTTAATATAATTACATCAAACATTTACTGGCCAGTAACAGAAGAAATCTTTGGTTGTTAGTGTGTCTTAAAAACCAATGGCAACTAAAATTTCTAATTTTCCATTTATTTATTTATTTTTTTTTTGGGGGGGGGGGGGGGACCTTTTTATACTTAATTTTACAAAAATAGATAACAAGAAAATTTGATGAAGTATATTATTGAAAAAGATATTGTAAATTTTTAAACATATTTTGTAAAATTCCTTGCTAATCAAATGAAATATACCCATATACTGAAACCCTTACCTCTGATTCGTCAATCTTAATAGCCCCTTTCTCTCTAGATTTTGATCTATTTCTGTCATTCTGTTCATTTTCCATATAATCTTCCATCATCTGTATTTCTTGCTCCCAATCAATACTTTCTATTTCTGGAGTTTTTCTGTCAGTTTCTGGAGTTTTTCTGTCAGTTTCTACTGAACTTTCATTATTTGACTTTCCACTTTTCATAAATTCACTTGCTTTGAGTTTAGCACTTACTTTTGGTTCATTGTGTTCATCTATCAGTACACATTCTTCATCACTGTCATCAAGCACTACACATTCTGAATTTGATTTGGAATCATTTTTTATTATTTGGTTCTTTTCCTTACTTTGGGTAAAAAGATCAATATTAACACCTCCTTCTGTATCAGATTTGTTTATAAGCTTTAAAGCATTTTCAATTTCAATTGCCGCATTTTTAGCTACATTTAACGCATCAGTGAGCTCACTCCCTTCTATTGCATTATTTTCTGTAGTTTGGGGTTTCTTACTTGCATTTTCAGTTAAAGATTCATTACTTTTGTCATCTAATGCATCTGTATCAGTTTTTATCACATTGCTATGAGAGGAGAGAGATTTTGTACAACTTATTGAAGTGTTCTTATTACCAATGTCAGTTTCATTTTCTACATTCACACATTTATTATTTCCACTATTTGATTTATCCAATACTTCTTCCATTTTTTCAAGCTGTACCTTATCAACTTTAGAAATCACAGTCTCAGATATGTTAGATGCTGGCTTACACACACCATTCTCTTCACTATTTTGTGGTTTGTCAGTTGTGTCTTTGCATTTCATTTTAGAAGTAACAGTTGACGCTACATGTTCTTTATTATTCAATGGAATACCACTGTCTGAAACTGGAACAGCAAATATTAATGGACTGGTTGAATTTTGCCTGGACAATGGTGGACCAGCACCAGGCAGTTTTCCAACTTGCGGATTCACAACATCGTTCCCTGATGTGTTTGGCCCAGTTGAACAAGGCATTACTGTAGAAGTAACTGGAACCAGTAACATATGCTTCCCCCTCGTATCTGGCATAACTGTAAAGGGCATTGAAGCTACTTTTGGCATGCCAATCATATCGCTTCTTGGTATCCCATAATTAAAATTTCCAGGGCATATACTGGAAGTACCAGATGACACTGTAGCACCGTTTAAGATTGGAAATGTTACACCAGCATTGTCTGAAGATACTACAGTTCCCAAGTTTGAAATATTTTTTAATGGTAAACCTGGTAACACAGAACTGCTTGGTAAAGACACTGAACCTACATACTGAGGAAGTTGAAAGGCAGGTCTCAAGACAGGAGCGGTCCCATTCATAAATACACCAGAAGTCGATGGAACTGGCATTAGTAGGTTAGGGACTACTGTACCCTGATGAGTTCCTGACATGTTTGGACTTTGAATATTTAGAGTATTTGCAGGTTGAGTTGAAGGCAATGATGTTGCAGAGTTTAATAAGGGTTTAACTACTGAGTACCCAGACATTTGAGATGTATTAGGAAGGACAACAGTTCTGATAGGTGTTCCTCCCATTGTCTGCTGTGTTGCTGAAAAAGGAACCGGTGAACCGTCTCTATTCAAAACTGGCTGCATAAAAGTAACTTTAGCTCCAGGAGGTAGGTGCATATTTTTGTCAAGTGGCATCAACACAACATCTGTTGGGGAAAGCTTTGAGCTGCCACTTTGACTAACATTAGTTACTGGATGAATTTTTGAGGCACTTAAAGATCCTGCAGGTACTTGTGACACAGAAGGAGCTGACGTACATTCAAACTTTTTCACATTTTCAATATTATCCATAAACCCTTTACCTTGATTAGGTTTAACTTGATTAGATTTAGGAGTATGTCCATGAATCACAATATTTCCTACTGATTTAACTGGAGCACTACTAGGAGAAGAATCTTCTTGTTGAAAGTTTGCAAGGTTTATAAAACTATGATGGCTAGAAGTTGGCCCTGATGCTGTCACAATAGTAACACCTTGATTTGACTGAATGCGTTCAAGTGTTCTTGATGACAATGACTGGGCCTTTGTATTTACAGCTTCTGCAGCTGGCGTATCACTAGTACCAAATTTGTTTGCTCCAGCAACTTTTGCAGCATGAAGTGCTTGTTTCAGCTGTTGTAAAGTGAAGTTGCTGCTACCTGTATAAGCTTTCCATAACTGTGTCTTATACTTCTTCAAAGCCTTCTCTATACCCTCCCTTGATACAGAAAACTTTGAAGTGACCACTCCCCTCTGCTCCTCTAAAATAAGCTGATTTCTCAATCTTTCAGCAAACTTTATCTTGTCGATTAGTTTCTTCTGTAACTTCATATTGATCTTTTTCTTATCCTCGGCAGATGCTTCTTTGCCTTTAGAATCTTCCTGATCAACATCCACAACAGCAACACTGTCATCAGCTTTCTGCACCTTGTCATCTTTATTAATATTATTAGTTACCTTTATTCTAATAGAAAACATTTCACTGGGGAGTTTGGATTTCAGTTCTGGCGGTATAATGGCTGGTTTTTCGGCTTTTGGTAGAAATTCCAGTAAATATGCACCCCAAGGAATAAATGTGCTCTTAGCTGCATCACACATGTACTCCTTGGAGATTATGTGAGAGATTTTAGACAGCATGTTTGTTCGGTCTATCTCCCAATTACAGTTGGACATAATCTCTAAAAGTTTGATCTCTGACTGTGGATCTTGAGATTTATCATCAGATTTCTTCTTGGCTTTAAGGCACACCATTTGTGTTTTCCATTTAGCTTCAGCAGCTTTATCTTGAAGATTGTTCTGTAAAATTCAAAATTTTACAATTCATTTAATTCCAAATCTAATTCGTACATGTTTTAGGAATTAAGATTTATATATGGCAATATTTATTTGATCTGTATTTGTGACATAATATTTTTCAACTGTTATAACACATCATTTAATGCAAGACTCATTTCCTTATAATGTTGTTTTTACTTATGAAACCAACTGTAAAGGATTACAGAACCTTATTAGCACTTTCACGACCCATGATATTAGTTTTTATCAGTACTTAAATAATGACATTGATTTGTTTTGATCGGATATCAAGTCATATCAATAAAGTAAAAAGTGATATGGCGACTTTCCAGTTTTACCGGTGGAGGCAGTCTTCATGTGCCCATCCAGGCTTATATTTAGCATGTAAGTAGAACCATCGATATTTTTTAAGATAGCTCTATAGCTTCCTCACAGGAAAGAATCATAAGTCCCTGATGGGATAAGAACTGACAGGCATGAGTGGCAAGCTATTTGAAACCAACAACCTTAACCACCTGACCATGGATAGAACCTCTCACGTGACAAACATGTACTAAAAATAGCAAAAATAACTGCAAGAAGACCACAATGCCTTCCTGTCTGTCAAAATATTACCCAAAATTAATTTGTATTGACCAATTTATTAGTTCGCAACCTAGAAAAATATACACCATTTAAATGAAACAAGCAGACAGAAATTATCTCTTATTAAATTAACTAGCATAAGCTTATATATTGCCATATTTTCAATAAATAACAGGCAATTCTTGTTTAATGAATTGACTAATAAAAGTAATTCAAGCAATTTTTGACAACATTAACACCATTACAATATTCAGAACTCAGTTTCCAAAAAGATGTATTTATAAATATATTTTCTCCAATTTACCTCTATTTGGTTCTAAATCTTATATACAAAACACATGACTGTCAGGTGAAAGTGGATATTATCAATATTAGGCAAGCTTTGTTGTTACTTAAAATAGAATAATCATTCCAAGGGAGTTAACTAGTATGATACTTAATATAAAGACTTGTAGGAGTTATGTGCCCAAAGGTGATATTTCATAAGAATCGGTGTTTATTCAAGGATTTGAAAAACGGGGGATTTTTATTAAAAACTGAGAACTTATTACATTTGTTGATCTTTTTCCTTCTTTCTCTATATAAAATCCCCCCCCCCTGCCTCTGAAAAAATAGGGGGAATTCTACGTATAAAATATGAGTGAATTCCCCTTGCTAGAATAAACACTAATCTAATCGATACATATTATAGGTCTATGTAGGATAGATGGAGGTTTAATAAAATTAATTCTTGAGTGTACTAAAACTAGAACTATCACTAAATGTGATTAATACCCCCACAAGACTGCTTCGGAAATGAGGATGTTACTAGTAACAGAATACCTTGTAAAAGAATTGAAATATAGAGTTATGGTTGTGGGCAATTAAAGATAGTTGTGGTTCTTATATGTTGCATTTTTCCTTTCAATGTGGTTGGCCATTGATGAAGTTTAATTGAATTACTCTGTAATAAGTCCAGAAATACAAAGAAAAGGAACAAAGGGCAATAACTCTATTAATACTGAAGATAGAATTATCGTTCTTGTGCACTGCACTTCCTCTTATTGTGCTTGGCCATTGTATGAAGTTGTTTTGAATTCCAAACAGTACATTTTAAGTTATGCTCCTGACAAGGAAAAGAATCCAAGGGCAGTAACTCTGTATTTTGTCAAAATGGAGTTATGGCTCTTGTGCACTGCACTTCCTTTTAATGTCCTTGACAACTGTATGAAGTTGTATTGAATTCCAAACAGTAGTTTTCAATTTATGCTCTGGACAAGGAAAAGTAACAAAGGGCAATTACTCTGTAATTAGTCAAGATGTAGTTATGGTTCTTGTGCACTGCACTTTCTCTCAATGTGCTTGACCATTGTATGAAGTTATATTGAATTCCAACCATTAGTCTTCAAGTTATGGTCCGGACAAAAAAGGCAATGGGAAAGTAGCAAAGGGCAATAACTCTGTAATTACTTTAGATAGAGTTATGGTTCTTGTGCACTGCACTTTCCCTTAATGTGTTTGACAATTGTATGAAGTTGTTTTGAATTCCAACCAGTAGTTTTCAAGTTATGCCCCGGACAAGGAAAAGTAACAAAGGGCAATAACTCTGTAATTAGTCAAGATAGAGTTATGGTTCTTATGCACTGCACTTCCTCTCAATGTGCTTGACCATTGTATGTAGTTATATTGAATTCCAACTATTAGTCTTCCAGTTATGGTCCGGACAAAAAAATCAATGGAAAAGTAACAAAGGGCAATAACTCTGTAATTACTTTAGATAGAGTTATGGTTCTTGTGCACTGCACTTCCCCTTATTGTGTTTGACAATTGTATGAAGTTGTTTTGAATTCCAACCAGTAGTTTTCAAGTTATGCCCCGGACAAGGAAAAGTAACAAAGGGCAATAACTCTGTAATTAGTCAAGATAGAGTTATGGTTCTTGTGCACTGCACTTCCTCTCAATGTGCTTGACCATTGTATGAAGTTATATTGAATTCCAACCATTAGTCTTCAAGTTATGGTCCGGACAAAAAAAAAGTAATGGAAAAGTAACAAAGGGCAATAACTCTGTAATTACTTTAGATAGAGTTATGGTTCTTGTGCACTGCACTTCCCCTTAATGTGTTTGACAATTGTATGAAGTTGTTTTGAATTCCAACCAGTAGTTTTCAAGTTATGCCACGGACAAGGAAAAGTAACAAAGGGCAATAACTCTGTAATTAGTCAAGATAGAGTTATGGTTCTTGTGCACTGCACTTTCTCTCAATGTGCTTGACCATTGTATGAAGTTATATTGAATTCCAACCATTAGTCTTCAAGTTATGGTCCGGACAAAAAAAAAGTAATGGAAAAGTAACAAAGGGCAATAACTCTGTAATTACTTTAGATAGAGTTATGGTTCTTGTGCACTGCACTTCCCCTTAATGTGTTTGACAATTGTATGAAGTTGTTTTGAATTCCAACCAGTAGTTTTCAAGTTATGCCCCGGACAAGGAAAAGTAACAAAGGGCAATAACTCTGTAATAAGTCAAGATAGAGTTATGGTTCTTGTGCACTGCACTTCCTCTCAATGTGCTTGACCATTGTATGTAGTTATATTGAATTCCAACCATTAGTCTTCAAGTTATGCTCCGGACAAGGAAAATGCAACGGACGTCTGGACCGACCGACCGACCGACCGACCGACCGACCGACCGCCCGACCAACCGACCGACCGACCGACCACCGGGTGACTCCTATATACCCCCCCAAACTTCGTTTTTGGGGGTATAATAAATAATGTTCACCCCATAAATGTACTAAATACCAATAACAACATTAATATCATCCAGATACCTTAAGTAATTTTTTACCTTCTCTTGTCCTGTCGTTTTCTTCAGTAATCTATTAGTAAGACCCATCTTTTCTGTTAAACTTTGAGGAGGCATTCCACTTGAAGTGGAGGGGAGATCACTCTTGTTCATGCTTTCATTGGAGTTGTCTTCCTTATCAGAGTCAACAAGATCAATCACAGTGTTGGACAATTTCTTATTACCAGTGCCACCTTTTCTTTTATTAAGTTGGCTTAAATCCCTTTTCCTTGAATAAAAAAAGACATTTTGTTATTACACAACATGTAATTAGTTATAGCAAAGCTTAATACAATTACTTCTGTCCAAAAGACCATTTTTTTGTAAAACAAAGAGGTCTTAAATGAGAAATTAAGAGGTCTTAAAAGAGTAAGTTATTAAATATGAGCTTACTAAACAACAAAACCTTTCTAAAGACAGCAAACTTCACTTTTCAAAATGCTGAATAGTATGTATAATCAAAGCATTATACAAAACAAAGAAAAGTTGGCATAATTTGGCAAATGTGCTTGAATATGGAAAATTATTTCAAGCCTGAAGCAAATATCTTTTGACTGTTTTTAACAAAAAGGTATTGATAAACAAAAACATTTTTTCAGATTTTCAAGGTTAATTTGCTCTTGACAAAACATTTACATTCAATCATCTCTGATGTACTGACCTGAACGAATGAGAACATTTGTGATATAATACCTCAATTCATGATATAATCCCTCTATTCAAAACTACAAAATTGTTCAGGCATTCTTCAAAAACATCAATGTTATGAATTTCTGCCGTTGTTTGATTTTTCCATTAAAGCTAAACTAAATAATTTAAAAGTATGAATCCTCATAATATCAAGTTTCAAAACAAATGTAAGTAGAAAGATGTACATGTAGAAGATCTACATACTGTTTATAAGGTCCAGAGTATGGCTGTATTCTAGAACACGATACCAAACCTTCAGGGAACACTTCACCATCTGACTCATCATCTGAGATCTCTAAAATACCTGTCTCTTCATTTAACTGAAAATAAAAGTATCAAACAATAAACCTCATGTTGATTACAGTTAATAAGTTAAAATAGAGCCTTGTTAAGTTTGAGGTGTAGCTCCCTTTACTCCAATACTTTCATTTATAAATTCCAAAATATAAAACTGTAACATTATTGTGCAAATTCATTTAATATACCAAGTTCAGGGCCATTTACTATATTTAGTTGTCACAATTTAGAAAGTAAGACATAACATATCTTAAAATAATTGTGTATGAGACCAGGTTTAAATTTTAATTCAAAATCATGGAAACTTTGAAATCAATTTATCAAGAAATTAAAATATTCCTACAGGTGCTGTGTTGAGACAGAAATAAAAGAAATCAAATGACTTCATAGAGATAAATGGTGCAAATGTTTTTTTGTAAATCAACATAAATATTTTTTTTCTTTCCACCAAGTTGCAAATCAAACATAAAAGAAACATCATTTTTTTTCCACTTTTGATAAATTCATGAATTTCCCATTAGTAAAAAGATGCACCCAGAACAATTTGTACCTCTTTGAACAGTAAACCAAACTTCCATTTATCTTCATATAAAAGAAGTAATTCCTTTGACATTATAAGAAAACCGAGTAACCCTCAAAATTAAAAAAGGTTTCACTCACAAAAAAGGATTACATATTAACAAGAACCTGCAAACAAAGTTATAAGCCTGTATTTTTCCATAAAAGATAAAACTCATTACAAAAATAAATAGTATTTTTATCAATAGACATTATCCGGAACTCTGCAAAGTTGGTTTTTTCCCATCTAATCTGTAGGTACAAACTAACTTTTACTGTTATAGCTTCACGGTGCACTACCTGTCAAAAAGATAAGTCAACCTGTTTCCCTTATTTTCTAAGCTGTTACTGTAAAAATTTTGTTTGTACCTATGTTAATAGCTAGGAAAACCCCAAATATTTTTAAATCCGGAGTAAATCTATTGAACATAATAGCCAAATAAGGATTAATTACAAATTCTATAACCGAAGCTGAAGTTCACAAAGACTATAATTTTGTCAAAATATGTACCAGTTATGGAAGCGAAACTAAATATCAATGGTACAATAATTATATTTCTATCCAACAACAAACTTATTTTTTGTGACAAACTTTATGTAAATTTTCACAATTTGGAAGTCTTACAGTAGTTACCCATCGATGTTTGATGAAACTTGCATTAATATTTTGCTTTTATTGGTATGCAAACTTCAGGATACTGCAGGATATACAGAAATGAGGTAACTTTTGTTTTGATAGAGTACAGAAATGCAATTTTATTTTCTGTGTACAAATATATATTGTCAATTCAATGTGGTGGCGGTACTGAAGTCTATTATTTCTTACATTATTAAAACAAGAATGATAATGTAGGAATGTTACAGGAATGTATAAAGAATCAGCGACCAAGTTCGCCTATTCTTCGAGGCGTTTGTGACATAAAGTAACTAATCATATGCTGGATCCTGAAAAAACATTTTTTTTATCCAGCCTTTATCACACAACAGATGTTTAAAATTTAGAGAAAAAAAGCTGTTATTTTTAAGAATGGTTCCTGTATTACAGAAAGGTTATCAAGAGTACTTGTATTACGTAAGCCATTTTTAAGAGTATACATACATGATTGCTTTACTGTTTAATAAACAGTGTTTATAGATTTAACTGATGAAATTCCACCAATAAGATTAATTTATCTAAACATACACTTTTTCTTTTCCTCATTTTCTGTTCTGTGAACATCTCACTACTTGCATACACCTCCATTGCCTTCCTACTTACAGCATCTAGGTTCTTGGCCAAAAGATAAGTTGTCTCCCTTTTTGGAAGGTTTGCAAACCTACAAAGATTATATCATTCTATATAAAACTGTCAGGTTACTGCTAAAACATTTCATAACTAGAACTGCCACTATCATGGCGTGAATACCCCCACATACCACTTTGTCAGAATCAACATCATGGCCATTTAGAAATCAAGGACAACCTCCCTGCCAAATCTGAGGTTACTAAGCCAGTGCATTGCTAAGTTATGTATTCTACATGCTTCAAATGTGAAAATGTCAAAATCAATACACTCTTGACAGGCATTCTGAAGCAATTGAGGGGAAAAGCTTTATTTAGACAAGGTCCCTGTGACCTTGACCTTTGACCCAGTGACCTCAAAATCAATACGGATCATTTACTAATCATGACTAACCTCCATGCCAAATATGAAGACTGTGGGTCATAGGAACCTTAAGTTATTGGGCGGACAAGCTTTTTGAAGTCAAGGCCCCTGTGGCCTTGACCTTTGGCCTGGTGACCTCAAAATCGATAGGGGTCATCTACTAATCATGACTAACCTCCATGCCAAATATGAAGACTGTGGGTCATAGGAATCTTAAGTTATTGGGCGGACAAGCTTTTTGATGTCAAGGCCCATGTGACCTTGACCTTTGACCTGGTGACCTCAAAATCGATAGGGGTCATTTACTTATCATGACTAACCTCCATGCCAAATATGAAGACTGGGTGAAAGGAATCTTAAGTTATTGGGCGGACAAGCTTTTTGAAGTCAAGGCCCATGTGACCTTGACCTTCGACCTGGTGACCTCAAAATCAAAAGGGGTCATCTACTAATCATGACTAACCTCCATACCAAATATGAAGACTGTGGGTCAAAGGAATCTTAAGTTATTGGGCGGACAAGCTTTTTGAAGTCAAGGCCCCTGTGGCCTTGACCTTTGGCCTGGTGACCTCAAAATTGATAGGGGTCATCTACTAATCATGACTAACCTCCATGCCAAATATGAAGACTGTGGGTCATAGGAATCTTAAGTTATTGGGCGGAAAAGCTTTTTGATGTCAAGGCCCATGTGACCTTGACCTTTGACCTGGTGACCTCAAAATCGATAGGGGTCATCTACTAATCATGACTAACCTCCATGCCAAATATGAAGACTGTGGCTCAAAGGAAACTTAAGTCATTGGGCAGACAAGCGTTTTGAAGTCAAGGCCCCTGTGACTGTGACCTTTGACCTGGTGACCTCAAAATCTATAGGGGTCATCTACTAATCATGACTAACCTCCATGCCAAATATGAAGACTGTGGGTCAAAGGAATCTTAAGTAATTGGGCGGACAAGCTTTGTGAAGTCAAGGCCCATGTGACCTTGACCTTTGACCTGGTGACCTCAAAATCAATAGGGGTCATCTACTTATCATGACTAACCTCCATGCCAAATATGAAGACTGTGGGTCAAAGGAATCTTAAGTTATTGGGCGGACAAGCTTTTTGAAGTCAAGGCCCCTGTGACCTTGACCTCTGACCTCAAAATCAATAGGGGTCATCTACTAATCACGACTAACCTCCATGCCAAATATGAAGACTGTGGGTCAAAGGAATCTTTAGTTATTGGGCGGACAAGAAAAAACCGCCGGTCGCCGGACGGCCAGACGGACAATCTGATTCAAGTATACCCCCCTAACAACTTTGTTGTGCGGGGGTATAAATATGGTAACATTTTTTGTGTGCTTTAATTTATGCTATGATAGTAATAAAACCGGCAGTTAATGATCAGATGGGGTAAAAAGAGCTGTCTCACAATCTGTAAAAGAGCGCACTTGACTATTCTCAGTGCTCAACAGTAAGGAAAGGGGCATAACTCTGTAAAAAGGTATCTTAGAATATTGGACCTATGCCCACCATATTACATAACGGCAGAGAACAAGTTTGTGAAGTTTCAACCAATTCCCTTCAATAGTTTTGGAAATAACAATTTGCATGCAAAAATTTAACCAATGTGTGTTGGTGATGCTAAAGCCAGCGTGAGTTCAATAGCTCTCCCGATTGTTTGAATAGGTGAGCTAAAAACTGAAAATCTTTTATTTGCCTAAGTTTTTAATGAAAGGTATGATAATTTTCCAAACTTGACCGATACTTATCAATGATTCCTTGCAAACTCTAAACTAAATGTCAGATGCGGCAAGAAGTCTTATTTTGTAACTACATTGTACTATTAAATCGAAAACCCTATATCACCAGTTGTTGTACAAAAAAAAGTTTCAACAGGATACTGTAAGTATTTGAAGAAATAGAACTGAGGTGTTAAAAGGGCACCTGCTATTAGTTGGCCCTCGTTTACGTTTATTAGGAGGTTCCCAGTCGTCATCACCTGGCATAATATCTTCTTCTTTACCAGACTGTTCAGACTCCTATAATTAAAACGTATGTATAATTACATATACCGGTACATAAAATACAATACAAGTGATGTAAATGTTAATTCTGATAACTCAATTCAGATACAAATCATAAGCATTAAACCACAATTCTTTTTAACTTCAAAAAAACTAAAAAAACATTAAAGAGCAAAATAAAAACAATTTAAGTCAGTTATTTATATTCCTGCTCAAATATTAATACATTGACGTGCAGTGGCTGTGGGCCTTTGATTTACTATAGTGACAGATTTGAAACTTCCACTCCAAGCATTAAGCAAGTTTAAACACATTTTCTTTTTTCTGGCAAGAAATTCATTATTTTTGAAATTTATTATATTATAAGTTACACTGACAAGTTTTGAGTCATACTGACCCTACTAAAGCCATATGGCGATTTTCAAGCTCCGTGCATTATTTCAGGCATAAGACGGCACCTGACATTCTGTAAGCGAGCTGAACGACTTGGTTTAAGCATGATGATTAACTATGTAGTGATAACAAAAATTTTTAAGAAATTATATAGATATTTATATAATGGAAATATACTGGTTTTTCAGGGCTCCTCTTTTTCTTCTTCCCACCACGTCCCTTCTTCTTTTTGCTATGTTCCCTTTCTCTAGGTATATCTGGTTTAGGTTGTTTTGGTGGACATTTACACTTGAACATACAACCAGGTTTACGACAGTGTTCGGTCTCAGCCTATTATATCATGAATATAAATTTCTATTAGCTACTGTATTACCAGTAAAAGTAACTACATGTATAGCCAAAATTATGTAATACATATTGTACTTTTCAAAGGAATAAAAACAAGTCATTTTTTAAAAATCTGTTTAAAACTTTCATCTATTATATTAAAATCAATACATTTTTTTCACTTTCTTTCTTATCTGTAAAAATAGCATTTGGTTTATGTAGCCTTTTGAAAATATCGAGGTCAATACTGTGGATTAACTGTACTCTGGTAAATTCAATGTGTTCGGTCTCAGCCTATTATATCATGAATATAAATTTTTATTAGCTACTGTATTACCAGTAAAAGTAACAACATGTATAGCTAAAATTATGTAATACATATTGTACTTTTCAAAGGAATAAAAACAAGTCATTTTTTAAAAATCTGTTTAAAACTTTCATCTATTATATTAAAATCAATACATTTTTTTCACTTTCTTTCTTATCTGTAAAAATAGCATTTGGTTTATGTAGCCTTTTGAAAATATCGAGGTCAATACTGTGGATGAACTGTACTCTGGTAAAATCAATGTGGCTTACTGCTGTGATCCGGAATGAAAACTACCAACACCACCATCATCAAAAGTTAAAGGATTACTTCACAAGTCATTTTTAACTAGTCATTGCTAAATTTTGTTTCAGAAATAAAAATTTGAATTCATTCAAAATGCATTTTTTAAACGTTAAGTTACTATAAATTAAAACACTTACAGAATTTGTGTCGATACTCTCACAGATACATCCCAGTCTACAATATTCCTTTTCACACGGAGGCTTGAAATCCATCTCTTTTTCCTCTCCGCTGTCAGAAAGCTTGCATAGATGACAAATACACCCATACCTACAACCTGTAATTATTAGAATAAAAAATACATTCCTAATAACTTTTACATACTTTATGATATACAGTCAAATTAATAAACACAAAATATGATACAATTTTGTCTTCATGCAAAAGCCTTGGATCTTTTTTTATATTTTTTTTTTTGGTATCAAAAAAACATTTATATCTAGTATATGTTCCTCATGTAATAGTAAATAACTGTTGAGGATAGAATTGTACACAGTATAGTTTATTTGGATCTCTTTATCATTTTTATCAGCAGGTTGGAATAAATGCATTTGTATGAAAAAAAAACTGAAAAAAAAACAAACAAAAAACAAGATTGTCTCCACATTTATTTTCATCCACAGTTCATATATTAAATGTATACATTTCTATTTTATTCCAGTTTTTCACTTGTTATATTCAAACTTTTAAATTATTTTCATTGTCACCCCTGTTTTTATTATGATCATCAACATACAAATATCAATCTTCCCGTCTTAAATGGACTTCCCCAGTTTCCATTTTAGAACTGTCCCATTATTATTTTAGGGATATCAAGATGAAAATTTGAAGTTGGCCAACAATACACAGCCTGGTCAGATGGGCGGATGTGCAGACTGGCCTAGCTCTATACTGGTGGCAAAGGCTAGTCACTTTCTGTTCACATGTAGAAGAGATAAACTTAACTTTAGAAAGTTTAAGACTGAAATCTTTTACCACTTATTGTCAGTGCTTAACAATGACTAGGTTAAGGGATAAATTCTAAATAATTGTATCACCAGTGAATATTTTAACACTACAGTGCAAATGTATACACTATCATAAATAAGAAACATCTCAGACATCTGAGAAAAAAAGGTAAATTGCAGACAGAGGTTCATAGAGTACACTAGAGATTGAAGACCCAGCCTTCGAAATAAGCTTTATCATTGATTAATCTTAACATTCAAGTAATCAGTGATCACATGTGTCACCTGATGATAGCCAATTGCATGTTGCAACTACTGTGTAGCAGGAGACACAAAAATCATTAACTGTTCAAATTGTTTTATTTTTTTCAAGGCCCAAAACTTAGCCAAAAATCATTTAACTGGAAAAGCTGTTCACTTATTAATGCACAAGTACTTGAGGAACCAATCAATCCTGTAAGGTTTCATTCAAATTGCATTAGTTGTACAAGAGAAACAGCCTGGACAAATGTTTAAAAAATAAAATCATTAAAAGGGCCTTAACACTGACAAAAATCATTGAACTGTAAAATGCAACTAGACTAAGTACTGATCATTCCAGTTAAGTTTGGATGAAATTGCACCAGTTATTCCTGTGGAGAAGTCCAGACAAATTTTTTTTGACGTACAAGAAGATGACAGAGAAGTGTTCCCTATATGTTGCCATAGTAGGACAGTGTTTTTTGTTACCAGACTGGTCTCAAACCTCTAACTTGTATACATTAGACACTGGACATACACAATAAAACATTAACTAAAATACCAGCCCATATAATACTATATGTATACCATACACCCTCTTGTTTTCCACACCACTCTGTAATACAGGGTTAAAATAAAGTCTTACCCAAATAATTGTCTTTACATTTGTTGAGTGAGCCAGTGATTATTGGCCCTATGAAATTAAAATGATTTATTGCTAAAGAAACCTAGGATTATAGACATGCTTTCCTATGAAAAGAACCCTTTTATAAAAAGTGTTGGTCTGAAATCTACTCAACACTTGAATTCAAATATAGAAATTACCACCAAATAAAGATTACTAGTAAAGTAAAGCATTTCTCATTCTGAAAGCTTGATTCCATTGCCAATATTATACATATAGTATATTGCCAATATTGTTCATATAGTATATTGCCAAAATCATATGTAGGGTATATTACTAAAATCATACAAACTCATATAGTATATTGCCAATTTTGTACATATAGTTTATTACCAATATCATAAATGTAGTATAATTATTATCAATATCATAAATATAGAGTATTGCCAATATAACACAAGTAGTTTATTACCAATATCATAATTATAGTATATTACCAATATCATACATATAATATATTACCAAAATTATACATATAGTATATAATATAATCATAAACTCTATACAGGCGAAGTGTACAAATAAGTTCTGTGTAAGTTTATATCAATATAAACTGTGAAACAATGTTTCAAACTTCCAATTTTCAGGACTTAACAGTACCAGTGTCTTAATAAAAGGGATCATAGATGCCAATAAGGTAACTATTTTCTGATTTGTGAGACAAATTAGCATTAAGATAGCAGCTGTGCAAATCAGAGTAAGTGCATAATTTACAATAGCTATGTTGCCTATGCATAACACACTCTTCTTTATTAGTAAAATGCTTCAAGATTATGCAAAATTCATATATCAAATCTCTGTTCGAAAAATGAAAGAACTTGTTTGTATGCAAATTTTCAGAATGCGTTTCACTAGCTCAGTAATTTCCACTCAGAATTGATTTCTATATTTGGATATTTGTAATTTGTATAGCATCCCAGTAATGTGGAAAAGCGCAGGAGCTAAATATAGTAGAAAAAAATCAATAAAACTCTGCAACTACACATTTATAAAGTAAAACAGACTACCAACATAGTGCAACATGTGATAAGGTGATGAACGAAGCAAGTACTATAGGGAAATTAAATAGTAGAAGTTTGAAATGTTAAAAGTTTCTTTTTCTTTTCTTTTTTTGATCAACAAAATTTGAGCAGCACCATGACAAAACCAACATAGTGTGTTTGCGTCTGCGCAGTCTGATCAGGATCTATGCTGTTCATTTATCAACCCTTCTACAAGTAGAGAAACTAATAGCGAACAGCATGGATCCTGATCAGACTGTGCAGATGCGCAGGCTGGTCTGGATCCATGCTGGTCTCAAACGCACTATGTTGGTTTTGTCATGACACGGCTCATTTATTGACACACAGGTATTTATATTATTACTATACATAATGTAGTAGACTTTTCTTTTTAAATCAGTGATGATATATTATTTAAGATAAAATCATACCAAATGCATAAATTAATAATTACTTATTTGCACATTTAAATGTACACACTATTTAATTAGTTTAATATCATAAAATAATAATGTCAACAATACAGTTATGTTTTTTTACTTAATTTTGATATGTTCAATAAAAGTGTTTCTCAGTTTATAATTTATCAATCCCTCTAAAGGAAGTCAGCTACATGAACTACAGAAAAAAAACATCTGGCCAATTTAACCTGGATTGTAACTTATCTGCCCTAAAATTAATTAAAACTCTTATAAGTCAAGGGCATATTATTCTTTAAAACATACTAAGTGACCCCCCCACTCCTTCTATTTTTTGTTCACTTAAAATTATTTTATCATATATTTAAAGATTATGCAAAGTTTAAATGAATTCCATTATACAATTTTCATTCTGCCTTTATACTGTCTATATACAGTAAACTCCGCTTAACGAAATCATCGGGACATTCAAATCTGTTCCTTATATCCGGAGTTCCTTGTAAGCATATACCGAATTAATTCCTTGTATCAGGAGTTTTTATAGCGAACATACAGTCGAGACTGCCTTAGCGACCCCCTGATTTCAACGACTCCCTGTCTTATCCGACCTTGTTTCAGTCCTCCCAACGTATTTTCCTATATAAATGGTCTGAATTAAACGACTCCCTGTCATATGTGACAAGCGACCCTAATTATCTGGTCCCAATGCATTGCTTTGTCTGATTTAAACGACTTTCACACCTTTTAATTGTCCGTTAATCGGATAAATAATACCTGTTTTAACAACCAGAGAGACAAAATAATTAAGTCTAATTATAATCCAGTAGTCAGTACTCTTCAAACAAACTCTACACACCTCTGATTACATGTATATATGCAAGTGTCAAGTGACGTAGCGTCTTGAGTGTCCATAGCGTCTGATGCAATCGATGTGTGTTAACAAATTGAGGTCACAGGTGTAATGAACATAATGAACTGAGTAAACTGGATTAAGACTTGTGTTTAAAAAAATATGGAGTGAAGATTTTTTAGGCAGATTTTTTTTATTTTACCTTTCTATTGCTGCATTGATAATACGGAAAAATGTTGATACCAGACTAATTTGGACATGTTTTTAAAAGTATGATATTTATTTTAAGGATTTGAATGCATGAAATTCAAGTTTATTTTGTACCATAATGATTCAATATTAAACAAATACAAAAAATAAAATAAAATTTTATATGATATACATACTATATTTGCTTTACAGGGATTCTTATTTTATTTACATCAAACATTTAAAGTACCTATGTGTATTTGCAATTGGTTAGATATTATTCCTTCACACAGTTATACAGTATATACATGTTAAGTCACAATGATATATAGACAGATAGATGATATTTAAATTTTAATTTTCTATGAGACTGTATTAAGAGACTCCCTGTCATATGTGACCTTTTTCTCAAGATCCCTTGGAAAGTCACATATGACAGTCTTGACTGTATTTACATATAACAAACTGATTGTTTACCATCGTCCGTCATTTTGAAGACCATTTGACTAAGAAAGATTAGTCATTTATTTCTGCGCTCGTATTTATAACATATTACCCGAGAGTGTATTTTTTGGAATTTGAAAATCCTTTGCTGGTTCAGTTTTAGTTTTGCTTCCTTTCTCAATTGTTCATAAAATATCATATTTTGTTTCTAAACTTTTTGTTTTCTTTTCATGATTAAGAATAAACAAGATTTTCGATTGTTCCTTCCTTTTGTATTGAATATCTTCAATTAAAGGATGACTTTTACGAATGAAAGATATAAATTTCTTTTCATTTCAATCGAGCGTGCTTTGTTGTTTTCGATGGATTATGCTTGCAAGCATGCGTGATTACTTAAAAAACCGATTATAAATGATCATAATTAATTTACTCGCACAAAATTATTAAAGAAAAAAAATAATATAATAAAAGGAACAAGAGCCATGTCAACATGGCCATCCCCCGCCGAATGTGTTTGCTCATTGGAAGAATGTATATGTAGTAGAGCGGAATAATTCCATTTTAAGAGGTCTTTTGGTAATGAAAACTGATGGCTATAGTGATTGCAGATTTGAAACCTATGTGAATACTGATGGCTGAAAATAACAAAGGGCAATTACTGAAAAATAATGCAGGGTAGGTTATCATTCTTGTGTGCTGCATCCCTCCTCAGTAAAATCTATCCACCTATGAAGTTTCAAGTTGATACCTCAAATACTTTTTGAGAAAAAAATTGAATTGAAAAATTAAGTATGAAAAAGAACAAAGGGCAATAACTCAAAAATTATAAAAGGTAGAGTTATCATTCTTGTGCAGTGCACACCTCCTGAGTGAGATCTATGCACCTATGAAGTTTCATTTTGATATCTCAAAGGCTTTTTGAGTTATGCTCTGGACAAAAATTAATTTTGAAAAATAACAAAGGACAATAACTCAAAAATAATGCAAGGTAGAGTTATCATTCTTAAGCACTGCACTCCTCCTCAATGAGATCCATCCACCTTTGAAGTTTCAAGTTGATACCTCAAATACTTTTTGAGATAAGCGCTGGACAAAATAGCATGAAAAAAAGGGCAATAACTCAAAAATTGTATAGGGAAGAGTTATCATTCTTGTGCACAACATTCCTCCTCAATAAGATCTATCCATCTATGACATTTCATGTTGATATCTCAAACACTTTTTGAGTTATGCTCCATTCTTGTGCACTGCACACCTCCTGAGTGAGATCTATGCACCTATGAAGTTTCATGTTAATATCTCATAGGCTTTTGGAGTTATGCTCTGGCAGAAAATCAATTTTGAAAAATAACAAAGGGCAATAACTCAAAAATCATGCAAGGTAGAGTTATCATTCTTATGCACTGCACTCCTCCTCAATAAGGTCTATCCACCTATGAAGTTTCAAGTTGATAACTCAAATACTTTTAGAGATATGCTCCGGACAAAAATGTCGGACGGAAGGTCGGACGGACGGAGACTATTTCTATATCCTCCGCCGAAATTTTTCGGCGGGGGATAATAACCGTTTTATCTTGGTAACAAGAACTCATGCTAAAGATATCCTAATGCTATTACGTATTGCTATACAAATTCTATTAACGGATAGCTGATATTTTGGAGTTCGTTATAAAAGTGTAATTTTCTGTACTTTTAACTAAATTGGGACTAAGAAATGAGTTCCTACTATGCGATAATTCGTTATAACCCTGTTAGCTATAAACGTATATTTTTATATTAAATAAAGAAGGGCAAAATTCGGGCCAAAATAAATTGTTCCTTATAACCGGGAGTTCGCTATAAGTGAAGTTTACTGTACAGAACAGCATCATTTGCCTTTAGCATGTTCAAAAAGTGAATGAATGAGCTGAAAAAAATCTTAAATTTACTTCAAGATGATTTCTAAATACACCTTATAGTTAGCCTCATCTCACTTATTAGCACCATCCCCCAGTCACATTTTGTAGCCTTATAGCTTTAATAAACGTATTTTAAAACACATTTTTATAGCTCTTACTAGCCCCCCCTCTCCCAACCCCCACTCCCTTTGAAAAAATGCCAGCCCAGGGTTGTTAAATACCTATAAATTTTTGTTCAAAAGTGTAACTAAAATGCTACCACAAAATACATGTTGTAGTAGTAGTTTTTGTTGGTGCACAGTTATTTATCATACAAGAAACAGCACCAAGAGTGAATGCCAAAGCTATAATAGTAATACTGAACTAAAGCATACACTTTTAAAGGATATAAAGCTATAACTAATGAAATATTTTTTTATAAATTATTCAACAGTAAAATTATAGTGTTTCTATATTCTTATGACAGATTCTTGAAGAGTTCTAACATAGAATGTCTCTGTAACTTAACACACATGTAAGCTGTACATATACAGAATCAAATGTAACCAAAACCCAGAACAATGTGTTAGTCTGTTATTTTAAGTAAGGTTTTATCCACTTAGAAATGATTTCATACATGCACCATTTCGCATTTCAAGTAATTTACTACCATACAAGCACTTTGGAATTTTTTATTTTTTTTAATTCAAGCAGATATACACTTTAAGATTGACTTTGCCCGTTTAATTTATTAATTTCATCAAAATTAACCACTGACAGGAGTTAAACCATTAATATTCAAAAACTTGTTGTAACCAAGAACAACATGGGACAAAATTTCATTCCAATAACTAAAATGTATATTGAAAATAAGCTTTGAAAACAAAAATACATGCAGCCACATGCATAATAATGAATATCTATATATGAGCCGCGTCATGACAAAACCAACATAATGGGTTTGCGACCAGCATGGATCCAGGCCAGCCTGCCCATCTGCGCAGTCTGATCAAGATCCATGCTGTTCGCTACCAGTTTCTTTACTTGTTATATGTTTTGTAAGCGAACAGCATGGATCCCGATCAGACTGCGCGGATGCGCAGGCTGGTCTGGATCCATGCTGGTCGCAAACGCATATGTTGGTTTTGTCATGACGCGGCTCATATGTAAAATACACATGTTTAAAAAACACATATTAAAAAAATCTTACCTGGCTCATTACAGGTGTCAACAGTTTCTTTTTTTATCTCCACTTTCAGTTCTTCTACAAGTATAAATACACATAGCATTTTGATTTTAACTTATGATTTAAGATGTGCAAAGCAACATGTTTTCCTCCCTATTCCTAACATGACCTATTTAACTACTGTAAAACACTTATTATTCGCGAGAAATTTATTTTCGCTAATATTCGCGAGTTTTCTAACACGCCAATTCATATTTCTCGCGAATATTTCACTGTGTCTTTACTCTTGTCCGAAAATGAACACTATCCGAAAATGCGTACACATGGATATATATCTGCGGAAAGTATCGAAACCACTTCTAGTTACATCATGTAGCTATTAAAGTATTGCAGCATATACATATAGTACAGATTACTGGTATGAAATATTTACCTGTAACAATTTTGTATTATTGAGGAATTGGAAAAAACTTTTTTGCTGCATATTACCTGTGTCAAAGAAGGTAACCGTAACTTAAGTATAAACAAATTAATGCGTCTCACAAAAATTTTAATGGTTTTTCTACAGATTGTTCTAATTAATGTGAAAATCTGTCCAACTTAATGGATTAATTAAATTTTGGTACAAATACTTAAGCACCTACGAGTTGTTTGTAACATTTCTATTTATTGTATCCTATTGTATTGTACAACAGTTTAAGCCGGAGGGTAAACTACATGTTAGGCAAATTACAGTACCGTTTTATTGATTTTCGTCTGCATGCCTTTAAATGGCTAATCAGTGAAACTTTAACACTTTGCAAAAATGATACGAAACATTCAATGCTAGTATTACTAGTAACAATGCTAGAGACACGGAGTATAATCAGGGACAATTCATGACAAACACAGTGAACACATATCAAATAATTATCAAACTTTTTTGATATATTTTTAGACAGACGGTTTCACTTAACAAGAAGATTAGCAAGCTATCAGAAAAATCGATACAGATATAAATGCATTCGTCGCACAATAAACGACGCAAAGTTAGTGGACGAACAGGACAGAAAATATCCAAATGACATCGGGTTTCCGGTTTCACATTTTTCGGGAAGACGCGAATTCATGTTGACGCGAAATAATTATTTTGGACATTTTGCATCAAATCCGCGAAATAAGATTCTCGCGAAAAATAAGTGTTTTACAGTATTTATATTTTCTGATTGCAAGCAATGTCAGCCTATGAAGCAAATATAAAGTCACATGATTTTGCTTAAAGATATACTATACTCAAATTTTATATTAGAAAATACTGATAATTGCTACACAGTCTATTTATAAATATAAAATAAACATGTTTGGACTTCATACAAAGTAGATATGTTTAAAACTGTGCACACTATAGGTGGTCACAATATGAATATACAGAGTCATTAAATAAATGGGCAGTTGTTTTTTTTAATGTGGTCTAAAATCACCCGACCTTAAATAGGGAACGCAGCTTCTCATACATAGTTTATTTGTTGTTGTTTTGTTTTTTTTTAATTCAAATTAGACATATTTAGTAAGAATTTCATAGATTTCAATAAATTTCTCTGATTAAAATATTGTACTCATGGATGAGCATAGTATACCTTTAAATATGCCGACCCATTAGGATCTTATCTATATCTTAAAACCTTTGAGACAATCAATGATGTAGTCTAAATCATGAAGAAAGATATGTACTGTTTTGGTTTTTTTTTATCAGCAGACTTATGGTATACATAGGTGAAAACTCAATTCTGAAATAATCCTGAAAAAAGTGAAAAAGCTGTTATTATTCAGCTATTCATTTACTGGTTTTATGTAGGAAAAAAGATGGTTTTGGGAAATCTAAAAATCCCGAATTCAGCAATAATTCTGAAAATTTTTATTTGTAACTTCAAAACACAATACTCTACCATCACTACACTAATGATGTGCAGTTATTATAATGTATAACAAAGCAGAAAATAAAACGTCAACACACCTGGAAAATTATCCTCGCCTTTACTGGCAGAATTTCTTCGGCTGTTTCTTCCTCTACATGCAGAAGAGTGCCTTCGTTTTGTCAGAGGTTTACTCTCTGGCATGTCACCTTCATTTTCATCATCACCGCCACCTTGTTCTTCCTTTGTACCTTCCTCTTTGTCATCTACATGTTCTTCTGTCTCATTTTCCACTTCATTGTTCTCATAATCATCCTCATCTATCATATATGACAGTTGTAGGTTAAACAATTGTAACTATTACACTATCATAAAAGTAAACTGCCAAAGTTTTATTGGTTACAAAACTTATCAATATTTTAATGTATCTAAAGTCTCTATAAAACTCTGTCAAGAGCAAATGAGTTGAATGATTCAACCTAGGCTGTTATATAAGCCACTTGCAAGGAACAAGTAAAATTATGGTGTTATGGCGTCTTCACTCAAAGATAAACACTAACACCAGGAAAGCAGAAATATATAACCCAAAATGAAAATTTGCATATAAACTTTTCAGTCAGTATTTTGAAATTTTCCACAAAAGATGATTAATGACTTCATATGTTCTGGCCAATTAAAAGATGTAACAGTCCATTTAACCTAAGATATATTTAATGTGATACGGGTTAATAAATTTTTTTTGTTATTTTTAAATTGAATTTTGAACAAATAAGTAAATCCAATTACTGTCAAAATAGTAGTCTGGGTCAACTTCTTCCTTTATTTCTGGACTTTCAGACTGGGAAGCTACTTTCACTTCCTTTCTTGCTGATCTGGATTCTCTTTTTGTCTTCCTAGGATCAGTCTATACAAATAATTATGTTGATGTTTAAACAAATTTTCCAAGCTTTTGAAAAGCAGCTCATATGTATCTTGTACAAAGATTTTTCCTTTATTCAGTTTAATTTTACCCTTTTAGATAAGCTTTCAATGAAAATGAAAATTGTGGTTTGCAATCTTTGAACCCATTCAAAATATTTTACTTTTAAATACATTTTCATGAAAATTAGCATGAATCTGGAGGTATGTTGCTTTAATGCTTATTTAAACACACAATCAAAAATTCAATATTTCATTTTTTCCTGTATTAAAGTAAAATTTTAGAATTTACAACAAAAATTATGTAAGACATTAGACTAAGGTAATTTGCTAATAATATCTAGAAAGTTCATAAAGTTACCTTATCCATTCCCTTTGCTCTTTTCAGAAGATTTTTATCAAAAGCAGATACTGCAGCCAATGCCATTGTATGAGTCAATTTACACAGGGAGAACATCTGTTTCCCTTTCTTACGTTTCACAGAGTTTACCATCTCTTGTTTCTGACCAAGGTGTTTCTGTGTGCCCAGCTTTTGTAATATCCTCTCATCCTCGGCATCCAATTTCATTTTCTTCACGAACAGTTTTCTAGCTCCGTACTTATGCTGACTGGAATACTTCACATTATAAGGTATCTTATCCGGAGGTGGCTTATCCTCGTCTTCATTGTACACATCACTCTCAATTATAGCCAGATCATCAATTTCATACTCATATTCCATCATTTCAGCCTCTTTATCTTCATTACCACTTTTCCTTTTGTTTGAATAATTCACCAGTTTCCTACGCTTCTTTTTAAGATCCAGTCCAATATCTTTTATTTCCTCTGGATCAAGGTTTTTCACAAGTCTTTCTTCAGTTTTCCAGTGAACTTTACCAGATTCAGAAATGTTTAATCCAGTTGCTTCTTGGATTTCTTCAGGGTTATGAAATTTTTTCTTCCAACCTTTAATCTTCCTTATGTCTGTGGTTTTTGTTGGTGTTTTGGATGGAGATTTTTCAGGTGACCTAGGCTGCCTACCCAGCAACATGTCTTCTAATTCTTGTTTCAACAACTTTTGATACTTCATCAAACGCATGGGGATTCCACGGAAATTTTGCTTTTGTTCATCTCCACACTTCACATCTGTCAATCTTCTTGACCCTAAATCATGCTGTCTTTCTTTCATGTGTTTCAAATGAGCCATTTTTCTGAGTTGCGTTTCTGTCACCCAATCCAATTTCTTCTCAAGGGATACATGAGCATTCAAAACAGATTCAGTGGCAAAACAAACGAAAACATGGCCATCTACCTCATCTATATCTGGTTCAGCTTTCTTAAGTTCCTCCTTAATATTCATTTTTTTACCAGACTTCCCATTCCGTTCAGTAGCATTGTGTACAGTGTTTTGGACTGAACCCAAGTTTTCTTTATTTATATCTAGATACTCATCAAGCTCATTACAAGTGAAAGCACTTTCTTTTCTAGAATCTGCTCGCTCCAGCTTGTACAGTATGTCTAATGGCTTTGGCTCAACAACATTATTTATAGTTGTTAATTTCGGTTTTGTTTTCTTCTCGTCAAAAGTTTCTTTCAAAGTCTCAAAACCAGACCGGTCAACACCTTTATCCTCTTCCTCATCATCAGAGAGAATTACAATACTATCCTCTGGTTTAGTTTCTGAAACAAACATAACATCTCCATCATCTCCATCTCCAACCTTCTTACACATGGTTTCATTTCCTCTCTGTTCACTTTCACTATTGTCTTTTTTTATATCAGATGTTACATTATCACCAACTTTCTCTTCTTTTGAATCGTTTTCATTTATTTTAGTCTTTTTTAAGGTAAGCCCAAACATTTCAAATACACTAACTGTTTCAACATTATCTTTTACATCCACACCTTTGGAATTTTTATTATCACTTACCTTATTGATTTTTTTTCCTGAATCTAATTCAGTATCACAGTTTTTGCTTACTTTTTCTATTTCTTTATCACAAACAGACTTAACATCAGACTTTTCCATATTGTCAATCAAATCAATGCCCGATTCACCTGACTTGCTTTTATCACTCTTTACTTCTTCAAGCTTCTCTGATGTGTCATTTTTATCATCATCAAACGAAGAATCAAGTTGTTCTGCTGAATCTTTTTCATCACTTATTTCACTATCTTTAAAGGAGTTTTCTTGAACATCCTCAAATTCAATTATTGTTTTGTCACTATCTGTGCTTGTATTTACATCTGTTTCATTGGAACTTGGAGAAGTTTCTTCAGAATAATACTCTGTTTCAACTTTTCCAAGCAATGCTGTCAGGTTATCATCCTTATTTTTCACTAAACTATCTACTTTACTGATAAGGTCATTCAAACCTAGACAACCAATTGTTGATGAGGGATATTTGTATTGAAAGTCACTTGGGAAAGGCAATTTGGATTTTTCTATAATAACTTTAGTAATTTGGTCATCAAAATCTAATTTTTTCACAGGACTTGGACTGTCATCACTAGGTCCAGACATGGATTCTATTTTTTTCTTTTCTTTTTTAGGTGAAGCACTATTACTTCTTGAGCGAGACTTTTTCTTTTCATCTGAGCAAGTTTCTTTGTCCTGAGATTTTTTCCTTGGAGATTTCTTATCTTTATTAGTAGATGCCATTTTCTTTTCTGGTGACTCTGACTGTTTATTTTTCTTCAAAGGTGACTTCTTAGATGATTGCTTATTTAACATTTCAATGTTTCTGTTTACCACATCATCAATCACTTCATCAACATGAGAATCATTAATATCTATGACCTGATTGGTTTCTCCAATATCACTCTTTACATCACACTCAATTTCAACTTTATCTATCTTTGATTTCTTTTCATTTCCCTTTTTCTTAGCCTTAGGACTTTCCTTTTCATCTAAATGTAATTTGGGAGACCTTTTCCTTCTTACAGGACTTGGGCTTTCTGACGATAACCTTGAATTTTTACCAACAGCAAGTTTGTCATTATCTGATGAAATTTCTTTTAATGTAGCAGGTGAATTTTCGCTTTCCCCTTTCTTTTTCCTTGACCTAGGGCTTTTGGAGGTTTTTCTGTCATCTTTTGATGGTGTTATCACAATATCTGGGGTAGCATTTGTGTCGCCACCTGGATTAGATTCTGATATTTTTCTCTCCCCTTTAAACGGCATTGATTCAGCAGATTTTGGTTTTCTACCTCTTTTCTTTGGTGAATTTGTTTTTTCTTTTTCTGCTGTATCTTTAGCACATGCAGTATCACCTTGGCCTGTATCAACAGTTTTACTCTTGGGTTTTGCATTTTCTGTTTCAGCAATTTCTGTTTCAGAGATAAGAGAATCACCATGACTTATATTGCTATGTTTCTTGGTCACTTTATCCTCTTCATGTCTAACTGCTTCTTTCTTCATTGCAATATTTCCCTTTTTCTTAACCTTTACTGACATATCAGGAACCAAATCATCCTGTCTAGCAGAAGTTTGAGCTTTGCTATCAAGAGAAGATTTTCCATCAATGACAGTGTCTTTTGAAGGTTTTGTGTATGTTGTCCTTATAAAAGGCGAATCTTTAGTACCAGAAACAGTGGCATTATTGCGGACTGGAGATTGTCTTTTCGGTGACCTTGCTCCTACTTGTTTCATTTTAACAGAATATCTTTGTTCACTTAGTTTTGTAGAAATTCCGTTTTTGGTACACTTTTCTGTTTTTAAACAATCTTCCAAACAAACGACAGCCTGCTTACATTTTAAGTATTCTTTTTTTGTTTGAAGTCCAAAAGATTCTAAATCATCAAACTTAACTTCTCTTGGAATTTTGTTCAACACAACTAACAATTGTTTTTCAAAATCTGAAACTGCCTGTTCTTTGTAACAAGTTGGGTCATTCACAGTAGAAAGACCTAATAAATTTGAACTGTTGTTTGAACTTAATGAAGAACCTCGAGATGACCTGATTCTCGGTGTACCTTTCTTGTTATCTTGGATCTTTTCTACCTCTCTTGACTTATTACCAGGAATGTGTCTTAAGGAATATTTTTTGCCTGAAACAAGACATGAAAAGGTCTTAAAACATTAAGGCATGTCATTAATTTACCTATTAGCAGAACAAATACTGGTTGAAAAAGTAAATATAAGAAATTACACACCAACATAAGAATGAGTTGAGCAAACATTTTTCATTTATGATCAACTGGTTTGGAATCTATAAGGCTCTACATCAAGATCAGAAGAAACAGATGTCTTGGTTACAAAAGTTTGAAAGTCAACACTTAACACATGCAACAGTTGATAGTATGTTAGCAACATTTTCTCCCACAATTTTGATGACTCGTTTTATAATCAATAACCTAATAATGTTACAGAATACATCCTGAAAACAAGGTATTCATATCTATTTTCAATCTGTAGCTTTAGTACATCTATGAGATGAAGTAACATGAATTTCAAGATTCTCAAAAGAACATTTTATTGCCTAGGACAGCTTTTGTCTAATGAAAATCTTATTTGCTGTAATCAAAAGGTATCAAGTCTAAGGGAAACCACAATTTACTACTAATAAAAGGCATTTAGTTTTAGGAAAATCACATTTACTGCTAACAAAAGGCATTTAGTTTATACAAAACTTATTTTTGTTTGTGTAGAGCACTATAGGCTTATAGAATAGAGAGAAACATTATACCTAAGGAACATGTTAACACCTAAGAAATACATTAATACCTAAGGAACATGTTAATACCTTAGGATTATGTAATACCTAAGGAACATGTTAACACCTAAGAAATACATTAATACCTAAGGAACATGTAATACCTAAGAAACACACTTTCAAAACTGTTCCTAGAACCAGGCAGTACTAAGCAATAGAATTGGGAATGGCTGCTATAAATGTGTTACAATATTATCACAATATTTCAATTGTATCACATACAGCATCATGATACTTACATTTAGACAAAGGGAATGCAGTTTGTAACTTACAAAATTTTGTAAATTAAAATCTACTTAATTTATCTTAAGTTATGACTGTTCTTGTAATGATCAACTGTATAAATATACCTGTACATTAGTTTAAATTTACCGTTTGTTTTTGTTGATGAAATAAAACTAGTACAAGAATCTGTTCTACTTTTCTTCACACCAGTGTAACACAAAGTCTCACTGAAAAATGAATAGTTTATGAAAAATAATTGAAACTATACAATAAACATATTTAATTTGGTATTATCCAGCTGTATTGAAGAAATACTGGATGTTAGAGAAAGTCAAAATAAAATACCATTATTCGCACAGTACTATCTACCTAGGGTTATAACTATCTGATGAAACATTTAAACCAGATTATTCTAACAATCAAGATATGCTATCACTGTATGAGATATTCTACAACCATCATCAGGTATAACTTGTGTACAAATTTTCTACATTCCCACAAATCAATTTAAACATTCAAATTTCTCTAGTAAGATTCAAAACAACAGACATATATGCAGAGGGGTTGTTGTTTTTTTTTTTGTTGTTTCTGTTTTTTTTTTTTTTTTTCCGTTAGTGTGTGTTGAGTGGGGGGAGAGAGGTGGAGAGATAACACTTTTATCAACTCTGGTTAAAGCCCAAACACATCTAATCATAAGGATGTTTATTTAAGTGGAAAAATATAGAATCATCTAATAGAAGCAATGTGAAGAACAACAAATAAAACAAGAGAACATTTTTAATTACAATTTACAGTTTTACAGAACTTTACTCTGCAAAATCTTCCAGCAAATTTTTTCTGTATTTCTTAGAAATTCTAAATGAACTATTTTCCTTCTTAAGTTTGTATAAACTATGTTACTTAAGATGTTGAGCCACATTTGACCGCAGTGGCTTGTCGATAAAACAATAAATGTATAGCTACTTTACCATTTTAAAAAAATAGAAAGAACAGGACTCCGAAATATCGCCCAAAACTAAGACTAGATAAAACACTCAAAAATCTTTGGTAAGTCTGAGATATTACCTTTGTAAAGATTTTGAATTATCACAGTTACTTCCCTTGGCTTCAGCAGCTTGGCTTTTAAATGTACCTTCATTCTCTCTCATTTTACATACATAATGGCAGATTTTATTCACTGAAAATATAAAAATGATGATCATGTTATTATAGTTTTAGAAACTAAAACATAAGCAAAATATTCACACATATTTACATTGTCATTAATGTAAGATTGCGCGCTTCATACATATTCATATCTGATTTTTTATACACAGTTTTAATAGGTCCAAAATACAATGTATTACTTCTTAAGCACATTGATATAATCATCCAACACTGACACGTAAGTGTTCTACTTAATTGAATAATTCTAGCCATTTTATAAAGCCTCAAGGTTGGTTATTAGTTAAAATGGTGTCATAATGGTCCTCAACCCCTGTCTTTTTTTTTTACTATCAATTAATGCTGGGCCATATAAAAGCTCAGGCACAATAATTTTCTGATGTGAATCATTTAGATTTCAGTACCACAGGAAAACTTTTCCTATTCTTATACAAAGCTAATATGACATTTTCTGATTCTTAAAATCACTTATATGACATTTTCTGATTTTTATAAATCACTTATGTGTCATTTTCTGATTCTTAAAATCACTAATGTGACATTTTCTGATTCTTAAACAGTGTTCGAAATTAGCAGTAGTCCGATAGCCCCTGACTACTAAATTTCTTCTCGGGCTACCAACTTTTCACAGTAACAAGCCCGACCAGGCTACTGTATTTTCAGAGGCAATATAAACAACTGTTTTGAACAAATGAATCGTGCTAGTGAAATGTCTTTTGGGCTAGTGAATATTCCAATCTGGTAGTCCAACCAGCCTAGTCGATTCAAATCCTAATTTCTTACACTGCTTAAAATTACTCATGTGACATTTTCTGATTCTTAAAATCACTTATGTGACATTTTCTGATTCTTAAAATCATTTATATGACATTTTCCCATTCTTATAAATCACTTATGTGGCATTTTCCCATTCTTATAAATCACTTATGTGGCATTTTCTGATTCTTATAAATCACTTATGTGACATTTTCTGATTCTTAAAATCACTTAGGTGACATTTTCTGATTCTTAAAGTCATTTATATAAATCACTTATGTGACATTTTCTGATTCTTAAAATCACTTATGTGACATTTTCTGATTCTTAAAGTCCTTTATATGACATTTTCCGATTCTTATAAATCACTTATGTGGCATTTTCCTATTCTTATAAATCACTTATGTGACATTTTCCGGTACTCATAAATCCCTTATATGACATTTTCAGATTCTTATAAATCACTTATATGACATTTTCAGATTCTTATAAATCACCTATGTGGCATTTTCTGATTCTTATAAATCACTTATGTGACATTTTCTGATTCTTAAAGTCATTTATATGACATTTTCCGATTCTTATAAATCACTTATGTGGCATTTTCCTATTCTTATAATTCACTTATGTGACATTTTCCGATACTTATAAATCCCTTATATGACATTTTCAGATTCTTATAAATCACTTATATGACATTTTCAGATTCTTAAAATCACTAAGATGACATTTTTTCAATTCATAAAATCAATTGTATTGACAATCTACATGGCATTCTTTCACAATCTTGTTGTTTAATCTTTTTACTTTACACAGATAAGATGAGGGGCCATTCACTTAAATGAAGGAAAAATAAAACCATAGTTTTCTTTTTTGGCTATGGGGGAATAGAAAACTTGATGTTAATTGAATTTTAGGAGAAAAACTGCATGAATTTACAGAATTATCTCAAGGGAAAGCCACAACATTTAACAGCTCATGCTATAGCAGGAGAAAAAGACTTGATAACAATATGTTACCTAATGACATTTATTATCTACGTAGATGAAACTTTTGATTCTAGAATGTATACAAAATTTATCTTGATTTCATTTTTACCCTACACGACCATAATTTAATTGGAGGAACATTATTTTGATCTGACCGAGTTAACAATAATTAGATTAAAACAAGTCCAGACAATGTTGTATATAGATAATATTACTTCAAATTTGATCAATTTGTACTCATTTTAGTTTTGCTGAACACTATTTTTTGTAATTTTTTTGTAATAAAATCAATTCCTGTATCTTTACAATCACACAAGCAAATTCGTTGAATTTATATCCCCCGCCGAGTACTGGTTATTATTAACACAACAACTGAAGACATATATTAAGGCTTTATTTATTTATATATTAATCATGGCATAAACTGTAATATTCTTTGAACTTGAAGCCTTGTACCTTCAAACAAGAAGAATTTTTAAGTTTTCACTATATACATATAAGGAAAATCTATGACCCCCTGGAGTGGGGCCAATTTTGACCCCAGGACTAAAATTTGAACAATTTTGGTAGAGGACCTATAGGTTATATCATATACCAAATATCAAAGCTCTAGGCCTTGTACTTTCAGACAAGATTTTTTAATTTTGCATTTTTGAAACTCCTTTTCTGGCCCTGTGACCTACTTATGCAACAGACCGGAACCATTTGATCAACTTTGGCAGGGGACCACCCTAGGATCATTCCTGTAAAGTTTGGTTGCTGTGTGTCAAATACTTTTTGAGTTACATGCGACACAAGTTGAAAATTGCAAAATTTTACTAAGTCAAGGGCAATAACTCTAAAATTACTAAAAATATCCAGACGAAAATACCCAGGTGCACAACTTCACATGCTGATCAACATTCCCATAAAGTTTCGTTGAATTCCAGCCATTAGTTGCAGAGAACTACTCCGGAAACGAAATTCGGACGGACGGATGGACGGACGGACAACGCCAAAACTATATCCCCCTCCCGATTCCATCGGCGGGGGATAATAATCATAACTTTGTCTCCTTAATCTGAGGTAAAAGAATCATTTAACCTTTTTTATCGAGGTATTATATATATTACTTTATCACGTACTATCATGTTGAGACACATCATTTAATTATCATATACTATGAATGATAGTTTATAATGATACACCATGTTTACTTTATCAACAACAAAAAATTCTTAGTGGGACTTAGCTGTTTAACCCTGAATTCTTTTCAATGGCTTTATAAAAATAGCTAAATGTTTATATCAACAGTTTTGAAATAAATATTCTAAATTAAACAAAACAACAAGGAAGATCTTTTGATTTGTAGTTAATTAAAATTATCATATCAATGTTAAATTTTCATCACATTTTCTAATGGAATTATTTCTTAGTACAAAATATACATTTATAATTTATTACATATATTCAATTACAAATACAATTATAGAAAACAAAATCAAATAGAAACTGTCCTACTTTTATTTTTCAGTAAGTTTTAACACTGGCTCAAATCCAGCCATATAGCATTATTTACTTCCTGGTAAACAACCTAAACCTTTATCTTACACACAAACATAATAAAGTTATTGTCACTAATGTGTTGTACATGCTCATTGACTCTACATATATATCATTGCCCTGGATTAGGATAATCTATTTTTCTAAGCCCTTTTTATCAGAAATCTTTAAACTTCAGGGTTTTAACATATGTCATGTGTTTTTCTTGTAAAATGAAATTTTCAAACTTTACACTGTTTTAGAGTGTTCCATTCTTAAATGGGGAGAGGGTGCTTTCATAAAAAATAGAAAGATTACACTGGCTGTATAACTGTGGCATAGACCAGCCATGTATGGTTAATTTATCAGAGTAAGCTTCCTTGAATAACCTGACAGGTTATTATGTTACTCAATAATCATTGGTTCAAGAGGTTGTTTACATAACTTTCAGGTGTTTTTTTTAGCTAACATAAATTCTAGAAGACACTATAACATTGCTGTAGATGACTAGGTGAAAATAAACAGCTTAATGATTAATATGGAGGGATAAGACATTTGATTTTTGAAGTAGATAGTACATGTAGAACTTGAAGAATTGCCTTATTAATCATAAAGAATGACAGGGTTTTTTTTAATGGTTCTGTAACTGAGCACAGTAATCAATTTGTGAAGATTACATCAAAATCCTGAAGAACCTAATTCAAGATCATGATGTGGAACTTTCAGTTAATGTACATGCTGAACTTGCAGTCCTCTACCCTCATACATCAACATACATGTATCAGTAACCTATATTTTACATTTTTTTGTTAATATAGTAATGAAAGGATTCAGATAGGGACAGATGGAATGGACAGGGGGGCTCGAAAAGCCTTTAGTTACTTCCTTCCAATGGAATTATAATGTAGGGGTCTAATACAAAAGCTGTATGCATGACTATTCTCTGCGTTTGATAACAAAACAAGAGTCTGGATAATGTAAAAATTATCAAAAAGGAATATTTGATTCATAAAAATACAAATGATGTACTTGACATAGTCTTTGATATTGGCCATTAAAAAGTTAATTCAGTTCACAAAGGGCCTCATTTCATTTAAAATCCATTCTGTACATATATAGTAAGGGGTCCTTGTTTGTTTGTTTGTTTGATTGGGTTTTACGTCACACTGACACAGTATAGGTCATATGATTTCAGGCAGGAACAGGCACCTGAGTAGAACCACCGACGTTCCGTAAGCTAGCTGGACAGCTTCCTCACAATCATGAAAGAATCCAAAGTCCCTGTCAGGATTCGAACCCACAGCAGTGAGGGGCAAGTGGTCTGAAATCAACAATCTTAACCACTCGGTCACAGACGACCCAGTTAGGCCATCCTTAAAAAAATGTTTGTTTGCAGTAACGCGACCGACTCACAAAATTTGCCCCTACTCAAAATTTTTTTCATGGTCAGGATAAATTTATTTTTTTTTTGAATCAGAAAATTATGCCTTGTGCTTTGTTTAAATTCTTTTAAAGGTTAATAGAAGAAATAAAATGTAGGGCTTATTAAATTAGAATTCAGTTATCAATTTATTAATTGTTACCAGATTATCAAAGCATATATTGTCCTGCATTTTGAAATGCCATGTTTATTTGGGAGTACAGTTCAATAAAAAAAAATCGACCTACCTACCCACCTTGAAAATTCTGTGTCGGATTACTGCAAACAAACATTTTTTTAAGGATGGCCTTATGGGTCTTAGTTGTAATTCAAAAAGCGTAAATCAAGTTTCAAATAAATACAATCAGTAGAAATTAATGTTGCAAGCTAGACTTTAACTAAAACTTTTCTTAATTCATGAAGGGCCACATGAATCAGTGAAAATCCATGTTATTGGCTACCTTCAAATATGATCCCAAAGACATGTTTCATTTGATGTATCAAAGCTCCAATAGTTATGAACATTGATGTTGTACAAAAAACTTGAACCAAGAATTTGCTAAGATTATAAAGGGCTATAATTAAGATAAAATCTATGATAGTTATGGGCCTTGGAAAGTGTCATATACTTTGAAATAAATTGAAAATTGTATTTTTATGCTTTTTTTAGCCCGATTTGAGTGAAAAGGGTTTAAACGCTTCTCATTTTGCATCATTCTTTTTCTTTTACAATTTGAATAATTATTCTGGAAAAACAAAGTGTGCGAATGATCAAGAATTTTGCACAAAGATTAGTGGTCTTCATCTACATCAAATTATACATTTATCTGGAAAAAATATTTTCAGTCCCATCATGTCAAAATACCTCGGTGGAGTCCCTTTCAAGTGAATTAGAATTGAAAATTTTTATAAATGTATGGGTAAATTCCATTCTAAGTGGTTGGAATTTGATTTCCCCTTTTCTGATTTATCACGCTATATTTTCCCCTTCAGAATGCCACAAGTTGTTTTGAAAATTGAAAAAAAAATAACTGGGGGTGGACATTAAGGTGGTATGAATGGACAGACGGAGACCATTCCTATAATCCCCTCCCTGCTTTGTTGTTGTTAAACAATTAAAACTGTTAAATCAGTCTTCTTACTTTGAAGATGTTTTAGCTTTAGAAGAATTTGTAAAACTTTTGCCTATTCTTACCTCTTTTAAGTTATACATTGAAAACACTGATAATTACTATATTTACATACAGTCTCTTTTGAAACATAAAATAAAAATCTTTTGAACACACACAGAGAAAATATGTTACGTTGTAAACTCTACTCACAGTATGATTACATAGTGTCATTAAAATAACTGGCAGTTTTTATAAGAATAGACCAAGTAATAAGGAATGCAGCTTTCCAAACACAGTTTATACTTTCACTTATTCAAATTCGATTTTAATTCAGGAAGAATTTCATAGATTTCAATAAATTTCTGCAATTAAAGTATTTTACCCCAGGATGTGCATAGTTTAATATCTTTAAAAGTCATGAAAACTACTGCGGTAATGATTTTCATACTGGCTGTATGTATTTGTTTCAATCAGTACAATAAAAGGGACTTAATTATTGTGTTTTTATCCTCTTTGCCAATAGAGGTTATTTCTTGATGGAAATTATGAAAAATATAAAATAATTGCAAGATTTTTTTATTTCATTACCAGTTATTATTGTAAAAGTATAATATATATAATATATATATATTTTTTTTTTTTGGTTAGGTGTAAAAGTTAAATGTAAAATCTTCAATTATTTACCAGACAGAGTGACCTTGACAGAATTTTCCCTGGACTGAGTGAAATTCTACCGGTCAGGTCTGTCGAACGGCACTTTTTCATAGGTCTGATGCAGTATCAATTGAAATGCTTTGTTTTGCTGCTGGTTTACACTAGCGTACAAACAAAATTAAAGTTTGAGGAAAATATTCAATATAAAAGTTATAATTTCCATTTTATGCGATCAAGGACCGATTTTGCACTATTTTCCACAATATTTCTACTGTGTTACTAATGTTGTAAGGGCTATTTTCACATATTTTGACATCTTTCTGATATTTTACATTGGTTTTAATTGCCGTTTGCAATGTGTAAATTATTTTCTTTGTTCACGAATAACAATTTTTTACATCTTTATACATTTTCAAAATTTCCATGAAAAGTAGCAGGAATCTGGAGGTGTGCTCCTTTAAAGCTTCTTTTCTGTTTTTGAAAATCTGTATGATGATAAATCGTTATTATTTTAAATCGAAATAATTAAATACTTATAAATAATTACCATTACAAGTTTCAATGAGGCGGGGATATTAAGATTGCTATTTGAATCAATAAAAGTAACATGATACTTTTTTAGATTTTCAAAATGTATGTAAAGTAAAATAGTGATAAATTGTTACGGATCAGCCATGGCAATGTAATACCTAAACGAATTCACTTTACCAAAAGGAAAATTGCAATCATTGGAAATGAATGCCTTAATCATGTTAATACAGCCGAGTGGAATCATGACATAATAGCTCTGCTTCATTGAAAAGTGAAACTTAGTTTTGAAAATTTTAACTAACAAGTTAATGAAAATTATTTGGAACATTATTAATATAGATCTAAGAAGATTAATAAATACTGTTGATCATTCTATTTATTTATAATATCATCAAAAAAAAAAAAAAAAATTAAGCATTTCAATTGTCTCATTAAACAGAACACGGTAAAAATCATTAGTTGCATGATTTTCCTAATTGACATTTAAGTTTTTCTTAAACTGATGTATTAAAACATGTTGATTTTATAAATTGCTTTCAGGGTTGTCATTAAGAGGCGGCAGGAGGCCAAAATGCCTGTCTCAGATGCATTATGGGCCGCCTCAAAATTAAGAAAACACTCTTTGTTATGCATGATAAAGACAGAAATGACCGCCTCAATTTCAAAACAAACCTTCTGCAAAAAATGTTAATGACAACCCTGTGCTTTAAGAAAACTTCACAAAAATTCATCTATGTAATTTAATTAAGAAAAAAAACAGGTTTTACTACATTTATATAAGCTTACTCCTTGTAGTATTATAATGTATTTATTTTGTAAGAACCTCCACTTACTGATTACACATAACATGTCATCCAAGAGCTTGTTTTTTGTTGTTGTTTTTTTTGTTTTTTATCGATATATGTAAGATATCAAAAAATAATATTCATGCATCTGTTGGAAAGATAATTTGCTTTTTATATCATTTTAATTCTATTACTAAAATCTAATAAATTTGTGTTGTAATTAGATAATTATAAACTTTACCAAATAATTATCTTTATAGATCTAATGGTTTTAAATTTTCAGTTAAATTTCTGAGAAAAAAAGTTTTGGAACTTAAGATTTTAAATAGCTGACATAAAGCCTATGCAAATATCTATTAAATTTGGGGGAGAGTTTTTAAAAAGTGCTATACTCTAGACCTAGCTAAAATAAGAATGCTTTATTCAGAATTTTTTTCAAACGATTCAATTTTTCTTTGTGAAATAGATCTAGATCTATATGCGTACATGTATTTTTTTTAATCAACAGACAGCAGTAAAAAGTAAAGTACTTTTCTCAAAGATGTAAATTAGGATTGCAATATTAACTCAAGATACAAAATTTTAGAAATTAGATATTAGATTTCTATTTTAATGTTTAAAATGTAACATTTAATTTGCTGTGACATAAACCGGCTGTGAAGATATTCCAATTTGATTCCATTAACCATATTTTTCAACAGATAATTGAAACAATGAGATCTAACAAGTGACACACAGGAAGGTCAAACATAATATGGGCTAAATCCTGTTCCTGTTTCTTAAAATTAAGTTTTCAGTGGTATAATACAAACTTACAGCTTATTTTAACAAAGTACTAAAGATGTGCTTTAAATTCAACAAGCATATTTATCCCATCTGAAACAATAACAACAGCAATAATTACCATGCCCAGTTTTACTAAAATAACAAACCCATATAAAATATACCTCAAGCGGGAATTTGTCTTCTGTATCGGGAAGATAATGTTATTAAAAGTTTAAGTCATTTTTCTTGAAAAATACAGAAGCTACAATTAATTTCATCTTTGCAACATTTTAAAAATAGCATAATCACTTAATTTGACATAGTCTCACTTGTAAATAGCAACACCATGACGAAAAATAAGCAATAATCAACAACGTGACCATCCGCAATGCACACCGAAGTACCTATAACACCGTAATCTTGCCCATTTTATACGATGGCTTACAATTCTTTACATAATTCAGTTAACATAAATATAACACTTTCAAATAGGAAGCAAATGATTTAAGAAACGATTTTCTTAAACTATAATAAAAGGGAATCATTTTGTGCTAATAAATAAGCTCGCAAACTTCACCTATGTTAGACTTACAAAGAATCCGCCATTTTGTGTAAAATGAATATTTTCGCAAAGAACTCTGGGAACAGAATATTCTCCTTGGACACGTGGAGTGTCACATGATCATCAATCTATAAATAGTATTAGATTAATAGTTAGGACTCCTAGATTTATTAATTATTTTACATTAATTGATCGAATATGATGATATTATAATATTCAGTCTACTGTTAACCTGTTATGTACAACCTGTTAGTTTACGTAGTATTTTTTCACCGAATAATATTGGTAAATGCATTTTCGTCTGCTCAAGAGGCTTCAGCTTAAAGAGGCGTATAAGTTTGGGTGGCGATAATCGCACTTCTCAAATGTCTCATTATACATGTGCACTGTCTTTTGAAAGAAAGAAAAAGTTGTGTACAAGCCTCTCATTATTGTGCACGTAGATCTAAGTTCTGTATTTATAAATAAAGCCTAGATCTAGAGTTTTGCGAAAGTTGGTACATTTTTGTATTTCTATATGAAGCCCGAAGTATTTATATAACAACAAAATGGAAAATGAACATATGCCTATAGCTACAGAATATATAGACCACAAATGTTCGATTGTGCCATTGATTTATTTGTTGATATTAAGCTCCTAATCTTAACTTGACAAACGTATAGGCTATGTTTAAGAATCTAGATGTACATGTAGGACTCTAGATCAAGCTGATATTAAGGACAAAATAGTAAAAACAAGCAAAATGAGCGGTAAACATACGTAGCCTACTGTTTAGATGGCGTTTTCCTCATTCATGTACGAAATTGCTTAGTGCGAAATAAACTATATAAAACAAGGTGAATATGTTAAATTGTACATCATTTTGTCACTGGTATTGGAAGAAAAATATTAATGATTTAATGTTCAGCTACGTATTTTTACATTGACCTTCACATTTATAAATTTATCATTTATAAAGGGTCTCACTTCAATGCATTTAATATGCCACTGCGGGATATATATAATATGATATAGGCCTACTCGATCATTATAGCACTAGGGGCCTACCATGCCACGGCTAAAAATTTATAAAGCCTGTTGGATCTATATTTTTACTCTGTACTTAAATTCGCTAAATATTTACGGTCGCATTTTGTTTTACGTTACAGTCGTACGTAGTGCAGGGGCAGTGCTAGGTGTCTTGCAAGATTGTAACATACCCTGTGAGGAGCACCGATACATAATCATGATAATGATATACATATATCACCTCGGTTTTTTAGGAAAGATACGAGGGATCGAACCTGTCACAATACGTAAAAATATAGGGGCGGTTACAGATTATTTTTTTTATTTATTTATTTATTTATTTTTTTGGTAAATGGGAGCGTTATTTCAGCGGCGGTTCTAGGTGCTGTCAATTGAATCTTGATCAATCAGTAAGGGTATGAGTCATACAGTGCACGGTATCGTTGATTTTCATTTAAATAAAATCCATGATAACTGAATAAAAGAATGATTATAAAAAGCCTCCATCTTGAAAAGCAAATATAGGCCCATGTTTTTGTCACAGCTTTAATTAAAGCCATGGTTTTTGTTCAGTTTGATAATATGATATGTATATAAATGAAAACGCTCATCTTTTTTCAGTTAATTTTGTGTTGGTTTCTAGCAAAACAAACTTATTATATAGCGAACTGGAAACTCGCGCAACAAACGTGAACTTTTTACAGATTCGACGTTATCCCACATTTTACTTACTAGTAGTTTTAATAGCAAATACTAGTAGTAAATTAGTAAAATGATAAGAACTGTACATTAGTCTAGAGCTCCATTTAAATGAGTCTGTTGCTTATTAAGAAAATAATGACACGACGCGAAAATATAAAATACATAATATGGCGCAGTTGACAGTTTTTGGCTCTGTCTTGTTTAACTGTTATGTTGATTATCCCGCCCCCCCCCTCCCCCCCCAAAAAAAAAAACCCCTTCCACTTTCGTTTACATAGTGTCGTCAATACGATATGCTTGCAAGATCCAAAGCCATTCTTCCACGATTTGTTTATTAGCACGAAGGCTATTTATTGTTTTCTTCTGACTAATCATTTGAAACCAACTCGTCTAAAAATCATATGACTGATCAATATTTTCAAAATTAAGACATTTTACTGTTGATTTTATAACAATTATCAACAAAAGATAAAAGAATTATCCCAAAAAAACAAACAAGTAAAAAAGGTCATATGTAAAATTGCTTTTTGGTCTAGAATTATATCACGTGATTGCACTTAAATTTAATGACAGCGTCCTCTACGGAGAACTTTACATAGTTATGCATAATTGCATATGTGACAAAGCTGTCGAAGCTAGTTTTCATTATATATGTTCTTGCATCCTGTTTCATTTGGTAACATCCAAACGGGATACGTCTTTGGATAGGTTGGTTAAGTCAATGGATAGGATTTTCGACGATTTTATTATAAAGGAGTTACCAAAAGCCAAGGCGGTTAAGAATGAAATGGAAATTGATAGAACAGCATGATGAATATGATAACGTATATAGGCCGTGGGAATTTAGACCTTTGATCGGTGACAAGGGTAATACGAGGTTAGGTTTTCAGCGTCTAGGATTTTCCGGATTGTTGGTCTGTGTTGTGCTGTCGGGGCCTTAGTATTCTCCTATGGGATAATGAGGATATTAGTCTTTCATGCCATTACCTATTATAAGGAGGGATTCGAACTAATTCATCCCAACATGCGAGATAATTCTTCGCCCAGAAACGTTACTTTCCATGACAGGGCATCTTTATCATTTTCTCCGTGTGCTTAGAGCTGCCAGTGTTCAAATCGGGATAAAGTAGAGACATTTAGAATTCTGACAGATAAAAATTATGTAATGCTGCATTTAATAATAGGAACGTTTATAATGCATGTTTATGATGGTGATGTGAACAAACCTCACCATGACAGCTAAAAAGCAATATCAACGGGCTTTTTGAGACCTCCGGGACAGGCTTGATGATTTTGGAGTCCCGTTATATGCATTGGCCAGCAAAGCCCTTTGCGGCAATGTGCATCATCCATATCAAGTCAGGGTGTATATAGTTATAGTTTTTGCCATATAGTTAAGTGGACCATCAAACGGGACTCCTGCTTTCAAGCTTGATCCTACTTCTGTCAAAGAAGCGAAACAGTCCGCTAATGAATATCAGCAGATGCATGTCGTATTTGGTAGAAGAAAACGCGATAATAGGCACGGTTGAGAGATGAGAGAGTATCAGCGGTACGAACGCACAATCATATCAGTCTAGATGTACATTAATAAATTATGCTGTTCGCTATCAATTTCTCTACTTGTTATAGGGTTTCTAAGCGAACAGCATGGATCCTAATCAGACAGCGCGGATGCGCAGGCTGGTCTGGGTCCATGCTGGTCGCAAACCCATTGTGTTGGTTTTGTCATGGCGCGGCTCATTTTTTATTGTCTTTGCAAAAAGGTCCACCGAAAGGCAGATACAGGCGTTCAGATTAATTCTCGACGTCAATATTAGTCAGACATGTATATATTATATGTATGTACATGTATATGTATTACCAAACTATAACCTGTTAAAGGTCGAAGGAACATTTCATAGTTCCATCTTATATCTTTTGAAAAAGTATTACATGTATACATGTAGGACATTCTATAACTGTAGTTAACTGTGATGCTTGTTTGTTGTCGTGTGCTTAGTTCGTCGAAAGTTTATTATCATTTAAAATGCCCCAAGTGATGACTTGGATATTATTCATTTCAATGGAAATTTTAATTTTAAGTCTTTAATTATCTTCTAAATTAATAATTACTAATCGAAATATGTGCAGATGTTTTATCTGAAAAGAAGTTTTAAAATAATCTGCTGTAAAATGTACTTTTTTGGTGGCTGATTTGTGCCATTCGTGTTTTCGACCCGTGACCCCGCCAAGCGAAAAGTCGAAAATTAACAAGTTGAAATGGCGGGGGCGCGGACAAGACACTAATTATAGCGAGGGCGGGGGCGCGGAGCGAGATTAAAAAAATAAAACGGCGGGGTCGCGTGACGAAAACACGCGCCCCGCTATTTAGCGTGTTTTCGTCCCGTGACTCCGCCAAGCGAAAAGTCGAGGATGAACAAGTTAAAATGGCGGGGGCGCGGAGCGAAAACACGATAATTAGCGTGGGCACTAATTAGCGTGTTTTTGCTCCGCGCCCCGTCGTTATTTTTTAAAACTTCGCCCCGCGCCCTCGCTAATTAATGAGCGTGTTTTCGCTCCGCACCTCCGCCATTTTAACTTCCTAATTCTCGACTTTTCACTTGGCGGGGTCGCGGGCCGAAAACACGAATGGCACAAATCAGCCACCATATACTTTTTGGTACCTGTGTACCGGTATAACACCGCGTGTACAATGCATATTGAACTTAAAAAAAGAAATACACTTTATAGAAGAAACCGAACGATTTTAGGTTCTATATAGTATAATTAAGAACAGTAAATTCTAAAGTTTTGTAGACAAATACATGGACGGACATATATACCCATCTTGTTGAAATCGAAAGGAATTGTCCCTGGCAAATAAGCAAATGAGTTTTAGAAGACTCTACTATGAATAAGCAAATGTGTTTTATAAGACTAGATACTATGGAATACCACTCTCTACAATATTTCTATTTGTTTGTCAATTGTATGTCTTGAAAGGATTCTAATTAATTCTGACTTCTTAAAAAAGAAATAAATCTACCTATATGTCGTTGTATGAACGCATGTTTTCATTGTATGAAATACACTTTATTGTAGGGAAAAAAACGAACTTTAAAGTAGGTTGGAATGTGGTCGCCGTTAAAAAGTTCGGCCTTATTGCAGAGCGAATATAGGCGTAACCTTTCGGTGCCCCTTAAAAGCAAGGGAAGATAAAAAGTCGTACATGCGGACATTTTCGGATAAATGTAAAAGTATTCCGAGTATTAGGGACGATTTGTACTTCCGTGTCCAGGAATTGGGAGTATTTCAATTGATTTTGCTATAATGTGATAAATCGACTTAAAAAGGTAGACATTTTCACATTTATTTAAATCTACACTGTTATACTTTTATACTGCACTTCTTTAAACCTTTAAAACACATGTAAGTTAAAAGGTTAAACTCGAATCAACATTCTTGTTTCGGTTTAGATTTGTTTTAGCTGTGTGGGGTTCTTTGAAGGGAAGAAGCTTAGTGAAAGGGATTCAATGCTTCCATTTGTTTAAGAAAACATAAAGTAAGTGTGTTGTTACTTATTTGGACATATCATGTTTTTCTATGCCTGATGTCGACTTATGTTGGTGTGTATTTACTGAGATATTAAAACTAGTACATATCTGTATTTAAAACATGAATGGGCATGCGCGTAGATAACATTTGTGGGTCGGTAAAAAAGTAGCGGTATTTGCAAGATGTCGCGTTTTAAATGTGTAGTGCATCATAAATGCAACAGAATGCTATTTATATATACTAGCATATTTTCGTAACATGTCTAAAGCTAAGATAATCATAAATTTGAGAAAAGAGCGCGATTGTATACATTTTATGTTCCGTCACTTCGAGATTTGACATAGCCCCCGGCCTGATCCGTTCCTGTTTAAGTGTCAATAAAAAAAAACTACCCGTCATAATTTTAAAGCCTTTTCAGGACGCATAAAAACCCCCACTTAATGGATTTTTTTGTTGATTCGCGTGAAAATTGAATCAAACTAAGTTTATGACTGAGACATATATGCCCCGCTCGTGTAACTCACCTCCAGATGAGCCAAAATATTTGAAGAAATTCAATCTTTAAAAAATGTATAAAATCTTATGAAAAGTATAACGATTCAATACTTGATTATTTATTTACATGTTATGTGTGATCAGTGACTGATTTTGCCGTATAAATCACGATATTTCTACTGCGTTACTAACGCAGTTTACTAAGCGATATTTATGTATATTTTGATCTCTTTTTGGTTATTTACGTGGATTGTAAGTGACGTTTGCAATGTGTAAATTACTAACTTTGTTCACTTCACTATATGTTACATTGAAATAAATGTTCGAAGTTTTCATGAAATTAGGTAAGCTGTGGAATTCTAGTTCGTTTTATTGATGTTAATGAAACGACGAAACGACGATTTCCGGTGTTCCACATTGGCAATTGTTTATATACTAGTAGTAGGCTTTTCACCGTAATTTATCGGTGGTTTTGTTAGTAAGCCTTAGACTGCATGGCTTAGAGTGTTGAATTATTTTTTTAGGGCTGAAGCAAGGGTCCTGGGGTAGACAGGGGTGGGGTGTCCAAATACTGATACTGCCACTTTTTGTCAAGAACAAAAATATCTCAGAATATCGGGTCAGTGATTTCAGACGTTAAAATAATTTGACTTGGTTGCACTTGATCTGACTGAATAAGATATACACTTCCATAACATGAATTGTTCTTTCCTTCAACTTGGCATTTAGTACATATCTGAACGAGTATCCGCTCTCGTTTGTATATATCAATGACTGTATAGTGTAAGTAATAGAAAGAGCATCGAAACACGAGACTATCTGATATATACGAGGGGGCATAGCCCCCCCCCCCCCCCGAGTATAAATCAGATTGCCGAGTGTTTTGATGTTCTTTCTCTTTTGTATCATAGTCAAACATAAAAACACGGTCCCTGTTGTCATAATATGAAACCCCGGAGAAAAGTAACTCATGAAAGAGCATTTAAATATGACATTTCTGTCGCTTTCCCTTTCTCTGCCGTCACAATAAGTAAAGTCCAGCAAAAATGAGCCACTCAATGAGCATGCTCTTGAGTGCGAGTAACTAATACCTGCACTCCAGTTAACGCACGGTGCATGTATATGTATACGTTTTAACTCGGACACATTTTCAACAAAAAGGCCCCCAAACTATGATACAATAAAACGGTATTGCTAGGGTGCAATTCAAAAAATCGAACGTTTGACTTCTACCGTTAATAAATGTTTCTAAGCAGGTGCGTGCCACGTGATCGTTCTTGTCAACTTTCATATTCTTCAAAAAGTTATATAATCAATATGCGGAACAGTGACAATATTAGGTAGTGCATGGGACTCATTTCTGACACATTTAGTTTAGTAGATCACCTTTTTTTTAGGTAGCGTTCATTTAACCATGACTGGCTGTGCATCACGTGATTTCCTATAACCACGTGCTTTAACGCATGCGTTTATGTCAGTCACTTCTTAATCACGTTTTCATGAAGCTGAAACGCCACTATCTAGTGGCAATTCGGAATTATAGACTTCATTTTAAGTTTGTGCTGACACAGACGTTTCGGGATTAGATCCTCTCATCCCCCAACGTAATACGCCCCTGTAAACACTATTAAAAACCAAATGCCTGGCGAATTTCATGACCTTATTGGCAGCTAAGAATGATACCAGAAATTAACCGGTCTAACTATGTTTACATGCATAGACTGAAGATCTTAACTTAAGACAAATAAAGATCTTAACTTAAGTCAGATTGGAAATTAACAATACTTTGTTTCTTTTGTATGAGGCATAATCTTATCGACCACTGTTTTGTATGCAGAATTAATACTGGCAATGCGGTATTTGTTTTTGTTTTGTTTGTTTTAACTTTTCTTTTGTTTAAAGAAAAATATGCTCTTAAAAATATTATTTGGTGATCAATAGTTACATTATAACATATTATAACTTTGTTAACGTACATGTATATACCACTAGCATAATTGGTCTGGGAGTCACTCTGCGGTTGCTTTGTTAACACTTTGCTGGTATAAATGGTGCTTAGTTTAGTTTAATACTATTTTATTGCTTTTTGAATACAATTTAATACGTATCAACTTATAACATAGAGCAATAGGGTTGAACAATAAGATGCTCGGAAATGCCACAAATGTCAATGTCATATTCATTGCAGCATCGCTTAAGTTTGATACGCTTTTTATTAAAAAGATGTGGCTTCCGTAAGGAAGTTATGTAAAAGTATAAAAAAAGAAAGAGGAACGAAAAAAAAGAAACACATAAAATTGAGCCCAGACATGTAAGAGCGGTTTAATATATGAGCCTTTCATTAAAATATTTTTTTTTACTTAAACTTACTTTGAAACTTGATTTCATTTCACAAGTTATCTTTATTCATTTTTGTTCAGTCGTTGTATTATATGCGGGGAAGTTTTGAAGGATCAAAAGCCCCACGCAAAAAGCCCCCCCATCCTTTGTCTCCTAAAATGTCAGTAATAGAACACAGCTAATATGTTTAAATCGACGCTATAATGTTATGTGGCTAAGAGTTTTATGATAAATGTTTGTTGCGATCGCATCAAGAATTGAGTTTAGTTTTAACTCCGTCCGATTCTTTTACCTGATTGCAAAAAGTTCCTATGTCTGTAGGCCATAAATTATTACATACCTTTTGTTTCAAAAATACATGGCAAGAATTTTTGGGCCACCACTCTTCTTGTCATCCGCTTTGTATATAAAGTTTTGCCCTTTTTTACATTTTGAGCCACGTCACGACAAAACCAGCAGAATGGGTTTGCGACCAGCATGGATCCAGACCAGCGCAGTCTGATCAGGATCCATGCCGTTCGCTTACAAACCCTATTACAAGTACAGAAACTGCTGGCGAACAGCATGGATCCTTATCAGACTGCACGGATGCGCAGGGTGGTCTGGATCCATGCTGGTAGCAAACGCACTTGGTTTTGTCGTGACGCGGCTCAAATAGTTTTATTCTTCGAGTTTATAATTGATAAGTTTGATAACACGTCAGAGAAAAATGCCACAATTGGATATAGATTTTCAACATGTGAATGCGGTTTTCATTTTGTACATTGGAAATGCAGTATGACTGTATCTGTAAACGAGTTCCATGGGTTCCGTGCGTGTTGCTGGGTTGTTTTGGGGGCTGCTTTCATTGAATACAGCGCTTCCTTATTGATCTTTGTTATCATACTTTATAGAACAATCGTATACTAGTATAAGTTTACTGGATGTGACTCTTTTTGTATTTGGTGAAAATACATTTGTATTTGATAAATTGTTTTGAAAAACGTACCCATTATAAGTTTTATTAAGGATCATTTAATTGAAATGTCCTGTAGCTATTGCATGATCTTTAATTGCAACACACGTTATCTATTTTTTTTATCACAGATGAGCCAGTATCAGTATCAAGTTTCCGGTGCAACCGGTGGCGGGGGATCGTCGTCAGCCGGAACGGTTCTTGGCAGTGATAAAAAAGACAAGTTATTGGTGGCTGCCATAGATTTTGGAACTACTTTTAGTGGCTATGCGTTTTCATTTAAACATGACTATCAAGCAGACCCGTCAAAGGTGTCGACCAATCAAAACTGGGTTGCAGGATCTATGGCCCTTGTGTCATTGAAAGCTCCGACTGTTGTTTTATTTGACGAGAATAAAAAATTCCACAGCTTTGGTTACGAGGCAGAGAATACATATTCAGAATTAGCTTTAGATGGTGAACATCACAAATGGTATTTCTTCAAACGCTTCAAAATGAGACTTCATGAGAAGAAAGTAAGTTCATATTGATTTGTATATCGTTTGGAATCGCCAGTAAATGCAGTCAGTGAATACACCGTCTTTATCCGTGAAGGTTAATACATGTATATACAATACTGGAAATACTGGAAGAATTATGTAAAAGTAACATGAAATCTGCAATATTCATGTATATGGTTCAATATGCCCGAAACAAGAAACGCTATAAGGTACTATTTTATCTGTTCCTTCGAGTGTTTTATGACATCAGCAGATCGCAAATGTCTCGGATATCCCGAAAAATTAAACAACAATAAACTAAGTTAAATATGAGTTTTTTTTTTAATAAATAACGAGTGTCACAAAAGTCGCATTCAATGCGGTAGTCAAGTTTCGACTATATATTTTGGGCTTGAAGTACATTGAACAAAATTAAGATGCTGACAGAGTCATCGAGTAGTTTAAAACAAGTCATGTAACTGGAAAAAAAACTCTGGAAATTACAATAACAGATATTGTGGATATTGTTAGATTAAGTCATTCATTTGACAGACACTTTAACGTTTTCATAATGTCATAGTTCTCTATAACAATCATTGTGAACTCTAAATGCTCTAACCTGACCCACGTGGGAAACCACCATTTTATTCTTCATAGGGAGAGAAGTTAAGGTCCGGTGACTACTTAGTTTATTCATTTCAAGGACATTTATAGAATATTGAAAGAAAAATTCAAATCAAAGAAATGATTATTTTGCCTGTGTCTCCCTTAATTAAGGATCTTTAAAAGTAAACACTTTCCTGGAAATCTTTACTTACCGCGTTGCTCGTTACGGTTATATATAGCACATGTTTTATGTTGGTCATTTATTGGCAATTGCACAGATTCTATGTTAATATTGCACCATTCATGCGTTATTTTCATATTACTTAGCTTGTGGAAAGCTTCTATTTTCTATCACCTGACTGCTTGAATATAATAAGAAAGTGAACCTTGTATATTTACAAGCGAAAACCAAACAAGCTCAGTGCCTTCAGCTCTTCGATTACCTAGTCAAGACTGGCTGTCTCTATATTAGTTGTTGAGACGTTTTACATTTGAAAACTTATAGAACTATGATTATATATAGATGTTATTGATCTTATATGCTCAATCTGGAAACAGTTAATTAATAATTATCTACTACACAAACTTTTGTGTAGTAGATAATTATTGATCTTATATAGAAATAAAAGTGTATGTGCAACTTAAAATGTTTGCTAAAAGGCATCGCTTGTATCAGGTCTAGGTTTTTCCACTGGATAACTACACTCGTAAAGCATAACTTTTTAGTGATGGTACAATAAATACAATGAAAGCTATAAACAGTATAGATCCTAGTCAGACTGCACGGATGTGCCAGCTGGACTAACTTTATTCGGGTGGCAAAGTTTGGGCTAAAAGTCTTTTACAAGAAGCGACCTCTGTGTGCATGCATTTAATTTTTCTTCTGTCTGTAAACAGATAACACGGGGCATAGAGATTGATGATGACAAAGGTAGGAAGATGAAAGCTATTGATGTGTTTGGTGCTGTCATTAGATATCTGAAAGATCATTTGCTTGACCTGTTGAAAACAAGAGGAACGGAGGTACAGAACAAAGACATACACTGGGTTTTGACCGTACCGGCTATATGGACAGACTCCGCCAAACAATTTATGAGGGAAGCCGCATATAAGGTATTGTCTAAGTTAAAATATAGATTCAGAGTAGGAATAATGATTAAAATACTAAAGATACTCTAGTATTATATATAGTACCTGTAATTTTTACACCTGTAATTTTATAAGTTTTGCGACACTAATGTAACTGTGTCACAAAATGTCTTGGTTATTTTTTTTTTCACTTTACAGGCGGATATAGATGGCTCTCAACTATCAATAGCTTTAGAACCAGAAGCAGCTAGTTTATATTGCCAAATGATTCCTACGGACAAGATACATGGGTCAGAGGGCGCTAAATTCGCTGTAGCTAGTCCAGGAACAAAGTACATGGTTATTGATTTAGGAGGTATTAATCATTTTAATATTGAAATAAAGAAAAGAGATCTAATCAAAATTTGGGCTTAATCAGAATAAAACATCCACATTGTATGTATATTGTGAAATTTAGATTAACGAGTACTTGTACTTACATTCGATAAGTGTAATTATCTTTCAGACTATCACCATTATTGTTTTCTTTTTGCTTTCCAGGCGGTACGGCAGACATTACAGTACACGAGCGGCAAGCAGATGGTGGTCTTAAAGAATTACACAAAGCAAGTGGTGGTGCGTGGGGCGGAACTAAAGTTGACGAGGAGTTCTATGGCACCCTTCTGAGAATTATCGGAGGTCCTGTCTTTCAAAAATTCAAAGACGACTGTAAAGCTGATTATTTAGATTTGCAACGTGAACTTGAAACGAAAAAACGGACAATTAAGCCTGACTCGAGTGGTAAAATAACAATTAAAGTGCCAGTTGCTATTTCGACCACTTACAGTGAAGAGATGGCCGAAAATGTTACAGAAGCTATAGAAGGGTCACCTTATAGAGGTAAAATAACATGGCTTTCAGATAAAATGAGAATAGATGCACAAATATTTCAAAATCTGTTTAAACCGTGTACAGATAAGATAGTGGCTCACATTAAAGATTTACTGAAAGAACCTGATGTTCAAGGTACAAACATATTTCTGATGGTTGGTGGATTTTCAGAATCAGTAATGCTTCAGGATGCAATCACGAAAGCTCTCCCGAAAAGCAAGGTGATCATTCCAGCTGAAGCCGGACTTACAGTTCTAAAAGGCGCTGTTATATTTGGCCATCGACCCGTGGCAATCACCTCCCGCGTGTCTAAATACACATATGGGATCAATATATCACCACCATTTGACCCATCCATCCACCCAGAAGATCACAGGGTGTCTGTGGGCGGTATAGATCGTTGTCGGGATGTCTTCAAGAAGTATATCCATGAAGGCGAGACGGTCAAAGTTGGAGAAGCACGGTCCGGGAAACATGTCACACTGAAATCTAACCAGAAAGAAATGCTGCTAAAAATATTTGCCTCGCCAAAGAGGGACCCCAAGTTTGTTGACGAGGATGACACGGAATACCTAGGTAAAGTTGTAGTGAATCTTCCCGACAGCGAAGACAAAATCAGAGTGGAAGTCAAAATGATGTTCGGGGAAACTGAACTAACTGTTGAAGCTATAGAACTTTCTCAACATACCAAATATAGAGCATATTTCGATTTCCTATAAGTAAACATAAATATGAATTGAAACCTGTTCTGGTTTATGAACTAATTCTTACATATTTATATACACTTTATATAATTTGAAACAATCTAAGGATATGAAATTCTTGGAAGTGTTAACATTGTATTATTAGGCGGAAGTTAAATTATGTATAATTTCAATTTGCTAATTTTGAGGAGATGTTTGATTATATGTGGGGGTCATACAAAAATCTGATGTTATTGTGATACACTTTTATATGATGAATTATACATGTATATGATATATAAAATGAAGCATGTTTGAAAGGTATGAATGCTGATAACAATTAAATTTAACAAACCTATGTTGATAATGTTGTTTTATCTGTTATAAGTTCGATAAACATTATGAATTTATAATTAAATATGTTTTTTTTGGAACAGACGTTGACTTTTTTATTTATACATGTAGTTTATTTTTATACGCCCGTTTGAAAAACGGGACGTATTATGGGAACGCCCCTGGCGGTCGGGCGGGCGGGCGGCGTCCAATTTTGTCCGGAGCATATCTCCTACATGTATGGAGGGATTTTAATGAAACTTCATAGAAATGTTCACCACTATGAGGAGCAGTGTCGCGCACATGAACCAGGTCTCTAGGTTAAAGGTCAAGGTCACACTTAGAGCTCATTGAAAAATGCTTGTCCGGAGCAAAACTTCCACATGTATAGAGGGATTTCAATATTACTTGGCACAAATGTTCACCATTGTGAGGCGGAGTGTCGCGCGCAAGATTCAGGTCCTTGCGGCCAAGGTCAAGGTCACACATAGAGGTCAAAGTTCAGATAAAAATATGAAGATGTGTATATGGACCATATAGTTATCATTTATTGAGGGATTGTAACACAAATGGTCATTATCAAGACTATGGCTGTGATACATATAATTTAGGTCAATATATACAAGGTCAAGGTCACTAAAGATGATGAAATATCCAGATTTTGTCCGGAGCATATCTCCTACACGCATGGAGGGATTTTAATGAAATTTCATAGAAATGTTCACCATTATGAGAAGCCATGTCACGCACATGAACTAGGTCTCTAGGTCAAAGGTCAAGGTCACACTTAGAGCTCATTGAAAAACACTTGTCCGGAGCAAAACTTCCACATGCATAGAGGGATTTCAATATAACTTGGCACAAATGTTCACCATTGTGAGGCGGAGTGTCGCGCACAAAATTCAGGTCCCTGCAGCCAAGGTCAAGGTCACACATAGAGGTCAAAGTTTAGATAAAAATATGAAGATGTGTATAGGGACGATTTAATCATCATTTATTGAGGGATTGTAACACAAATGGTCATTATCATGACTACGGCTGTGACACATGTACTTTAGGTCAATATATGCAAGGTCAAGGTCACTAAAGATGGTGAAATATCCAGATTTTGTCTGGACCATATCTCCTACATGTATGGAAGAATTTTTATAATACTTAATGGAATTGTTCACCACCATGATATGTATTGCTCCATGCATGATCCAGGTCAAAGGTCAAGGTCACACTTAGAGCTCATTGAAAAACGCTTGTCCGAAGCAAAACTTCTACATTCATTGGGGGATTTCAATATAACTTGGCACAAATGTTCACCATTGTGAGGCTGAGTGTCGCACGCAAAATTCAGATCCCTGCGACCAAAGTCAAGGTGACACAGAGGTCAAAGTTCAGATAAAAAATTGAAGATGTGTATAGGGACCATTTAGTCATCATTTATTGATGGATTGTAGCACAAATGGTAACTATCATGACTACAGGTGTGACACATTTAATTTAGGTTAATATTTGCAAGGTCAAGGTCACTGGAGATGATTAAATATCCAGAAGTTGTCCGGAGCATATTTTCTACATGCATGGAGGAATTTTAATGTTACTTTATAGAATTGTTCACCACCATGAGACGTAGTGCCCTGCACATGAACCAAGTCTCTAGGTCAAAGGTGAAGGTCACAGTTAGAGCTCATAGAAAAACGCTTGTCTGGAGCAAAACTTCTACATGCATATAGGAATTTCAATACAATTTGGCACAAATGTTCATCATTGTGAGGCTGAGTGCCGTGCCAAAAATTCAGGTCCCTGCGACCAAGGTCAAGGTCACACATCCTGTGCATATCTTCCCTACTGATTTGTTTTACGGTTCATTTAACAACACAGTGCCAAGAGTAAAAACTTGCTTGCTAGATAACACTTATCCATAATGCCCCCATCTCCATCTAAAGCTTTCGTAAACGGGCGTATTTTGTGACTATGGCACCCTTGTTTAATTTTATAGACTGGACTCTCAACTAGATTTATATTTATTTTAAATTAAAACATCTTATTTAAGCGCACATTTCTTCATAGCAGTCTAGAGATAAGTGGATGTTTCTAAATTCAAAATTTTGCCACTTCATGTTAAAATGTTAAATTCCGCTAAAGCCGGTGCTATGGGGCGTGGACGGTAGTTTGCACTTCTCAGTACCGTCCGTGAACAGGCTCAATCAAACTTTCAATTTTGCCGTGTTGTGCTTTCTTTAGGGTTTCTTTTTTTCTTTATTTTGTTAACATTAATCCACATCTCTGCAACAGAGTGTGATTAGCCGACTTCAAATCAACTTCCTCTTACCGCTGTGTGTACGAATCCCGCCAGGTACTTTGGATACTTTCATGTGAGAAAACTTTCCAGCTAGCTTACAGAAGGTTGGTGATTCTACTTGGGGTTACATGCTTGCGCACGACGGGACACATGCCTTCCTCCACCGGGAAGCTGGAAAGTCGCCATATGACCATGTCGCGTTGGTTCGATTTATAATCAAACGAAAAGAACTTGTTATGCGGTCTGTAAACACGACACGATTGTATGAAACTTCGATAATCTTTTTTAACTCCGTGCATTATACAATAAATTATCAGAAGTGGGATACGAATAAGTGTAAGTGTACGGATTGTTAGAGCGAGAGATGTCATTTATCGGGCTGGGGATCGAAACCACACATACATATTTCTTTGCTTTAAACAATATTTCTAGTACTTACATGCATAATAGATATTCGACTATCACTTGATTTTTCTGTTTTATGTGTATCGCTATGGTCTTCACTTTCCAGACTTAAAATAATTTAGCGTGCCATGATATTCTTTCGGATTTATGGTAATATTTTGTATTTAGATATTAAACTTGGGAATCTGCTGAAATACAAATTCAACATTTGTATTGCTTTTGTAAAATATAATTCAAAATAAGAAGAAAAAAAACCCCAAAAACAACAGAATATTTCCACCGATCTTTCGGGCTGAAATCGAGGACACCATGTTTCAAATTACCTTATACATTTGGATCAATGGGGTTATAGAAAAATAGTGTAATTATTTGAAACAATAAACATATGTTTCTTTTTTTTTTCTTCTCGGTATTACTATATGTCTCATTGAGAAAGAGACCATATACTCAGTTGTGTATACTCTTTGGGGGCAAAAAGTGGCAAATTTGTAGCAAAAGTTGCAGATGTGTATAGACTTAACAATGTATCCCTTTGTATTGAAATTTGATATTTCAGCTATTTACCTAATAATAATTGTTTAAAAACTGCACAGCGCTGATTGGAAAAGCGTGCATCATATCATAAAGAACTATTGGCGTTTCTACAATTACGTCATTTGACCAATAAGTTACAAATATCATGTCACGGCTCATATATATTCTTTAAACTTGGTATGATATTAGAATATGATAAAAGAATTTTTTGAGCGAACACAAATAAAAGGTCACCGATCCAATTTTCTGCACGTGAATTTCATTTTCTTGTTATTTCAGGGGCAGATAATTTATACATACGTCATACATTTCTCCTTTTAATTGTTATGTTTTTCAGTTTATTTATTGCACATTTTCTAAAGAAAATTAAATTCCATAAAATATTTCTGTTACTTTTTTTGAAAAAAAAAACCATAAAGAGATACTTTAAAAAATAAATGCCCTTTAAATCCATTTATTCTTTGATAAATGAAACGAAGAAAAAAGCTAAATCACGGGGCAGGTGTTCACAAAAAGTAATAGATAGAAAATGTTTCGTTAAATAACACTTCCGCTGTAAAGATATATGTGTTCTTAACTTCTTAGTATAACACAGTGACATTCAAAACTGAGATTGTTCTTAGCATATTCAAGAAGCAACGAAGAGCAGCCAGGTTCTGCACAGGTGATTATCGTACACCAGCAGCGTTACTGCAATGATGGAAGCTCTAAGCTGGGACACTCTAGAAGCCCGCCGTCAGCAAACCAAAGCAGTGATGATGTACAGAGTCATTAACAGCCTGGTGGATATCCGAGCCCATCACATACTGATCCCTGCTGGAGTACACACCCGAGGCCATGCCAACAGATACCTACAACCCTTTACCAGTGTCAACTCATACAAGTTTTCGTTCTTTCCTTCTGGGATCCGACTTTGGAACAACCTACCAGAAGTCGTGATGACAGCCCCGTCCCTAGAGGTCTTCAAGACGAGGATGGGTGCGCTGCACGAGTAACTCTGGAGCATGGTGTTCTTAACCTGTTTTAGCTGCACTTGATGTTCCCTTCACTCATGTAAATAGTCACAATTGTGCGACGATGCTCCAGAGGGGCCCAGCACATTACCCGGAAGAAGGAGAAGCATGTTCTGTTAATCTTTATGAGTATTCTGTGATAATACCGGTCAAAGGAATTTTCAATGGAAGGAAATTGGAAGCGGAACTAGGACATCTATTTGTATTTAAACACGAAATAAACCCCTTCTGGGTCACCAACATTAAAAGTTTCCCTTCGCTCATGAACACATCAAGCGTTTCAGATAAGCTCCAATCTATACTTCTCAACTTTTGCTAATCACCATAAGTTAATTGTTATTTTATCACAAGTATAAAACAGATTTCTTTCCAATTTTTTGAAAATTCTGATTCAGCAATGTTTTGAGATAGTCCCTTGACATGACTTCGTGTTGACTTATCCTTTACAACTCGTCTAGGTCACAGGGGTCTAAGTAGTATGGAAAGAATGCACTCCAATATTTTCATGTTTTTGATGGGGTGTACATATACATGTCTTTTGTTAAACGGCGGCATAACCGGCTTATTGTCATTCAGTGGCTTACATCTGTCACTTCAATATAGCGAATGCTTACACAAGACGGCATTTTAGAGAAGCATAGTTATGGAAAGGCGCGCTAGAGTCTGGAAAGGACGAGTTAAACGGTTTCAGCTTGCAAATATTGCTGAGCATGTCCGCTACAGAGGTGGGTCAGTAATGGTGTGTGGAGGCATCAGCTGTTATGGACGAACCGATACATAGACGACATCTTAAAGAACCAGGTTAGGTTGTATGCTGAAGCAGTCGGCGTCAGTTCATTCTAATGGAGATAATGCTCGCCCCCATATGGACAGGGTGGTCCAGGTCTATTGAGTGCATGGACTTGCCAGCTCGCTCACCACACTTAAATCCACTATAGTGGAATGGGCTGCAGGTTAGAATTTAAGCTCGTCAGCTGCAACCCAGAACCATCCAGGAGCTTGGAGCCATGTTGGTCAAAGAATGGGCAGCCATACCCGTTAGAACGATCAGAAACCTAAGAGGGAGTATGAGAAGGCGCTGCCAAGCTGTCACGATAGTTACGGGTCACACACACGGTATTTAGTCGAAAACTGTAAACAAAACAAGAGGGCCACGATGGCCCTGAAATCGCTCACGTGAATATAGAAACTCTCTATGACAAGGAACATAGTACATTGTAATATTGTAAACAATTGTTCATATTTATATCTGAATAGTGCATGTGGTAAAACATTACTGATTGCTATTGATAAAGTTCCAAAAGATATTCATATATACTTATAAGGAAAACCAATGACCCTCTAGGGGACAATTTTAACCCCATGGCTTTAATTTGAACATACTTGTTAGACACTCACTAGAAGATGTTTTATGCTATATATATAAGCTCTAGCTCTTTGGGTTTCTTTAAAGAAGACTTTTAAGTTTTTACAATACATACAAAGGAAAATCACTGAACGCCCGGGACAGGGCCAATTTTGGCCCCAGAGCTTTTAAGAGGGCCCTGGGTCGCTCACCTGATGCATAGGTGTATGCATGTAAGTTTGAGAAGACAAACATTCTAGTTTCATTTGGGATAAATGTGATGTCAGCTTTACAAAGGTTTCCCCGAGATCTGAACGGGTGACTTAGTTTCTTAAACTATATGACTTAGTTTCAAATCTGCACTAGGTCTTGTTGAGATATATACATGTTGACAAATATCTTTTGGAATCGGGTTAAAAGAGTCAATTACATCGCAAAAATGTATGTCACAATAGTTTGTGGCCAATGTGTAAAACTGTAAGAGAATTACAAAGACTGCAAGTAAATGAACATTTTTTTATTTATACGGAAACTTAAATTACACTAGTCTGAGTGACAAAGATATCTGAAAGATGAATCTGTTTAAAAGAAAACAACATGGAGCTATTATGATTGACAAGAGTCATCGCAACGCCACGAAACCAGGTTTTCAATTATCACCATTGTTAGGTTGTCCTTGGAAACTGAATACAAGTAACTTACAATATAACTTTATGCACTGAAACAGTAAAACAGACGACAGGCAACAGACAACACGGTCATAATTTGAACAATCTTTGTAGGGGACCACTAAATGATGTAACATACCAAATATCAAAGCTTTAGACCTTCTGGTTTTTGAGAAGATTATTAATATTCATACCCCCGCACAACAAATTTGTAAGGGGGGTATACTGGAATCAGCTTGTCCGTCCGCCCGTCGGTTTTTTCTTGTCCGCCCAATAACTTAAGATTCCTTTGACCTACAGTCTTCATATTTGGCATGGAGGTTAGTCATGATTAGTTGATGACCCCTATTGATTTTGAAGTCACCAGGTCAAAGGTCAAGGTCACAGGGGCATTGACTTCAAAAAGCTTGTCCGCCCAATAACTTAAGTTCCTTTGACCCACAGTCTTCATATTTGGCATGGAGGTTAGTCATGATTAGTAGATGACCCCTATTGACTTTGAGGTCACCAGGTCAAAGTAACAGGGGCCTTGACTTTAAAAAGCTTGTCCGCCCTATAACTTAAGATTCCTTTGACCCACAGTCTTCATATTTGGCATGGAGGTTAGTCATGATTAGTAAATGACCCCTATTGATTTTGAGGTCACTGGATCAAAGGTCAAGGTCATAGGGACTTTGACTTAAAAAGTTTATCCACCCATTAACTTAAGATTCCTTTGACCGACAGTCTTCTTATTTGGCATGTATGTTGATCATAACTATAAGGTGACCCCTATTGATTTTGAGGTCACTGGGTCAAAGGTCAAGGTCACAGGGACTTTGACAAAAGCTTTTCTTCTCAATTGCTTAAGGATGTCCTGTCCGCAATGTATTGATTTTGACAATTTCACATTTGAAGCATGTAGAATACATAACTTAGCAATGCACTGGCTTAGTAACCTCATATTTGGCAAGGAGGTTTTCCTTGAGCTCTTAATGGCCACTGTTGATTATGACAAAGTGGTATGCGGGGGTATTCACGCCATGATAGTGGCAGTTCTAGTTTTTTCCTCTTTTAAATCGATAAGCATGATTGCATGTTCTGCAATCTTTAAAGTGGGAGTCATCCTCTTGTCTAGCACAAAATGTGTAAAACTCATTTATAGGGTTAAATTTGTCTTTCAGCTGAATTGATAAAAAACAGTAAATTAACATTTAAAACCTTTTGCACGGCGTTATTAAAATAATCCGAAAAAAAAAAAATATTGACACTCAAACATATGGTGCTTAGCAAAAGTTGAGTAGTATATCATACCAATCGAGGTAATATAAAGTCATAATATGTTTAAAAATAAATATTGTTATACATCATGTATTGATCAAATAATTATAGGCTATACACCAGATCAATTGTTGTAGAGCTCTTATATATTTTACTTCCTATTACTGTTAACAAATCAATACAAAATGTTTTACAGTCTGGTTATGTAAAACTTAATTGGTGCGACATACTTTACTTGTTAATACTGAAAAAAATACCGTTATATTTTATATTACAATAGATCGTGACATAGAACAAAGCTTTCATATTACCACAAATTGCAAGAACGCATTTTACTATTTTGTATATTCGTTCAGTGTCCGCCTATTTACAGTCGGAAGCTAAGACTGCAATATATATTCACTCAATAAATTCTAAAGGCTTAAGTCTTCTTCGGAACTGATCGGCTATTCCGTTTTTACCTCCATACAATATTAACGTCATAAAAACACAGTAGCAAAAATAATATCACAATTTATTTATCTTTTCCACAACGATCAAGACCGAAGACCTGAGTCATAAAAACAAAAATGAAAGTAATGGAAAAACAATTTAAAGATTTTACACTAAAACTATTCTCACACAAAATAAATAATTCTCCAGACAATTCGTCATATTAATGGTTCCTATCATACAAACATGTAATCATGTATTTTAATTTTTCCAGCTTGGTTGAATGGCACAACTCTGTTGAAAAATGGAGTCCCAGCCTTGAAGAAACTTCGACATGGCACGTGACAATCAAAATATCAGTATATAGCATGAGATACAATAACAAACAGACTTTGGTATCCGCCATATGATACAAATAAAAAAAAGATTTTCATATTCGATACATGTATCAAAGTCGTCATTTTATTAGAAGCTTAGCAGAAATCAAAATAAGCTGTAAAAACTTCATGATTTAACTGTTCTTCTGCTTCTACCATTAGTTCTGTCTCACCAAACTTCATTCTAACCTCTACTCTTATCTTATCTGGTGTGTCTGGTAACTTAACTATCAGTGGACCAATGTATTCTACTTCACACTCGTCAACGAATTGCGGGTTCGATTTTTCAGAAGCAAATATTTTCAGCAGCATTTCCTTTTGGTGTGCCTTCAGTGTCACGTGCTTGCCTGTTCGAGGTTCATGTACAAGAACTGTTTCACCTTCTTGAATGTATTTTTTAAAGACATCCCTACAGCGATCAACTCCTCCAACTGTCACACGGTGATCTTCTGGGTGGATTGATGGATCAAACGGTGGAGATATATTAATGCCGTACGTATACTTTGCCTTTCGGGCTGTGATTCTATTTGTAATAGGCTTATGTCCAAATATGACTGCGCCTTTTACAATCGTGAGACCAGCATCCTCTGGAACAACTACTGAAACTTTTGGGAAGGCATCAGTAACGGCAGTCTGCATTATATCTGATTCAGAAAATCCACCAACCATTAGGAATATACTGGTTCCTTGCACGTCTGGTTTCTTCATCAAATAATTCAAATGAGCAATCAGCTTCTCTGTACATGGCTTGAAGAAACTTTTGAAAATGCCTGGATCGATCCTCATCTTGTCTGCATTCCATTTGATTTTGCCTTTGTATCTTGATGCATCTAAAGCATCAGTTACTTCTTCCTTCATCATTTTGCGATATATCTCTGAGATACTTACAGGAACTCTCATTGTTATTTTATCGTCAGTTGTAGGTTTTACTAAACGTTTTGCTGTTTCAAGTTCTCTTTGCAGATCTAGAAAGTCTGCAATTTTATCGTCGCAAAATTTTTGATAAACTGGCCCTCCAATTATTCTAATTAACATTTGGGAAAATTCATCATCTACTTTGGTACCACCCCAAGCTCCTCCAGTAGCTTTATGTATCTCTTTGAGACCTCCATCGGATTGTTTCTCATGTACTGTAATGTCAGCTGTTCCACCTATGTATGAGTAAATTGAATTATATAATAACTTATCAAGAACACTCGAGATCACGAGAATCTTTTTTTCAAATAAGTTTAGACAACGGCAAAACCAAACACATCGTTTTTATACAAAAAGGTACGTTTAAAACCTAGCCCCTGTCGAATATCATAATCAATACATGACACAACAGTAATGTACCTAACCCAACAAAAACAATTCACAGGTACAAGAGACTTACAAATGTTCACAGGTAGCTTGTCAACTTTTACATTTGTATATGCTTATCAAAAAGGGTAGCTATGTGTATATTAGCAAATGCATTTAAATGGACATTTTAAGTGCCTTTACAATGTTTTAATAAATGTTAAGATGACTCACGACAAAGCAGTGATGTTTGCTTACTTTGAAGTCAGCTATCAGGTATAAACACTTACCTCCCAAATCTATCACCATATATTTAGTTCCTGGCTGAACAAGAGCAAATTTTGCTCTCTCGGTGACTCCTATAATACTTTGATCCGAGGGCGGTATCTGACAGAAAAGGGACGCAGCCTCTGGTTCTAGCGCTATTGACAGAAGCGCACCATCGATACCGGCCTGTTATGAATTGTTAAACTTTTGGTTATTAAGTTACTTAAATTTATTTCAACATTCAGATTACTGAATATAAAATGTTATACATCATAATACAATAAAGTTGTGGTAAGATCTATAACTTTAATACTAGTAAAAATTCAAAGACGGTTAGCTGATGAGCTATATATTCCATAATTGAAGCTTTAGACTTTTAAAATTGTTTTCGTGATAAAAGCACATAAAATCATGTTATTACCTCATATGCGGACTCTCGCATAAATTGTTTTGCAGAATCTGTCCATATTGCCGGTACAGTTATCACCCAATGAATGACTTTATCATCAACCTGGGTTTTTCTAGTCTTCAACAAATTAAGAAGATGATCTTTCAGATACTTTATAGCAGCTCCAAAAACAATCATTGCCTTCATTTCTCGTCCTTTGTCGTCAGGAATGACAATATCTCGGGTTACCTTTAAATGAGACAAACAAAATGTTACTAATTTGTGCATCAACGCTGTCAAAATCACGAATAAGTTTTAAGCACTTATCTGGTCTTACACTGAAACATTTGTCCTATAGAAACTTTGAACTAGCAACTGTTTACAAGAAGTTTGAGTTTCGGTATCAAACTACTAAAATTGAGCAGTCAGCAGTTAAGAGTCGGCCTGGCCTGAAACAGGACTCTGCAAATCAAAATCGTGTCTCCCATAAACTAAGTCTAGTTTGTTCACGAGAGGTAATAGAAAGTGCATTATCTCCTTCTTCCGCAAGCGCGTTGAATATAAGCATCGGGCATATTTATTAATTACATAATTATACTGTTAAATATACTTTGCATTTATTTGATAAAATAGTTTAGTTTGTAAAAGTGGTTGCGACTTAATTGACAATTGGAGACGGTAAATTATGAAGATGTACATCACGGCTTGGAATTTGAACCAGTATTTTTTGTATACAGTATTAACATGCTCCTTATTTTATGTGTTATCTGTAGTTTGAATGTCAATTTTAAAAACAAGAATTACAGCGAACCGGATACGACGACGTTGTATTTGATTAATTCAGCATTTTTATAAGCACATACCAGACACAAATTTCCATTTAACGTAAACAATTATTTGAAACTATCGCGAAAACACTAGCTTTTTTTAAAAAATGCGACGACGCAGTTTGACAAACATATGGTTAGACGCATGGGAGATAATTCTGGGTGCCAATATGTGTGCTAGGTTTATGCATGAGCCTTATCGCATTTATAATGAAAGTGATAATAGATAGCATACATTTGGAGTACAGAAAAATAATGAAGTATTGTAAAAACGTTTTATACCAGAAAAGAGGTCGGAGTCTGTACATAGGACAATCTTCTATAGACGTTTTTCAGACGAAGTTAAATGACTTTACAAGCTTTGTCGTGATCTATCATCCTATGAAGTTTCAAGTCTATAGTTTTTATAATTTATGAGAAATGGCCTGGACAAAATAAAGTATGAAAATTAACAAAGGGCAATAACTCAAACAAGAGCTGTCACAGGAGACAGCAAAGCTCGACTAATAAAATACTGGACGCAGTAAGGAGGACAAAACTATGAAAGAAAAATCAATTATGTATACTTATGTATTAAGTTATATTAAAAAATAATATTTGTTAACATGAATTCCAAGATCAAGGGGAATAATTCTAGAAATAGTCATGCTAGAGTTATGGACCTTGTCACACAACATTTGTGTAATGATAAGAAATATATATTTGAAGTTTGAAGTAGATACCTTAAAAAGTAAAGAAGTTATCATATTTCTTAAAGAAAATCCTAAGTTCAAAGAGAGATAAATCTGTAAATATTGCTTCAAGAGTTATGAACATTGTCACATAAAATGTAATTGATGATAAGGAATAAGTATTTGAAGTTTGAGGTAGATACCTTTAAAAATAAAAAAAGTTATAATAAAAAATAACATTTTTCTAGTAAAAAAATTAAGTTTATGGGGAAATAATTCTTGCAATATTGGTGCTAGAGTTATGAACCTTGTCACACAAGATGTGGATGATGATAACGTAAATATATTTGAAGTATGAAGTTGATCCCTTTAGAAATAAATAAGTAACAGTAAAAAATATTATTTTTTATGGAAAATTCTAAGTTCAAAGGGAGATAAATCTGAAAATATTGGTGCTAGAGTTATGAACCTTGTCACATAAGATGGGGATGATGATAACGTAAAAATATTTGAAGTATGAGGTTGATCCCTTAATAAATAAAGAAGAAACAGTAAGAAATAGTACTTTTTGAGGAAAATTCTAAGTTCAAGGGGAGATAAATCTGAAAATATTGGTGCTAGAGTTATGAACCTTGTCACATAAGATGGGGATGATGATAAGGTACATATATTTGAATTATGAGGTTGATCCCTTAAGAAATAAAGAAGTAACAGTAAAAAATAGTATTTTTTAAGGAAAATTCTAAGTTCAAGGGAGGATAAATCTGAAAATATTGGCGCTAGAGTTATGAACCTTGTCACATAAGATGTGGTTGATGATAAGGAACATATATTTGAAGTTTGAAGTTGATACCTTAAGAAATGACAAAGTTATAGTGAAAAATATTTTACTGCACCAAAACTTTAATCTAAAATCTGGACGCGGACGCCGACGCCGGGGCGAGTAGGACAGCTCTCCATATACTTCGTATAGTCGAGCTAAAAATAAGAAATGCAGATTACCGGCTCTTGTGCACTGCCCTTGGTCATTATAAGAATCATGCATACCAAGTTTGAAGTCGATCCGACTTATAATGGCTCACTTATGCTTCGGACAAGCTTAAGGGGACGCCGACAACGACGCCGCCGACACCGACGTCAACACCGCCGACAAAAGTAACCCATATATGTCGCCTTTTTCAAGGCGACACAAAAATGAGCCTTTCTTGTTCATAAAAGTACAAGCTCGATGAAAAAAAAATGTCAACACTTGAAAAATTGCATTGGATGTCGTTTTTATGCCCCAACAACTAATGGGTAGGGGGAGTCATGTAGAATACCCTTTGCCCGCAGTCATACTGTTCTGCTGTTCGTCAGTATACCTTGACATTGAAGGTCAAATTATTGTTATTTCAAAGTATTTTGCTATAATTGGCTATAACTTTGTAATTGATAAATACTTGTGCACAACTATCCTAGGGACCCAAGAAGACACCAAAGAAGATACCAAAGAATATACCAAAGAAGATGTTGTTGAACGTGACTTTGACCTTGATTTAACCTTGACATTTACGGTCAAATAACAGAATTTTACTTTAATTTGCCAAAACCTTTTTTATGGAATTGATTAATACTTTCACAACAGAATCCTTATGACAAACCCGTTTAATTATTTCAAATTTGACCTTGACAATTATTTGACCTTGATGATCAATGTCAATATTTTAAATTTGCTTGAAAGGCGTAACTTTGTTATTTTATTTACAGGTTTGTACTTTGTACTTTCATACTTTGGCAAAAGAACTGGTATGACAAAACAGACATGTTAAATTATTTTGATATGACCTTGATCTCTAATTGTCATTGACCGTCAAGGTCAAACTATTGAAATTTGCTTAAATTGCCATAACTTTGATTACGTACTAACGGATTTTTATTTATACTTGCAAAAAAAGAACAATTATGACTAAACCAACATGTTAAATCATTCTGATATGACATTGACCTTTAATTGACATTGAACGTCAAGGTCAAATTCTTGTTATTTGCTTAAATTGTCAACTCTGGTCGAATTTATGCATCCACCTCGAAACAGTTACATAAGTTACTTCAATGTTTTCAGTGAGGAAGATCTCAGGTGCCCTTCCGTACACACGCCCGTTTAACTCACAACGAGTGAAAAATGTCCATCGGTAAAAATGTTGTGAGCAACTTCCGTTCCTCGTTGTGAGCACCCATCTATGACGTGTGACACCATAAACAAGGTAAGTTTTTCATAAGTTTTGAAGATTACAGACATTTATGTAAAAATATCGGAATGCAGTTAGCTAGCGATGTGTTTTCTGAGTATGCACATGTAAAGATATTGCCTGTTGGTGGACAATTTGATGGAAATACCGTGCGACGCAGTCACTCGGGGTAGCTGGAAAACTGGAGACAACTTCTCTTTGGACCTAATTTAACATTGAAAACGTCGATTCTGGTGACGTTTTGTGCATTCTAACCTAAAATAGATGCCCACAAGTCTTCAGCGTAAAGTATTATCTGAAAGTCTTCATAGAAACGAAGTTATACTCTTTTTGCTTTAATTATCGTTGTGAGCACCATGACCTCGTTGTGAGCAAAACAAGCGCAGTGCTTGTCTGGTTTTAATATTGTAATTCAAATGGCAAGAATACAATTTTCAATCTACCAAAAGCAATCAAAACGTTTTTGTACAATAGTTTTTCGTTGCAATAGTTCTTCTTTTTCTTTTTTTTTGAAAATTATTCTTCATATTCATGTGCACAAGTCATCAGATTAACAGAAGAACTAATCAGTGGAGGTAAATCAGGTATTTTATTTCGTATACTCTAGTGTGGCACGAGTGAACATCACGGGGTGTTTATGAATATTTCAACAATTTCACAATCTGTGTGATACACACATACATGTGTTTATCCTGGGCTGAAGACTGACCAAGTTAGGTAAAACAAGAACTATCACGGTAAGTTGACTATGCCCCTGAAGTGGTGCTTTGTCCTTTGATTTATGGACCAGATAGATTATTTGTTTTTGGACAATAAGATCTTCAATGTGAAGGTAATTCAAGCTCAAAGAGAAATAAATATAGGTCAGTTGGAAGGTCTTGTCCAAAGGGGCATTGTGTCCAAATATGAATTAATTCCACTTACTTATAAAGAAGTTATGACCAATGTTAAAGTTTCTTGATGTTCTAGAAGGTCATTCAGGGTACAAGGTAAACAAAATACAGATCAGTTTGAAGGTCTTGCCTAAAGGGGTGTTGTTTCTACATATGAGTAGAATCCGTATACTAATAAGGAAGTTATGACCAATTTTTAAGTTTTTGGACAATTTGACCTTCAAGTTGAAGATCATTCAGGGGTCAAGGTCAAAATAATATAGGATAGTTGAAAGGCCTTGTCCAAAGATGTGTTGTGCCTAAACATTATGCCAGGACATAATGGCCAATCTTAAATGTTTTTGGGCAATTTGACCTTCAAGGTAAAGGCCATTCAGGGGTCAAGGTAAAAATACAGGTCCGTAGGAAGGTCTTGTGCTAAGGGATGACGTGTTCAAATATGAATCAAATCCGTTTACTAATAAGGAAGTTATGGCCAATGTTAAAGTTTTCGGACAGATTGACGGTATGACAGACGGACAGTTCAAAACTAATATATGCCTCCCTTTGGGGTATGCACAACGTCTTGCAAAGAAATGCTGCTGTGCAAAAACGTTTTAATTGCTGTGGTAGATTGAAAATTATATTTTCACCATCTGAATTACATATTAAAACCATACACGCACTGCGCTTGTCTTGCTCACAACGAGGTTATGGTGCTCACAACGAGGATTAAAGCAAAAAAGGGTATATCTTCGTTTCTATGCAGACTTTCAGATAATAATTTACGCTGAAGACTTGTGGGCATCTGTTTTAGGTTAGAATGCACAAAACGTCACCAGAATCGACGTTTTCAATGTTAAATTAGGTCCAAAGAGAAGTTGTCTCCAGTTTTCCAGCTATCCCGAGTGACTGCGTCGCACGGTATTTCCATCAAATTGTCCACAAACAGGCAAAATCTATACATGTGCATACTCGGAAAACACATCGCTAGCTAACTGCATTTCGATATTTTTACATAAATGTCTGTAATCTTCAAAAATTATTAAAAACTCACCTTGTTTTTCGTGTCACACGTCAAAGAAGGGTGCTCACAACGAGGAACGGAAGTTGCTCACAACATTTTTACCGATGGACATTTTTCACTCGTTGTGAGTTAAACGGGCGTGGTACATTATTTCAGGCACGAACGGGAACCTGAATAGAACCACCGACGTTCGGTAAGCTAGCTGGATAGCTTCCTTACATATAATAATCCAAAGTCTCTATCGGGATTCGAACCCACTGCGATGAGGGGCAAGTGGTTTGAAGTCAACGACCTTTATCACTCGGCCACGGACGCCCCATATTATCTTTTGTAGTAAATAAGTGTGAAAAATAGGACCAAAGGTTATAATTGTTGAAGCAGCTTTTTTGTTCTGCTTATACTTTTCTTTGAATGGCCAGCAGCAAAATGTATGTTTACTTGTGATGGATTTGGAAGTTTCTTTGGCACAAAACATGTCGACCTCACATATTAAGGTAAATTTTCAAGTTTAATATTTCATTTATCGTAATTGGAGACAGATGGCTCAATATTTTAATGGATACTGAAAGATGTCTTAACTTTTATGTGCTATGTTTGTACGTGTAGAAAATGTGTCTTATTTTCAAAAATTGAAAGATTAAAATGTTGATCGTTTCAGTAAATACGCTATGGCGAGTTATATACCTTGTATATATTTTACATATGAAACGGGTGTTGGAATTGATGATCCAGGGGAGATTATTTTATAATTTTACATTTATTGGCAAGACAATTGAGCCGAACGCCGGTGCCCAACCACTCATGATCAAAATGGACCATTTATGTTAATTCATTTTATATTGATAGATAAATACAATGGTTTCAAATGTTCGTAATCAAAGGTTGTTAAATGTATTATATAGATAAGAATTGGTAAGGTTACATACCTTCTTTCCGTGAAGTTTCATTTTAAACTTTTTGAAGAAGTACCAGTCACGATGTTCTTCATCTTCTGCTAAATTAGAGTACTTGTTTTCCGCTTCAAACCCAAAACTATGAAACTTTTTGTTCTTGTCAAATAGGACAACTGTCGATGTTTTTAATGAAAGAAGGGATGATGTTCCTGCCACCCATTTTTGGTTTACCTTTACAGCAGTCGGTTCCCTTTCGTAATCATGTTTAAAAGAGAAGGCATAGCCACTATATGTTGTTCCAATATCAATAGACGCCACGAACGTTTTATCCCTTTTACCTGTTGCCATTTCTACGACTTACCTAAAACGAGAGTAGAAGTTTAGAATTATGGATAGATCTATACAAATTATAACGAGATTGCATGGGTGTCAAATCGATGGTTCGGAACTTGGGAGTGGGTTATGTTATAATAAACAATACATAACTCTGATCTTTTAACTGAATCCCTATTTCTTAAATTCCGTCAAAGATGTTGTTTTATAATGCATTTATATGTTTGTGTGCTCGCCGCTTGCTCGTAATAATTAATAAGTTAACATGCACTGTACGTGGTTATTCAAATTTCAAAAATGTCATTCATTAATATTTTACATGTGCAATTATACATTTTATATGCATGTACATGTATGTTAAATCACAGGGACCCAACACAGTGTTGGGATAGTGTAAAAAGTAATTATAAAATTTTTTTATACTGCATATATAATATATAGTCTATATATTAATCAAAAACAGTATATTTTTTTCTATAATTACTTTTTACACTATCCCATGACTGTGCTGGGTCCCTGTGTGTTAAATGGGAAAAAGTTTACACAAATATTAATTAAAGGCACATTATGCCTCAGAAATCCATTTTTTAAAAAAAAAATCTTTACACATGTCAAACACGTGTTTTACAATGTTTTAATTATGATTAAGACCATAATACATGTTTAACAACTGGCGGAAGTAGACTTAAATGTGCAGCAATGTGTCGTAAAGGTAGCAAAATGTAAACAAAGTAGTATTTTGACTTCCATACAAAATACTTATTCATTATAATATTACCAATTATTAACAAAACAAAAGATAGTCCATGTATATAGAAAGAAAAACTGTAACAAGATACCAAAACTAAAAAGTGTTTGATTAGAAATAAAAATGATGCATTTCTAATGCATAGTGGGCCTTAAACCTAACGAGATACTATGTCGTGGCCACGAGTTACAAAGTCGTGGCCACGAGTTACTAAGTCGTGGCCACGAGTTACTAAGTCGTGGCCACGAGATAGCTAAGTCGGGGCCACGAGATAATTAACCAATCAGATTTCACCATTTATATGAATTTCCACATGCGCTATAGTACAAGGTTGCCCCTACTTCACCAGCCTGTAAAAGTGCCATTTATACTACTTATTGACTGGTTAATAATTTTACTTTTAGCGTCACTGGGACCCTTATTTTTGACCCAATGACCTCGACATTATTAAATGTCATCTACTGATCAGGTGCAATGATATTTCTGGGTTATATAAACCATGGCTTATCCATTTTTCATTATTCATCAGACAAGGGCTACCTACTGTCCATGGGCAATGTCCCTACCAAATAAACTTTCCTTCTCATGTTATCGTATAAACAAGGTTAACAGGCCATAGTACGTACAAACTGACAAATTCTGTCACAAAATTGTCCCAACAAAGAGCTATAGTAAAAATAAACGTCTGATGGACCTTGGAAGGTGACTTTCTAATATGATCCTAAAGACAAGTTCAAAGTGAATATCTTCAGTATTTTCAAAGATTAATGTTAGCTATCTCGTAGCCACGACATAGTATCGATATACTATGTCGTGGCCACGAGTTAAGTCGAGGCCACGGGTTACTAAATCGTGGCCACGAGATAGCTAAGTCATGGCCACGAGATACTATGTCGTGGCCACGAGTAACTAAGTCGTGGCCACGAGATAGCTAACTCGTGGCAACGAGATACTATGTCGTGGCCACGAGTTACTAAGTCGTGGCCACGAGATAGGTAAGTCGTGGCCACGAGATAGCTAAGTCGTGGCCACGAGATACTATATCGTGGCCACGAGTTACTAAGTCGTGGCCACGAGTTACTATAACCAATCAGATGACACCATTTATATGAATCTCCCTAATTAACTAGACATGTGCTATAGTTCAAGGATTCCCCTACTTCAGCAGCCTGTAATAGTGCCATTTATCCAACTTATTGACTTGTCAAAGTATTACATCTAGCGTCACTGTGACCCTGAATTTTGACCCAATGACTTCAAAATTATTAGATGATATTTACTGATCAGGTGCAATGATCTTTCTGGGTTATATAAACCATGTAGTACGTACAAACTGACCAATTCGATCACAAAATTGTCCCAACAAAAAGAGCTTTATGCAAAATTAATGTCTGATGGGCCTTGGGAGTTGACTTTCTAATATGATCCAAAAGACAATTTCCAAGTGAATATCTTCATTATTTTAAAAGATTAATGTTGCATGTAAAAGTAAGTTGTTAAGTTTTAAAATTTCATAATATATATAGTGTATTCTGATTGGTTAATTATCTCGTGGCCACGGCTTATCTATCTCTTGGCCACGACTTAGTAACTCGTTGCCACGACTTAGTAACTTTTGGCCACGACATAGTATCTCGTGGCCAAGAGTTAGCTATCTCATGGCTACGACTTAGTTACTCGTGGTCACGACATAGTATCTCGTGGCCACGACATACCCAATTCGTGGCCACGACTTAGTAACTCGTGGCCACGAGATAAATAAATAAAAACACACACACATGTCACCTTTATTTTTTATGCCACCGTATTTGTGCCACCGTAGATATAACTGCATTATCATATGAATTTCTGTTAAGTTTAAAATTTCATAATATATATAGTGTATTCTGAGTGGTTAATTATCTCGTGGCCACAGCTTAGCTATCTCGTGGCCACGACTTAGTAACTCGTGGCCACGACATAGTATTTCGTGGCCACGAGTTATAGCTATCTCGTGGCCACGACTTTAGAAACTCGTGGCAACGACTTAGTAACTCGTGGCCACGACATAGTATCTCGTGGCCACGACTAAGCTTTCTCATGGCCACGACTTAGTAACTCGTGGCCACGTAAAAGCACACACATGTCACCTTTGTGCCACCGTATTTGTGCCACCGTAGATAACTGCATTATCATATGAATTTCTTTTTCTCGTATTGATTAAAGACGATGCACGATTTTAATAATACGCACTACTATATTAGTTGCCATTGTATGATCCGTGTTTCCATATTATATTGTGTTTATATATTGTTTAATAAATATCTTAAATATTTCAGGTTAGTAATCTCTGGAAGTTATTATTTAAATTATTAAATTATTACAAAATGTCATTTTTGGTAAATATATAAAGGTTTTTAATAAATAACAAAAAAATATATTTACAATGCTTACCTGGAATATTTACAATACTTACCTGAAACTGTACATGCAGTTATTATGTACAGACCTGTATAACTCATTCAACCTTATCTTATATAAATAATTGTTAATGGCACTTCATATCTTACCATTACATAGGTGTGTAATATACATTGTGTTTATATATTGTTTAATAAATATCTTGAATATTTCAAATTTGCTTTTGTTGTGTCTGTCTATTACCAAATAACTGCCAACTGGGCTACGTCAACAATAGTAAAATTCTTATTTCAATTAGAAATCTATAACAATATCAATTATAATTAATTTACCGACTAAGCATATCCTTAGCATATCATTACTATTTATTAATTATTATTATTTTATTTTAAATTATAACATTTAATGTCTACATCCCATATTATAGTAATTTAACTTATCTTTTACCATTTGTCTTTCAAAGTTTAATATCTTAATGTGCTTCTTTTATTAGTTTTATGTTTATATCATTATGCATGTATGTCGGTCAAAAGCTATACATAGCTTATGTTTTGTAAAATGTTATATATATACCGACAATAAATAAATTTTGATTTGATTTGATTTGATTTGATCAACCACATAAACAATAAAGTTCAAGAGCTGCAAATACAGTTGAGTTCACACTAAAGGTTACACAAAGTGCACTAGGAGTGCACTAGATGTGCACTACTAGTGCACTACAAAGTGCACTAGTAGTGCACTACTAGTGCACTTCATAAGTGCACTTTGTAGTGCACCAGACCTATTATATGTAAGCAGTTATCTACTATTTCAAAGAATAGCAATTTGACTTTTACAAAAAGATAGAAAAATATAGATATCTGTATAATAGTTTTCCATAATAAATTTGAAGTTGTGAATATTGGATTTTGTAAAATATGGCATAAAATATTAGAACAATAATTGTTCAAAGTCATTAATTTTACTGATTTTGTACTTTATAACTTAATTGTTAGAATAAGTAAATATAAATAATTATAACTTTAATGTTAATAAGTTAGTGCATAAATAAACAAAAGTAATAGATATTTATTTATTAATATTTGATTCTATTTTATTATAATCTGGTAATGAAATAATTATGAAACGTTGAAATGTTAAGAAAAAATTCAGTCATATTTTTTTTTTTTTTTTTTTTTTTTTTGGGGGGGGGGGCAGGGGGGGGGGCAAATTATACAAATTATTTTTTTTTCTTATCTTATAATTGTTGTAGTTAAAGGTTATGATTTTAAGCATTAGTAGCCTTTAATCTAATATGTTTATAATTGGCCTAAATTTTGTCAATTTTATGTAATTTAAAATCTCTCTTACCGTCTCAAACCAAGATTTACCTAGGATTAATATAAATGATATATATTATTCTGAAAATAAAAATATTAACATATAATGGTGGTATGTATGAATTGTGGATTAAGTGGATATGTACCTGTTGGACACTAGTATATTTTAACTGACATGGATATTAACAAAAAGATTAGAAAATCTTTCATTTCCATTTTTTGAGACAGCACCAATCTTTTATCTTTTTTTATGCATTGTAACATAATTATGCAATATGATTACTTTATGAGTTCATTATAAAATGCTAAAATATTTCAGTTTTCTTTTTTCTTCTTGTACTACTTGTAATGAAATTTATTTGCACATACAGAATTTACATTGCCTACTTATATTTATCATCTGCCTTTTGTTTATTTACCCTAAGGGGCTCTCTTATCAGCAGGGTACTATAATAAAATACCAATACACAGCATGACTTTTGACACTTTAATCTTCTGTAACTGTCTTCTGCTCATGTATGATATTTTATTTAAAAAAAAAAACAACAAACAAAAACAAACAAAAAAACAACAGATTTGCATTAAAGATAAAAAGGAGGTTGCAAAGGTTTTATAATCATGTATTTAAATATTTAAATTTTCTTAAAAATATGTTATCTTCTTAATGTGTTAAAACTGACAAGGCAAATTTGTCAAATCTATAATAGAAAAAATTAACATTTCCGAGTTCAGAAACTAAAAGATGCTCAAAATTTTAATGCAGAATTGCAAAAAATGTGGATAAATATTGATATGAGGTCTTTCTAGAATAGTTAACACTGATATTGATTTTAAACCAGTTTTTTTTATGATAAGATTAGAAAATTCCACTTCAAAGACAATAATGACAATAATATCTAACATGCGTTTATGCCATTGTGATTATTTTTTACATTTGATTATACAAACATTATAGTCATTTATCTATGTCTTACATTTATTTTGGGAAAAAAACAGGAAATTTTAAATAAATATTGCATACATCTGCATTTATGTTATTTACCCTGAGGCCCTCTTATCAGCAGAGGAGACCAGTGTAATGAAAAGTCGCTCTCAGAAAAATACCAATACACAGCATGACTTGAGACTTTTCCTCTTGTATAAAAGCATTCCCATTATACATTAAATCCTTAATATAGAAATCTTGAATAAAGTTATCAATTTTATTTATTTCATGGAAATTTTTTAATTATTTATATCTTTAAAAAGAATGCAAGCATATCATGGTTGAAAAACATAATATCGCAGTGTATGGATTGTTTTAAAATTAATGAATTAATATTCTCTTTCAATCTTGAACATCAGGAATGTCCTCTTAAGTTATTTATTATTATGCAGAATGGCAAGAAATGTGGATAAATGGATAAATATAGAAATTTTCGCTTTAGAGACAATAGTATATCTTATACGCATTCTGCCATTTTGATTTTTTTTTGTATATATTTGATCATACAAAAATTATGGTAATTTATCTTTATGACTAACTAGCTTGGGATCCAACGCCTGATGAATCCCAGGCCTGGTGTACGGACATAATCCCCTTCGGACAAAATCCCCTTCATGTATTTTTGTATGTCCGGACATAATCCCCTTCATGGGTGGACATAATCCCCTTCATGTGTGAGATTTTGAAGTGGACAAAATCCCCTTCATAAAATTGCTACCTAGGACAAAATCCCCCTCAGAGGAATTTTCAGTTTTCAAAGTGGGTATGAGAGCGACATACTGCATTATGCTGTGTAGTAAATATCTTAATGTATAAATAAGAAGAAAATATTTCAGCAGAAAAGCACATTCAATTAGCAACATTTAAATCATATTAAAATTGCTTTGTTAAAGCATTCATAATAATCAATCAAGTAGTGCAGTGATCTTGGTTTGATTAAATTATCACTCTTTCATCAATAGAAATTGTAACAATGGATAGTATTTATCAATTAGAATTATCAACTTATACAGTCAATGAAACAATTATTGGCTTATAAAAATGTTTTTCATACTAATCAATTTAAAACTATTAAAGAAATTGCCTAATCAAATATGTGTTATGCAGTTGATAATTTTAATGAAAACTTCTAAACTAAAAATAGGTTAACTATTGATTGAAAAAACAAAAGTTCATTATTCATCAATTTTTAGGGAGTATAATAATACATTATTCATCAATTTTTATGGAGCATAATAATACATTAGAAACCTATGAAAAAAGGGGATTTTGTCTGGGTAGTGAAGGGGATTTTGTCCAGCCTTGCAAAAAAATGAAGGGGATTATGTCCACCCATGAAGGGGATTTTGTCCGGGTAGGTGAAGGGGATTTTGTCCGAAGGGGATTATGTCTGACATTCCCCAGGCCTATGTCTAACATGCATTTTGAGAAAACAAGGGAATTTCAATGCATACTTATAATCTGCTAAATTGACTGTTCTTTGTTATTTACCCTGAGGCTCTCCTATCAGCAGGAGAGTGGTATAATGAAAATAGTCCCTCAATACACAGGATGACTTGAGATTTTCCTCTTCAATAAAAGTAATTCCCCTTATACATTAAATTTTTAATATTGAAATCATGTATTAGTTACCAAATGTATTTATTTTTTGATAATATTTTAATTATTTATATCTTTAAAACATATGCAAGCATTACACAGTTGAATACTAAATAATCACAGTATATTGATTTTTTTTTAAATATTCTCTTTCAATATTCAACATGAGGAATTATCTCTAAGTTATATATTATAGAAATAATATTTTAGCTTAAATATAAACCTTTCCTTGATTTGTTTGAGCTTATAAGAAAAAGTTTATGTTGTTACAAACTAAATTAATTAGGCCAGAATTATCAGTTGAAATGCATGGCCATTAAAAAAGTAAGCTTTAAAAACACTTATTTAAATATCCATTAAGGAGCATATTTATTATTTACAAATAACCTTATTAATTCTATAAATTTGATTTTAAGGGGTATTATTTTACACTTACAATTAAATACGGGCTACGAAAAATATGATTACAATAAATATATTTGTTTTTAATTTAAGCTTTAATTAACATGATATCACTTAAAATGTTAAAACTGCTGATTTTAAAATTTACTTATTAATATTCATGAATAGGCCATATTTATATTCCAAAATTTTGTTTTTCTTACAGAAGCTTAACAATGGATGCCCCTTGTCATTTGATATGCAATTATCCAATAAACCATTTAGGTGTCACCTTCCCTGGTCATATGGTCTAGTGCACTAGAAGTGCACACGGTGTGCACTTCTAGTTCAGCTCTAGTGCACTAGAAGTGCACAAGGGTGGGAAGTTTAGTGTGAACTCAACTGTAATCTCAAATTGTCACATACATGTATGCCTATTAATTGATAGATCCCTACTCTGACCTTTTATTTGAATAGCAATAGATGTAACAAATAGGTGACATGGTGAAACTGCATATATGTTATTGTAATTAACTAATCAAATAGGTCAGGGATCTATGCATTAATAACTCCCTTCCTACCCTCTTTGAAATCGAAACAAGAAATTATAGAAAATATTTATCCTGTTTTAATACAACAATGGCAGATCGGAAACACGATTGAAACATACTCTTGAAAATAAGTAGTATACTGGAAAATAGAGAGAAACAACTTAATATAATGTCACTTACATTCATTGTTTAAAATAAATGTCCTGTATTTTAAACGTCCTGCTCTGCCGGGAACCAGCTGACAAAATACTTCGAAAGCTGGTGCGTACCAAGTTAGTTCAGATAGTTAATCAATAAAACATTTCATTTTGCAGTTAGACTAAAATTGGGTCAATAGCAGCATTTGGTGCAAAATTCTTTACTGTTTTACTAGATAAATATTTAAAGAAGAAAATAAATATTCTAAAGAAAACGCATTATATAAACTTACGGTGCGCGATGACGCTGTTATTCTAGAATACTTTTTGAACGACCCTCAGTTCAGTGTTTCCTACATAGCTGGCGGTAGTCGGAGTCATATAGGTTAGTTTTTACCTTTTCCTTTTTAAATCAGGTATCTATGTTGTGTTCAAATGAATTAAAATTATATCTTTTATTTTCTTTTAATCAATTGTGGATGTCATGCGTCAATGAATACAAATGAAGCATTTTAATTTAATGTACTTTCGTTTTCCATTTGTTTTCCATGTAAGTGAGGTTACTAGTTCCGGATAACTAATGTAGATCTATATTGATATGGTTTTAAAACAAATTATGAAAAGAAAAATTATGGAAATACCTTTTGATTTTTATGGCAAAAAAATGTAACTTTTTATCCGACTTTTCGATCACATGTTAACATCTCTGTTTCAAGTTTGAACATAGATCTATCTAATCGGTGTACTGGGTGAACAGGTACATGTAGTTCTGTATCACATAAATGGCATGTCAAAATAAATCTGAATTATGACAAATGAAATGAGTTTGCAATAATACAATCTCAGTCAAAGATTGTATTATTTCAAACTCACTCCAAACTTTAAATGATAATTGTTAACATTATAAAAATTATATCTGAAGATAATTTACTTTCTAATTTATGTTTGTTTGTTCACAGGAACTTGAAATTTAATCAATAGATCACAAAATATGCGTGTATTAGTGATATAGCCCTTATCTCTATAGATACCAACACATAAATTATAGGTCATATTATGGCATACATTCCAGCTTTACTGGTGGAGGAAGACCTTACTAGCCAGGTGCTCTACCGTGCATTACTTTATTATAAGTACCTTATAAACTTGAAATTTACACAAAATTACATAACATTTTATCAGACAGGGAAAATGTTAAAAGTTCAAAAACATTTACAATTATTGCAATATATCCTGTGTGACTTATATGTACCCTGGTTTTGAGACATTTTCTCATCTGCTAATCAAGAACTGACATGAACACAATTTCATATTCATGGGATAATCTACAACTAAAAAAAAAAATTGAACGTTTTTAAAACATTATTAGTAAGCAAATACCAACAATTTAGAAGAATCTTTCTGAAAATGCCCGTCAACTTAAATCATTTGAATTTGAAGAAGCACCGTCTGTAAAATCATCAAAATGTCTCACCCATACAACTGCAATTTTTTGTGAGGAAAAGATCATTGATATATAAAACCTATTTCCTGCCAGTGCCTCCTTACCAGTTAAGATTGAAGATTGATCAGTAAGTGATCTCAATATTGGCCCAACATAAAACCATGATAGTCCAATAAGGTTAGATTTACTGCATTGGTCTCCAGCACTCCAATTTAAAGGTCAAGGTCACATTCATATGTCCGAAGTTGTGATACAAATTTTTCCTAATGATGATGATGATGTGTCACACATAAGTCAGATGGTCAGATCACAATTTCATGTCAAAGGTCATGATATGAATTTAAGTTTTCCGTCTTGACCTAGTACGTCAAAAATGAAGAAACGTATAGGAAATATCTTGAAAAATCTAGTTTTCCTTTTGTACCTTAGTATGTCAACAATGGAGAAACATATATCTAGGAAATATCTTTAAAAATCTACTAATCTATAATGATTTACAAAGATTTAAAAAGCATTATGCTAATTAGAAAAGTTCTTATTTTCATGTGAAATACCATATCTTACAGTTAATTAAGGTTAAACACAAGTCATGTTCTTTTATAGTAATTTTCATGTATCTAAATATTGGGCTTGATAGCATTGAACTTCTGTTGAATTGTAAACTGTAAATAAATTGTTTCTAATATTCTGAAGGCATTAAGTCAGTAAAACTAAAATTTTGTCTCTCTTTGTAAAAAAAAATGTGGATTGATCTACAATGGGCACATTTTCAACAAGTATTTCAAATATTAATAAAAGCAATAGAAATGTTTCATTGAGATATTCTTAAATAGTGCTTGAAAAAAACAAACTGTTGATGAAGTCAGAGAGATTTAAAAGTTTGAGCATTTATACGATGAATATTTTGTCCTAGAACAATTTACTATCTGCCTTACAAATATATGTAATATGGGATTATGTATCTCAAACTTGTCAGAGCAACATGTTAATGATTTTTTTATTATAATCATTTTGTGGTTCAAGTTGTTATGTCTGATACTAGATACTATCAACTTAATTATTTATTATATATTACAAACCTACCAATTCACTTTAATTTACAATTGAATTGTATTAAAAACTGTAGATGAACATCATTTTTTTTATCATTTTCATCCTTATAGGTAATCTGCAAGCATGGCAACACAAGAAAAAGAGAAAATCAAGGTCAAACATCTTGAAAAAGCCCTTGTGAAGTTACTTGATGAAGTGAAACAGAAGAAAACAGATAACCTTTCTAAGACTATTCGAAAAGACAACATGTCTAAGACATTATCTGACCTACATGAGCGTTTGAAAAAGGTTTGATGTAGCTCAAAATATTACTCAAAAAAGTTTCCATTACACTTCATAAAAGAATGAATATCCAATATTTAGCTTGACTTTCCGAAGAAATAAAGCTATTGCAACAGCCATTTGTCGTTGCCTTTGCTGTTGCCATATTCATTTTGTCATCCACTTTTATGCAGAATACAAAAATGGGCTCCATCTGTCGGTCCCTCAGTTCATTTGTCTCTTATTCCACAACACTTATGCACGGTCCTTTCATCAGTTTTTCACCATGGAATTTTTAAAAAACTTGGTTAAAATGTTTGTATTAATAAGACAAGGTGGAAGCCACACTTAGAGATCAAAGGTCATTGTTGTTTGATGAAAAGTATGTTTTTGTCAGCTTTATAACTTTTTCTTATAACTTTTTCATCCAATTAGAGATTTTAATATAATTCAAGACAAATGCTCATTATTATAAGACCATGTGTCATGCACAGTGACACACCCAGACCATACCTCTAAAGTCAAGGTCACACTTGGAGGTCAAAGCTTAATATGGTTTGTTATACAGGATTTTGTGTTGATTCCACAACTGTTCTATTCATGTCTGGATTTTGAAATATGTTTGTACAGATATTCACCATTTAAAGATAGTGAGTCATGCACAGTGTATAACTCCATCTTGTATAATATTTGAACTATCTTCCTTTATGAACTTAATATTTTCAGTGATAAAAAAGCTGCTAATATGTATTTCAAATGCAATATACACAAGAGTAATATTTCATTATATTTCTATGATAATTCGTAGAATTTTTCTATAGAAAATAAAAGAAAAGTATTTGAAGGTCACGGTGAAATTTTCATGTGCAAATGTGTCCAGGAATATTTCAGTCTGATAAAAATGGATGAGGATTGTTTGTTTAATGCAGTTATTGAACAAACCACATAATGTTTACCTACTTTTCAACACTTCTATAGCTGGTGTTTAATTTTGAACAAAACATCATTCTGTTTTTGTTAGTGAATGTAAACTATGATTGATAAATAAAGTCTGCATGTAAGATCGAAGTCACTTATATACTAATGCACTAAGTACCATTACTTGACATTTCAGGAAAATTCTGATAGTGAATTTCTAGAAGGTGATAAAGGAAAATCATTGGTATTAAACATAAGAGAGTGGGAATATTTTGAAAATCTGCCAGTGGACTTCAAACAGTCTATATCAGCATTTAAATTTGAGGAAAAGAAACTTGCTGATAAGGTATTTTATTTTGTAAAATTTTAAGCTTTAGTATTCAGCAAAATTATGAATTGGACTGTCCCACGTTGCATATTCAACAATTGTTCTTTTACAATGAAATATCTATTTTATCATCAAAATTTTTAATCATAAAAATAATTAACCATATAAATATTTAATTCAAGATTTAACATAATTATGCTATGTTATGTTTAATCTACTTTGCTGAAAATTGATAACATTAATAACACAGTAGTGACACTTTTTACAAAAACTACAGAACAAATTCATAAATTAGGTAACTACCTTTATTTAAGATACCGTAGGAGTCATTATCTTTGGCTATAAATCAATATTTGAAATAAAATCTAAAAAAAAAATTCAAACTCATTTAAGTATGGAAATTGGGAAATAGAATATACTATATTGTACATACTTTCTTTGGTTCTGTTTTTTCACTATTATTTTGTGTTGAGTGCTGTTTTGAGAAGATATATAAATGAAAAAATTCTTTTTTAGAAACATGGAGATGTAAAAAATCCTCCAACGCCGTCGTAAGTGAAATTTTCTTATATCAAATTATTAATTTTATTTTTATATCTCATAGATTACTAAAGTAGATATTAGTGGACAATATGGCATGTATATGCATTGTGTAATATTGTGTTAGCTGGTAAGCAATAGCATTGCACATAATAATGTAAGTTATGCTTCTTTAGAATAGTTGAATTAAATTAGAAATGTTGAAGACGGTTGCAGCTTACAGGTACACAACTTTAAAGTATGATTGCCTGATTTTCTAATGAAATAAAATGCTTATTATAAGCATAAAATCTTTGATAGTAAAACCAACAATAAAAAAATGAACAGCATAGCCTTTCTTATAAGACTTAACACTTACAAAGAGGGATAAGTCCGCACCACATTTTTATGTTAATGTATTGTAGATTTATCTCCCTTGCTTATATACCAAATGTACATGTCTTTGTATATTAATAATTTTCTTATAGGCATTTACGCATAAAAAATGTATTTATGTCAAACATTGCAAAATTTTTGTTCTATTTCCAATATTCACACTATATTCATATTATTTCAGTTGTATATAATATGATTAATATATTCAAGTTTCATATTATATATTGCGTAGTTAATAAATTATAATATTCTTTTGATATATTTGTTGCATCTGAAGAAAATATGTATTCAATAACATTAATGTTATTTATGATTGTTGTCTAAAATATTGTGTTTTATTGATTGAGATTATTATACACTTTATACACTGTGAGTGCAATACAGAATTCTATAAAACAAGTACATTGATGGTTGATAAACTTGGAACACAGGTTTTTCAGTTGTTTACATGTCCTAAAGAATCAGTATGGTACATATAATGTTTATTTCACACATTCAATTTTTAAGAAAAACACATCAAATTTAAGAAAACTCTCAGTACTTTATTTAAAGATACAGTTACTTCAAGTACAATATGGATTTGATATAGAACTTTTGGACTTGGGAATTGAAAGGAAGGCTAAATAGAGTACCTTATGGGATTGATATTGTATTTTTAACTCGGAAAATGAAAACAAGGATAGATGGAGTACAAGTTGCATATGATACAATTTTTTTTGGACTTAATTGAAATGAAAACAAGGCATTAAAATTGATAAGATTGGATCCAATAATATTTATATTGAAACATCATGTGTAGCATATACAAGAAGTTCATTGGTCACATTTTATACAGTGTGAAATAATTGAAAATGACTTTGGTATTATGAAAAACATTTATTTTATATGTGTACTTTAATACTGAGATAGAACAATAACTCATAACACACATGATTTATCTGGCTGTCTCAAATCAAAGTCAAAACCCTGATTGTAAAAGATTTTCAGTAAAGGGCGCCTTTACCTGGATGCTGCCATTTCCAATATGAGTGAGCCTATATTCTATTTACAAGTTGTCATCCTATTTCAAAAGTCAAATTATCCAATAGATATTTTTCATTGTACCTCGAATATTTTCATGCAAACCATTTTTGGCCGGGTTGCACTGGTGCAAACTCAGGTTATAGTATGGTGAATGTCGGGCGGCAGGCGGGCGGGTGGCGGGCGGGCGGTGGGTGGCGGGCGGGCGGTTAAAAACTTTCGTAACAGTTTTCTCGGCAACTACTTATCACAGCCTCTTGATATTTGGTATACAGCATCAACACATGGTCCCATACCGTGGGATTTGATTTCAGGTCTGTCGCTCACCCACTTCCTGTTAAATTTTCAACATTAATGGTCAATGGCAGGAAATTTTCGTAACAGGTTTCTCAGCAACTACTCATCACAGCTTCTTGATATTTGGCATACAGCATTGACACATGGTCCCATACTGTGGGATTTGGTCAATCGCAACTACTCCGCCCTTTCCGTCGGTCTTCGGATAAGGACCTCGAACACAATAGTATGAATACACAGAACGGATGCGGTATTTTGGTCTAACCTACGTTAAGAAACTAAACATGTCAACAAATAGTAATTTAATGCTTGGAGTTGTTTACAAGTTTATTTCCAATATATGTAGTAAAGGTTCACCTAAAATAAGTGATATCATAGGTACAAAAGCAAACAATTCATTATTTATATATTTATTATCATGGTTGTAGAAACCGAAAGTACAAAAAACCAACCTGTTGACATTTCGTCGGATTTGTTTGAAAATTGAACATCAGTGGTCATATTTAAATAACAAATTGTTGTCAGACATATTTTCAAGCAAAAGAGTACCGGAACAGGCATTAGATGTCAAATATATACATTTGTTTTACATTATCTCTGTTTCTGTTTACATCTGAAACCACGTGGTAGAACTACTTTCAATCCGTATTGTTTCCGAGGCTAATATTATAGATAATAGCCGAGGCAGTTCCGAATGGGATTTGGTTTCAGGTCTGTCGCTCATCCACTTCCTGTTTACCGACTTAGTTAAATTTTCGACATTAATGGTCAATGGTAGGAAATTTTCGTAACAGTTTTCTCAGCAACTACTTATCACAGCCTCTTGATATTTGGCATACAGCATTGACACATGGTCCCATACTGTGGGATTTGATTTCAGGTCTGTTGCTCATCCACTTCCTGTTTACCGACTTAGTTAAATTTTCGACATTAATGGTCAATGGTAGGAAATTTTTGTAACAGTTTTCTCAGCAACTACTTATCACAGCCTCTTGATATTTGGCATACAGCATTGACACGTGGTCCCATACTGTGGGATTTGATTTCAGGTCTGTTGCTCATCCACTTCCTGTTTACTGACTTAGTTAAATTTTCGACATTAATGGTCAATGGTAGGAAATTTTCGTAACAGTTTTCTCAGCAACTACTTATCACAGCCTCTTGATATTTGGCATACAGCATTGACACAGGGTTGCATACTGTGGGATTAGATTTCAAATCTGTCGCTCATCCTTTTCCTGTTTATCTATTTAGTTAAATTTCCAACATTAATGGACAATGGTAGTAGGAAATTTTTGTAACAGTTTTTGCAGCAACTACTTATCACAGCTTCTTGATATTTAGCATACAGCATTGCCTCATGGTCCCATACTGTGGGATTCGATTTCAGGTCTGTCGCTCATCCACTTCCTGTTTACCGACTTAGTTAAATTTTTGACATAAATGGTCAATGGTAAACATTTTTTGTAACATCACAGCCTCATGATATTTGGTATACAAATGCAACCCGGCCTTTTCTGTCTTTGACCCATTTTTTAGCTCACCTGTCACAAAGTGACAGGGTGAGCTTTTGTGATCGCTTTTCGTCCGGCGTCCGTCTGTCTTCCTTCCGTCATCCGTCCGCCCGTAAACTTTTACTTTAAATGACATCTCCTCATAAACCGCTGAGCCAATTTCATCCAAACTTCACAGGAATGTTCCTTTGGTGGTCACCTTTAAAAATTGTTTAAAGAATTTAATTCCATGCAGAACTCTGGTTGCCATGGCAACCAAAAGAAAAAACTTTAAATATCTTCTTTTAAAAAACCCAAAGAGCTAAAGCTTGGATATATGGCATATAACATTTTCTAAAAAGTGTTTACCAAGTTTGTTCAAATAAATGCCCTGGGGTCAAAATTGGCCCCGCCCCAGGGGGTCACTGATTTTCCCTATATGCATATAGTAAAAACTTAAAAAATCTTCTTTTAAAGAACTCAAAGAGCTAGAGCTAAGATATTTAGCATGAAACATCTTCTCATGAGTGTCTACCAAGTTTGTTCAAATAAAAGCCCTGGGGTCAAAATTGGCCCCGCCCCAGGGGGGTCATTGATTTTTCCTATATGCATATAGTAAAAACTTAAAAAATCTTCTTTTAAAGAACCCAAAGAGCTAGAGCTAAAATATTTAGCATGAAACATCTTCTCATGATTGTCTACCAAATGTGTTCAGAATAAAAGCCCTGGGGTCAAAATTGGCCCCACCCGAGGGGGTCATTGATTTTCCCTATATGCATATACAGTGGAGCCTTGCTAATCCGAACCCTTCTAATCCGGAATCCTTTCTTATCCGAACAAAGTGTCCAATCCCGATTTTATTCATTCTATTTTCAATAGTAAAAAACCTTTCGGATCTGGAACCTGTCTACTCCGAATTCCGGACGATTTTTTCAATTTTTGTTCTTGTTTTACTCTAAAATTTACCTCTCGGATCCGAACAGATTTTGCCAAATGTCACACCTTCATTCAAAATAACAAATAATCACACAATTTACAGGACAAACATACACCAAACTGATAGGTGTTATTTTGCTTGATTAATGGGTGAAACTTATGATCTGTTAAGGTATGAAAATTACACTTAGCTTGCCTTGATATTTTCTATAATTGCTTAATTGATTGTTTTTCGTCAGCTTCTATAAATATTTTGATATAATGCAATAGAAATATCTTTTAATCCTTTGTATAGGATTCAGTGATACGTGATTAAGTAATGGAAATTAATGAAAGCTGTCAGTGAATTCGGATAGTCGCTGAATCGGATACGAGTAAACAACAATTAACAAATGCTGGTACGAATATCAAATCATGTCTCGGCCTCCTGTTTAACATCGTAGGTTAACTTACCCTTGAGGACATAATATTTTTGCTTATTGATTTATTTTTTATTTCTTTATTTTTGTATTCACATGTACATGTATTAAAATGAACGATAAGAGACTGCAAAAATAAAATATCTAAACTGCAATTCCATATGCATTCCCATTTTTTTTCCTTCAACTTTTTTGCAAATAACATGAAAAAAACATGTTAAAAACTTCCTAATTCGGAAACCTTTCTAATCCGGAAACCTTTCTAATCCGAACTTTTCTTCTGGTCCGGACGAGTTCGGATTAGACAGGTTCCACTGAAGTAAAAACTTTAAAAAATCTTCTTTTAAAGAACTCAAAGAGCTAGAGCTAAGATATTAATTAGCATGAAACATGTTCTAATGGGTGTCTACCAAGGTTGTTCAAATAAAAGCCCTGAGGTCAATATTGGCCCCGCCCCAGGGGTCATTGATTTTCCTTATATGTGTATAACAAAAACTTAAAAATCTTCTTTGAAAAAACCAAAATAGCTAGAGTTTAGATATTAAGCATGAAACATCTTCTACTAAGTGTCTATATTAAAGTTTGTTCAAATAAAAGCCCTGGGGTCAAAACTGGTCAACCCCAGGGGTGTCATTGTTTTTAACTATATGTGTATAGTAAAAACTTAAAAAATCTTCTTTTAAAAAACCCAATGAGTTAGAGCTTAGATGTTAAGCATGAAACATGTTCTAATAGGTATCTACCAAGTTTGGTCAAATAAAAGCCCTTGGGTTAATGTAAGCCCTACCGGGGGGGGGGGGGGGGAGAGGGGTGGAGAGGTCCTTGTTTTTCATTATATATGTATAGTAAAAACTTAACATCATGAAACATCTTCTAATGGATGTCTTCCAAGTTTGTTCAAATAAAAGCCCTTGGGTTTAAACTGGCCTCGCTCCGGGGGCCTATATATAGGTGAGCGACCTCAGGGCCATCATGGCCCTCTTGTTTATTTATATAACCTAGATATTATTTATACAAAAATTAATGAAACATTAATTGAATACATATTTTCTTATGATGCAATTAATATTTTACTGAATAGAATTGATAAAGAATTATAGAACATATTATAAAATTACATTGTGTACAATTAAAACATTTGATATCAGAACAAAAAAGGAGAAAATTTGCAATACAGAATATGTTAGTGTACCATAACTTAGTTTTAATTAGATAAAGTTAGAGTTGGAGTAAACTAATGCATTGAAAGTTAATAGCTTCTATTTAATATTGCTCCCATTTATTTCTTAACTTGTTATAATAATGTGCTTGCTAGTTATTCATAAAGCATATCTATATGAAATTGCTTGACTATATTTAATTAGAATGTATGAAAATAATGATCAGTAATTATTTCAGGTCTCCAAAATGCAGTCGCACTGAAAACCAAAGCGTAGATGTAGGATCTGCACCAGTGTATGTTAAAATTCAATGATTAAATTAGCTTAAAGGCACATTATGCCTCAGAAATCAATTTTTAGCTCGACTTTTCTATGAAAAGGGGAGCTATCCTACTCGCCCCGGCGTCGGCGTCGGCGTTAGCGTCGGCGTTGGCGTCACACCTTGGTTAAGTTTTTCGTACCACCCCACTTTATTTCAGAAGTATTACAAGTATGGCTTTGAAACTTACCATACTTGTTCACCATCATAACCTCCATCTACAGACAAGAGTACATAACTCTGTCAAGGTTTTTGACAGAATTATGGCCCTTTTTTGACTTAGAAAGTGTATTGAGCTTGGTTAAGTTTTTTGTACCACCTCACTTTATTCAAAACCATTGGAGGTATTGCTTTGAAACTGACCATACTTGTTTACCATCACAACCTTCATCAACAGACAAGAGGACATAACTCTGTCAAGGTTTTTTGACAGAATTATGCCCCTTTTTGACTTAGAAAATACATTGAATATGGGTAAAATCCACTTATTGCCTTAACCCTTTGAGATATTGCTTTGAAACTTTTAATGCTATTTCACATCATTACCCCCATCTGTACGCAAGAGAAGGTAACTCTGTCAAGGATTTGTTTTAAAAATTAAGGCCTTTTATCGACTTAGAATCTTGGTTAAGTTTTTAGTACCAGTCCACTTTTTGACTGAACTGTTTGAGATATTAATTTGAAAGTTGGAATACTTGTTTACAATCATGATTCCCAAACATGTCCAGGAGAAGGTAATTCTGTCAAAGATTTTATTTGAATTATGGCCCTTAACTGTCAATGTTTTGTATTATAGGCAAGCACTAAAAAACTTAAAAAATCTAAAAAAATTCATTCCTATCCACTTGTTCACTTTACCATAAATTATGTCATATAAACATTGCTGTAATATTCAAGGGTATCAAACAACTAGTTCACTTTAAAAATACAGAGATTCTTGTATTGCCTTTTACTGCAAAAACTTTTTTTATTGGCAAGCAATAAAAAAGTCGAGCGCGCTGTCTTACGGACAGCTCTTGTTTATGCTCCCCTAAGGGTGAGCGTATAGTCGCCGTTTTGTCTGTCCGTCCGTCCACTTTTCTTGTCCGGGACATAACTTTGAAACAACAAGTGGTATCAACATGAAACTTTGTAGGTAGATAGATCTCATTGAGTAGGTGTGCATTGCACAAGAACCGTAACTCTGCCTTGCCTAATTTTTGAATTATTGCCCTTTGCTTATTTTTACATTTTGAACTTTGTCTGGGACATAACTCTAAAACTATAAGAGGTATCAACATGAAACTTTGTAGGTAGATAGATCTCATTTAGTAGGTGTCCAATACACAAGAACTGTAACTCTGCCTTGCCTAAATTTTGGCTCACTAGAGCCGAAGGCTCAGGGTGAGCTATTAGTATCAAAGGGGGATACTCCGGTGTCTGTCGTCCGTCATCATGCATCAACAATCGTCTTCTTCTCTGCAACTGCTGGGGCCGATTTACTTCAAATTTGGTCTGTAGCATCCTTGAGATAGTCACACTTGAGTTTGCTCATGTCATTTCAATTGGCCCCTTTTAGGGGTCAACAGAGCTAAAAATAGAAAAAATTCTTCAACTACAGAACTAATTGATGGATGATCACCAAACTTTGTCTGTAGCATTCTTGGGTAGTCTTTTATCAAAGCTGCTCATATTAATTTGATTGGCCCCTTTTAGGGGTCTCTAGGGCTAAAAATAGAAAAACCTTTAAACATCTATATCTAGAGACCTATACTGTGCTCCTCTTAGTTCACGGTACTTAACACTTTAAAACAGTAAAGAACACAAACAATAAACTAATGCACTACAAAAACTGTCATAAACTGTATTATTTAGTCATTTTTCTGCTATATGACACAAGGAAACAACAATATTTTCAATCAAAATTAGTTTTAATTTGTCAGATGTAAACCGTGTGTCGGCCATTTTGAAAACAGTATGTCATCATTTATCTCGCGGTAATGGTGTTTTATTTCAGTTTTTCATGTTTCAGTTAAAATTTCTTTAAGTTATTTTGCATAATTTTAAATATTAAAAATATTTTTACATTGTAACTCAAAATTTATTTTTTCAACGAACAAGAACATTTAGAAAATGATGATTGTTTCAGACGTATGCACAAATTTAATGGACTATTGTTGTTTTTTGCAGAAGTTTGTAAAATGTTGTTCAGTTTTACGTAAAAATCTGTAGATTTAAAACATTTTACACAAAAACTTTGTTGTTAAGGTGTTTGAATAAAATATATCAATTCTGACCAATTATAACAATGGTCACATGAAAATATGCCATTACCGTGAGATAAGTGATGACGCGGAATTAGTGATGTTGAGTATAATTGATGGATGATCACCAAACTTTGTCTGTAGCATTCTTGGGTAGTCTTGTATCAAATTTGCTCATATTAATTTGATTGGCCCCTTTTAGGGGTCTCTAGGACTAGAAATAGAAAAACCTTTAGACATCTTTTACAGAACTAATGGATGGATGATCACCAAACTTTGTCTGTATTATTCTTGGGTAGTCTTTTATCAAGTTTGCTCATATTAATTTGATTGGCACCTTTTAGGGGCAGCTTAAGCTAAAAATAGAAATACCTTTAAACATCTATATCTAGGATGATCTCCAAACTTTGTCTGTATCATTCTTCGGTAGTCTTATATCACGTTTGCTCATATAAATGTGATTAGCCCCTTTTAGGGGCAGCTAAAGCAAAATATAGAAATACCCTTAAACGTCTATTTCTACAGAACTAATTGATGGATGATCACCAAACTTTGTCTGTAGCATTCTTGGGAAGTCTTATATCAAGTTTGCTCATATTAATGTGATTGGCATCTTTTAGGGGCAGCTTAAGCTAAAAATAGAAATAAAAATAGAAATAAATACCTTTAACCATTTTTTTCTACAGAACTTATTGATTGATGATCACCAAACTTTGTCTGTAGCATTCTTGGTGTAGTCTTTTATCAAGTTTGCTAATATTAATTTGATTGGCTCCTTTTAGGGGTCTCTAGAGCTAGAAATAGAAAAAGCTTTAAACGTCTTCTTCTATAGAACTAATTGATGAATGATCACCAACTTTTGTCTGTAGCATTTGTAGGTAGTCTTTTATCAAGTTTGATAATATTAATTTGATTGGCCCCTTTTAGCTAAAGCTAAAAATAGAAATACCTTTAAATGTCTTTTTCTACAGAACTAATTGATGGATGATCACTAAACTTTGTCTGTAGCAGTCTTAGGTACGCTTTTGCAAATTTGCTCATATTAATTTGATTGGCTCAAATTTAATATCAGAAAATATTGACAATGGATAATTTCAAACACTGGAAAGCAGTTGTTTCTGGTGAGCAACTCAGGGCCATCATAGCCCTCTTGCCCTCTTGTTGAATTATTGCACTTTGTTTATTTTTACACTTTGAACTTTGTCCGGGACATAATTGAGTTATCAACATGAAACTTTGTAGGTAGATAGATCTCATTGAGTAGTGTGCAGTGCACAAGAACTGTAACTCTGCCTTGCCTAATACTTGAATTATTGCCCTTTGTTTATTTTTACACTTTGAACTTTGTCCGGGACATAACTCTTAATCTATAACAGTTATAAATTTGAAACTTTGCAGATAGGTAGATCTCATTGAGTAAGTTCACAGTGCACAAGAACAGCAACTCTGCTGTGCCTAATTTTTGAATTATTGCCCTTGTTTAGCTCACCTGTCACAAAGTGACAGGGTGAGCTTTTGTGATCGCTTTTCGTCCGGCGTCCATCCATCCGTCCGTTAACTTTTACTTTAAATGACATCTCCTCATAAACCACTATGCCAAATTCATCCAAACTTCACAGGAATGTTCCTTTGGTGGTCACCTTTAAAAATTGTTCGAAGAATTTAATTCCATGCAGAACTCTGGTTGCCATGGCAACAGAAAGAAAAACTTTAAAAATCTTCTTTTAAAAAAAACGTAAGAGCTAGAGCTTAGATATTTGGCATGAAACATGTTCTAGTGAGTGTCTACCAAGTGTGTTCAAATAAAAGCCCTGGGGTCAAAATTGGCCCCGCCCCAGGGGGGGTCATTGATTTTTCCTATATGCATATAGTAAAAACTTAAAAAATCTTCTTTTAAAGAACCAAAAGAGCTAGAGCTAAGATATTTAGCATGAAACATGTTCTAATGGGTGTCTACCAAGTTTGTTCAAATAAAAGCCCTGGGGTCAAAATTTGCCCCGCCCTGGGGTCATTGATTTTCCTTATATGTGTATAGCAAAAACTTAAAAAATCTTCTTTGAAAAAACCAAAATAGCTAGAGTTTAGATATTAAGCATGAAACATCTTCTAGTGCGTGTTTACAAAGTTTGTTCAAATAAAAGCCCTGGGATCAAAATTGGCCCCGCCCCGGGGGTCATTGATTTTCCTTATATGTGTATAGCAAAAACTTAAAAATCTTCTTTCAAAAAACCCAAATAGCTAGAGTTTAGATATTAAGCATGAAACATCTTCTAGTAAGTGTCTACAAAGTTTGTTCAAATAAAAGCCCTGGGGTCAAAACTGGCCCTGTCCCAGGGGTGTCATTGTTTATAACTATATGTGGATAGTAAAAACTTAAAAAAATCTTCTTTTAAAAAACCCAATGAGCTAGAGCTTATATGTTTAGCATGAAACATCTTCTTATGGGTGTCTACAAAGTTTGTTCAAATAAAAGCCCTTGGGTTAAAATTGGCCCTGCCGATTGTGGGGGGAGGTCATTGTTTTTCATTATATGTGTAGTAAAAACTTAACATCATGAAACATCTTCTAATGGATGTCTTCCAAGTTTGTTCAAATAAAAGCCCTGGGTTTAAACTGGCCATGCTCCGGGGGCTTATATACAGGTGAGCGACCTCAGGGCCATCATGGCCTTCTTGTTTATTTTTACACTTTGAACGGGATGTAACTCTAAAATTATAAGAGATATCAACATGAAACTTTGTAGGTAGATAGGTCTCATTGGGTAGAAGTGCAGTGCTAAAGAACCATAACTCTGCCTTGCCTTATTTTTAAGTTTATAACTTTTGTCCGGGACATAACTCTAAAACTATTAGATATATCAACATGAAACTTTGCAGGTAGATGGATCTCATTGGATAAAACTGTAATTCTAAAGAACCTAAACACAGCCTTGTCTGGTTTTGGAGTTATTGCCCTTTGTTCATTTTTACACTTTGAATTTTACCTGGGACATATAGTCTGATTTTATTGACCTGTCAATTATGAATACATTACAGGACTCATTTAAATATTCGATCCCACTTCGGTTTTGTCCGTGTAGTTTACGAGAATTAATGTGGAGTATATTAGTCATGGATTGTAAGTCACGCCAGCTTAATGTGAAAGTTTTCGTTAATTCACAATAGGACAGTCGGTAAAGAGAATGCCTGATAATTGAGAGGTCCGTGGTTCGACCCTTATTGTTGCCATTTTTTTAGTACTCTTTCTTTATTTTTGCAGTATATTTTAATGGAACAGATTTGTAGTGTGTTTTACGGCATTGAAAAGACATTTATTGATTTTAATAATCCGTTTCAATTTTAAACATGAATTCTTAAAAACATGTTATTTGAAAAGAGTATATACGTAACAAAATTAAGTAAAACATAATAAAAACGAACAACATAAAATAATCATATATAGATCCAATTATGTTGAAAGTATTAATAAGAAAAAAAAAACATGGACCAACGCGGCCTCGAACTAAAAATACATGTGGCACTTAGATAATAAACTCGTGATTTACCCTATTGCGCTATAACGCTGAATACACTTAGTTTAGAGATACAAATTAAATTAAATTCCATCGTACAGCGTACATCTCACGGAACTTACCGAAAATCAACCGAAGATTAATATACTGTGTGCATCGACCGTGTAATCAGTATGTAATTGACAGGTTAATAAAACCAAACAATAACTCTATAAGAGATATCATCACAAAACTTTATAGATAGATAGATCTCATTGAATAGAAGTGCAGTGCAAAAAAACCATAACCCTGTCTTGCCTAATTTTGGAGTTTTTGCCCTTTGTTCATTTTTTAGGTCATTTGAGCTCGCTCAGGGTGAGCTTTTAGGATCAATGAATGTTCGTTGTCCGTCCACACTTGTTCGTTAACACTCTAGCGGTCACATTTTTGCCTAAATCATCATCAAACTTTGTCAGGATGCTAATCTAGTTGATAGCTCGGATGAGTTCGAACATGGTACATCTTGGATGAAAAACCAGGTCACCGGAGCTAAAAATAGACAAACCTTGTTAACACTCTAGTGGTCACATTTTTGCCTCAATCATCATCAAACTTGGTCAGGATGCTTATCTAGATGATAGCTCGGATGAGTTTGAAAAGGGGTCAACTCGGATGAAAAACTAGGTCACTGGAGCTAAAAATAGAAAAACCTTGTTAACACTCTAGCGGTCACTTTTTTGCCTCACTTACATCAAACTTTGTCAGAATGCTTGTCTAGGTGATAGCTCAGAGGAGTTTGAACATGGGTTATGTCGGATGAAAAACTAGGTCACAGGAGCCAAAAAAAGAAAAACCTTGTTAATACTCTAGCGGACACATTTTTGACTCAATTAGTGTCATCAAACTTGGTCAGGATGCTTGTCTAGGTAATCGCATGATGACTTTGAACATGGGTCATCTCGGATGAAAAACTAGGTCACCTGAGCTAAATATAGAAAAATCTAATTAACACCATAGTGGCTACTGTTTTGATCCAAATATCCTGTAAATTGGTCTGAAAGTTTGTTTTGATGATTTCTAGGTCAAGTTTGAACATGGGTCATCTTGGATGAAAAACTAGGTCACACCGCCCAAATACGGAAAAACCTTGTTAACACTCTAGTGGTTACATTTTTGACTCAATTATCATCAAACTAATGGTCAGGGTGCTTGTCTAGGTCATTGCTCGGATGAGTTTGAAAATGGGTCATCTCGGATGAAAAACTAGGTCACTGGAGCTAAAAGTGGAAAAATCTTGTTAGCACTAGTGGCTACTGTTTTGATCCAAGTATCCTGGAAATTGGTTTGAAAGTTTGTTTTGATGATTTCTAGGTCAAGTTCGAATATGGGTCACCTGGGTAAAAAACTCAGTCACACAGCTCATATATGGATAATCCTAATGTTAACGCTCTAGTGGTCACATTTTTGACTCACCTGTCATGAAACTTGGTCAGAATGCTTGTCTAGTTAATTGTTCAGATGAGTTTGATGGGACAGGTGAGCGATCTAGGGCCATCATGGACCTTCTTGTTTATACTTCCTGTGTCCAAAACCTTCTCGGGGAGCATCACCCTGTTCAACCGGTTCTTGTTTTAATTCTTTTGAAATGTCGAAACAACTGAAGAGAGTAGTGCTGAATGTGTGGTTATGTGTCATAAAGGTAGCAAATAAATAAAGATCCTGTTATGGTTTTGTTTCATAAATATGATGCTCAAATTAAGATGTGTCAATATTGTAAGTTCCAATAAGCATTATTTAAAAAGATATTACAGAATTTAAGATTTCATGTAAATAAAAGCACAGACACTTGGGGTGTGGAGCTCAAAACGCCCTTAAAATCCAAATAAAATGCATATTAATAAATGTCAGTCCCAGCATATGTATTGATCATATATATCAAAAAAACTTAATATAAACCGTTTTGAAAAATATTCATATTTCAATGTCTATAATGTATGAAATGGCTTATATTAAGTTTTTTTGATAAATATGATTTATTTGGATTTTAAAGGCATTTTGAGCTCCACACCCCAAGTGTCTGTGAATAAAAGGAGGTAATTAGAAATTTATTTTCTATAAATTCTAGGTCAAATTTTCCAATAAAAAATGAATGCATGTAATTTACTGATTAAATATAATGTGCACAAATATTTGCAGTACAAATTTTACATATTCTTGGATGTTTGAAAATTGTTTATTTGCATAATTATATACATATATAATTTCTTGTAAGTGTGGTACACAAACAGTAACAATATCAATCACAAAACGTACAGGATCTTTAATGAAAGTAGTATTTTGACTTTCTTATAAAATACTTATTCAGTACAATAAAACCAGTTGCCAACAGAGCTATAGTTGCAAAAAATAAGTATTACTTTGAAAACTGTAACAAGATGCCAAAAATGAAAAGTTTTTGAGAAATTAAATTGGTAGCATTTCTGAGGCATGATGGGCCTTCTAATTAAGCTTGCCTGTATGCTTGCTGATAGATTTAACGTCACAAACATTTCCTAAAGTAACTCCTATAAATGTCTAATTATACTATGATGAGTAAAAGAAAATACACATAAAGTAAATTGGCTTGAATGATTGTGGCCTTACATTAAGAGTGGAGGAATAATCCAGAAGCAAGAATAAGTTACATTGTCACTTTTATTCACACCTCATGAACTTTCAGCCTAAATGTAGCCTCATTTCAGTCCAAAAAATCCATATCAAATAAATATTGTATTCTATCTAGCCTGATTTTTATTTTCTGCGTCCAAAAAAGGCTATATCAAATTCACATTGTATGCTATCTGGCCTCAGTTCTAAAATACATATCAAGTTTGTATTATACATGAAGTGATATTTTTTTCAAAATGAAAAAAAGAAATATATTGGTAGTGTGAAATAAAAAAGTCATATACATTGTTGTGTACAATACTGAGTCTGTTAGACTCTGACACACACCAAGAATCTTGTATTTTTTCTATGAAAGAAATTACAGATTTCATTTCTAAATAGAAATATGTTTCAAACCTATTTATTACATGACTGATTGTGGTATTGTTTTATTTAAAATATTTTTTTAGTCCAACACCAAGCAGCCATAAACAAAGACCTGGTAAAGGAGCTGAAACTGAAAATCATCAAGAAAAAATGTAAGTTACAGATTATAGAAGAGCATATTGTAAAAGTTAGTTTGATTTGTATGTTACTTTGGGTTCTCTTACATATCCAGCATTTTAATTTGCCAAACTGTTTGATAAACTTGTAAGCAAATAAGGACATGAAATTAGATTTCTATCCAAGACCTTAAACCCTTTCCCTGCCAGAGGGTTATTTATTTATTGATCACCTATTTGCCAGAAGGTTTTCAAAAAAAATACTATATTATTAATTAATATAATTATTATCCCCCGGCGAAAAGGCGGCGGGGATATAATAAGTAATAGTCTCCATCCGTCCGTCCGACCTTCCGTACGTCCTTCCGTCCAACATTTTTGTCAGGAGCATATCTCAAAAAGTATTTGAGTTATCAACTTGAAACTTCATGGTGGATAGACCTCATTGAAGAGGAGTGCAGTGCACAAGAATGATAACTCTACACAGCATAATTTTTGAGTTATTGCCCTTTGTTATTTTTCAAAATTAATTTTTGTCCAGAGCATAACTCAAAAAGCCTTTGAGATATCAACATCAAACTTCATAGGTGCATAGATCTCACTCAGGAGGTATGCAGTGCACAAGAATGATAACTCTACCTTTCATAATTTTTTTTAGTTAATTGGCCCTTTGTTATTTTTTCATACCTAATTTTTCACCTGAGTGGAGCATAGCTCAAAAAGTGTTTGGAGTATGTCAACATGAAATGTCATAAGTGAATAGATCTTATTCAGGAGGAATGCTGTGCACAAGAATGATAACTCTTCCCTATACAATTTTTGAGTTATTGCCCTTTGTTCTTTTTCATACTATTTTGTCTGGAGCTTATCTCATAAAGTATTTGAGGTATCAACTTGAAACTTCATAGGTGGATAGATTTAACTGAAGAGGGGTGCAGCACACAAGAATGATAGCCTGCCCTGCATTATTTTTCAGTTATTGCCCTTTGTTATTTTCAGCCATCAGTATTCACATAGGTTTCAAATCTGTAATCACTATAGCCATCAGTTTTCATTACCAAAAGACCTCTTAAAATGGAATTATTCTGCTCTACTACATATACATTCTACCAATGGGCAAACACATTCAGCGGGGGATTGCCATGTTGACATGGCTCTTGTTATTATTTGTAATAAGTATTATAATAAATATATATGTTTCCAAATCTGCTAGTATATAATAATTATTGTTGATGGTATAATTATCTATATATTTATTATTATTATTATTATTATTATAACAATTATTATTATTATTATTTTAGTAACGGCAAAAGCTGTTCATATGGCAAATACGCCGAAAATAATAGGGATGGCATATGCCATCCCTATGGCAGTGAAAGAGTTAATTTGTTAAGTCTGCTGAACAAATTGTCTGCCAGATTTAACAAATAGAAATAAACTGTATAGTCTACTTCCTGCCTACTTTTCTGTATTATCATAGTAACATATTTAAAGATATACTATGCTCAAATTTTATATTAGAAAAAATTGTATATTGCTTCACAGTCTCTTTCTAAATATAAAATAAACATGTTTTGATTTTACACAAAGTAGATATGTTACGTTTCAAACTCTACACACTATAGGTGGTCAAAATATGAATATACTTTGTAACTGGCAGTTTTTTTAATACAATACCAATTTTACTTGATCTTTTATAGCGAACACAGCTTTTCATACATAGTTTATTCATTCTTTTATATAGAAAAATCAGACATTATCAGTAAGAATTAAGAAGATTTCAATAAATTTATGTGATTAAAATATTTTACTCAAGGATGAGCATAGTATATCTTTAAACAGTATCTTTCGATAACTGTGAGGCAAATTTTGAATAAATTCAATAGGAATTAACTGTAAATGCTACTTAACACTAGAAATGTGTCCATAGGACACGGGTGCCCCCACTCTCCACCGATTTGTCAATCTTATGTCTCTAGGTCAAATTTTTTTCATGCCCCTGGGCATATAGTAATTGAACCGTCTGTCCGTCCGTCTGTCCGTACGAGGTTAACCTAGAAAGGCAAGGTGGATTTTTCTTAAGTACTCCTTGTACCAATGGCTTCTTAGTTTACACACTTACTAATCAATACAAAGTACATGATTTGGTCAAGATACATAACTATGGTTTCCATATTTACCAAGTTATTGCCCTTTTCAGCATTTAGAAAATGAATAATGGTTAACCTAAAACAGCAAGTTGGAAATATCTTAAGTTCTATCTATACTAATGGCTTCATAATTTCCACACTTACTTATCAATACAAAGTACATGATATTTGCCAAGTTATATAACTGTGTCATCCATATTTCCCAGTTATTTCCCTTTTTTCACTTTGAAAATAGGCCCTTGTCTGGTTAACCTATTCCGGCAAGTTGGATTTATCGTAAATTTCTCTTAATTGCTTAATTTATTTAATGATATCTTGCATATTTGGTAGGTGGATACCTTTAATGGTCCTCTATATTTTTTGTGGAGTAAGTGGTTCTAGGGTCAAGGTAAGGTCACTGGTTTAGGAAATAAATTTAAACATTTTGCTCATACAGCCTTTTATTTTTGGTTGATGTCTTTCATGTTTAATACAAACATGCCAAGGGAGGTCCTCCTTCTTTGGTATAGTAAGGGTGTCATTTGGGTCAAAGTCATGTCACCAATGTCAGAGGTCACAATGTTAAAATAGATTTTTTACATTTTTAGCTCGACTTTTTCTATGAAAAGGGGAGCTATCCTACTCGCCCGGCGTCGGCGTCGTGCGTCGGCGTCACACCTTGGTTAAGTTTTTCGTACCACCCCACTTTATTTCAGAAGTATTACAAGTATGGCTTTGAAACTTACCATACTTGTTCACCATCATAACCTCCATCTACAGACAAGAGTACATAACTCTGTCAAGGTTTTTGACAGAATTATGGCCCTTTTTTGACTTAGAAAGTGTATTGAGCTTGGTTAAGTTTTTGTACCACCTCACTTTATTTCAAAACCATTGGAGGTATTGCTTTGAAACTGACCATACTTGTTTACCATCAGCGACTTCATCAACAGACAAGAGGACATAACTCTGTCAAGGTTTTGACAGAATTATGCCCCTTTTTGACTTAGAAAATACATTGAATAATTATGGGTAAAATCCACTTATTGCCTTAACCCTTTGAGATATTGCTTTGAAACTTTTAATGCTATTTCACATCATTACCCCCATCTGTACGCAAGAGAAGGTAACTCTGTCAAGGATTTGTTTTAAAAATTAAGGCCTTTTATCGACTTAGAATCTTGGTTAAGTTTTTAGTACCAGTCCACTTTTTGACTGAACTGTTTGAGATATTAATTTGAAAGTTGGAATACTTGTTTACAATCATGATTCCCAAACATGTCCAAAAATACAGAGATTCTTGTATTGCCTTTTACTGCAAAAACTTTTTTTATTGGCAAGCAATAAAAAAGTCGAGCGCGCTGTCTTACGGACAGCTCTTGTTATAGGTGTATTAACCATATTCTATAGACAGATGTCATTTATAATTGATAGGAAGATAAAATTTGATGGAGTTAGGGGTCAGTTGGATCAAAGTCACCAGTGCTAAAAATAGATTTTTACACTTTTGCTCATACAGCCTTTATTTATTGACATATATATTTCATATTTGGTAGGAAGATAACTTGCATGGTATTCATCCTTTTGATTAGGTAGGGATCAGTGGGTCAATGTCACTTGTGCTAAAAATAGATTTTTACACTTTTGCCCACACAGGCTTTATTTATTGACAGGTGTTTTTATATTTGGTAGGAAGATAACTTGCATGGTATTCTTCCTTTTGATTGAGTTAGGGATCAGTGTGTCAAGGTTACTAGTGCTAAAAATAGATTTTTACACTTTTGCCCATATAGCCTTTATTTATTGACAGATATATTTCATATATGGTAGGAAGATAACTTGCATGTTATTCTTACTTTTGATGGAGTTAGGGTCAGTTGGGTGAAGATCACAAGTGCTAAAATTAGATTTTTACACTTTTGCCCATACAGCCTTTATTTATTTGACAGATTTATTTCATATTTGGTTGGAAGATAACTTGCATGGTATTCATCCTTTTGATTGCTGTAGTGATCAGTGGGTCAAGGTCACTTGTGCTAAAAAATAGATTTTTACACTTTTGCCCATACAGCCTTTATTTATTGACAGATTTATTTCATATTTGTTTGGAAGATAACTTGCATGGTATCCTTCCTTTGGATGGAGTTAGGGGTCAGTTTGGTCAAGGTCATCAATGCTCAAAATAGATTTTAACATTTTTGCCCATACAGCCTTTATTTATTGACAGGTGTATTTCATATTTGGTAGGAAGATAACTTGCATGATATTCTATAGGTGTCACTTGGTCAAGGTCAAGGGTGCCAAGTGCAGATTTCTTACATTTATATATATTTGATAAAGTTGAATATTTATCACTTCACAAGTCATAGCAATGACTTGGCAACATATATTTCACAATTACAAAATGCCATGACTCTGTCAAGCTATATAACTTGTTTTACAATTTTTTGGCAATGTTTCTGTCCATAACTGAGTAAATGGGTAAACATTTTTTGAAATATTTCTACTGACAAGAATCGGAGCCGGGGGCATTTGTGTTTAACAAACACGTTCTTGTTTTGGCTACATGTGCCCAAGTTGAAAACTAAAAATCTAATATTAAGTAAAGGGCAAATACTACAAATACTGAATAAATCCACAAGAAAACCCCAAAGGTGCATAAGTACACATGCTGACCAACATTTTTGTAACTTTCCAGGCCTACAGGTCAAATACTTTTTGAGTTACTTGAAACACAAGTTAAATATTGTGAATTTTTACTAAGTCAAGGGCAATTACTCTAAAAATACTCAATATATCCACATGAAAATACCCAGGTGCGCATCTTCACATGCTGATCAACATTTCTGTAAGGTTTCATGACTCTAGGTCAATTACTTTTTGAGCTACGTGCAACAAAAAAGAGAATGGACAAACGGAAAGATGGACGGACATACAAGGGTAAATCTAAATGCCCCCCTACAGTGGGGGCACAAAAAACTCCTCAACCCCTTAGCTGATTGTAATAAAACTTAATAAAAAGAAATGTCCTGATAATTAAATCTTGTCCATTTAAACCATAATCTTCAGGGAGTGATTAAGGGCCACATTGGCCCTTTTATATTAAATATGTTAGAAGATAGTCATTTTATGTTATTAAACAGAGAACTACTGTTAGTTTTCATAAAAAATGCACATACCCTTGGTTTAAATTATTACATATATTTAATTATAAGCCAGTTTTAACTCACCTTTTTCGTTTCTGTTGCTGTTGCCATCCAGACTTTGGTGTTGGCCCCACTCTAGGGGGGCTATTTAGATTTGCTGGTGTCTGTGTGTCCCTTCTGATGTTGTGTCACATGAAAATGCCTAAATGACGGCTATACTGTTGACTCTGAACTACACTTCCAACTCATGGAATTCTAGTTTTAACTTATTGTGCGTAGCCCAAAAAGTATTTGACCTTAAGTCATGAAACTTTACAGGACTGTTGGTCAGCATGTATAGTTGTGCATCTGCTGTTGGGAAAAATAAAGATGCCAACATTGGAAAAATTGGATGCTATTTTTATGCACCAACTACTTAGGGTAGAAGAGTCATGTAGAATTTCCCCTCTCTTTTCCTCTGTCATGCTGTCCTGCTGTACATCAGTAGACAAATGAATTTTGCTTGTTATTTTTTCAAGTATGTTGAATAATTCAAATATACCTTGACCTTTGACTGACTGACCATCAAGGTCAAAATATGGAAATAAAATTAATTGTCATTGTTATTTACTGAAAGATGTAATTCATGCTTGGACAAAACACATGATAAAACCAACATTTTGAATTATTCTGATATGACTTTGAGCTTTATTTACCTTTACTGTCAAGGTCAAATAATTGAAATATTTTTAAATTGTCATAACATTGTTATTTATTTATGGATTTGATTCACACTTGGACAAGAAAACAGAAAACATATGACAAAACTGACATATGTTGAATTATTATGATATGACCTTGATCTTTGACTGAAGGATGAATATTAAATTTGAATTTCAGTTGTTACAAAGAATCTATGTTTTGTAGGAGTACTCACTTGTATACTTTTTTTTCCTCTGATGTTAAAATTTGACTTTAGAAATAAGAAAGAGTGGAGTGTGAATAGGCAATTACTCTTGTATATAACTGTATTTGAGAAGATAGTGACATTTCAATTTTCTATTTTAGACAAACATTGGAGAAAGAACTTGCAAAAGAGAGAAACGAATCAGAGAAAATGTTGCACAAATTTAATGACAGAGAGAAACAAATTAAGGAACTTGAAAAAGAATTGAAAGAAAGAGATGAAAGAAACAACTTTTTAGAGGAAGAATCAAAAAGTCTAGCACAAAGGTAGAATACTGTTCATGAATATTCTGATAAAAATGCCTATGGTATTTGTTTTGTAGATGATCAGGTATTATTTGGTTATAAAAATCTACTTAGATTTTAAGCATGCATTTCAAGAAAATAGTTGTTTTCCACAAATTTAGTTTCTTCTGTATTGTGATATAAAAGCATTTGTAGTATGAATTTATTTTAAATTAAAATGTGCATGTACAATAACATAAATCTTAAAAATGCATTTAATAATTAATGGGGATCAAGTTTTTGTTTTATTATCTCACCTGTCACAAAGTGAGCTTTGTGATCGCTTTTCATCCAGCATTCGTCTGACATACACTTGTTTGTCTGGTGGCCATAAACCTTTACTTTAAACAACATCTCCTAATAAACTGCCTGACCAATTTCATCCAAACGTCACAGGAATATTCCTTTGGTGGTCACCTTTAAAAATTGTTTAAGGAATTTAATTCCAAGCAAAACTCTGGTTGCAATGGCAATTGAAAGAAAAAACTTAAAACATTTGCTTTTAGAAAACCCAAACAGCTAGAGCTTAGATATTAAGCATGAAACATCTTCTAGTGAGTGTCTACTACCATTAGCTTGTTCATTTAAATTCCTCTGGGGTCAAACTTGGCCCCAACCTGTGTGTGTGTGGGGGGGGGGGGGGGCGGTAATTGATTTTTCTATTAGGTATATTATAGTAAAAAGCTTAAGAAATCTTCTTTTAAAACCCAAAAGACCTAGAGCTTAGATATCAATCATGAAACTTCTTCTAATGGGTGGTCTACCAAAGTTTTTTTTTCTCAAATATAAGCCCTGGGGTCATAATTGGCCCTGCCCCAGTTGGTCATTGATTTTCCTAATATGTACACATCTTTTGGAACTGTTGTTTTCCCTTAGCAATAGCAACCAGTAATGTTTCTTACACATTCGCTTTTTTTAAATAAAAATATGAACTTTGTGATATCAGTTTATGAGTTGGATTTTTAGCTCACCTGAGGACAATGTCCTCAAGGTGAACTTTTGTGATGGCCCATTGTTAGTCGTCCATCATCCGTGCGTCCGTCCTTGCTTCAACAATTTCATTAAACAACTTCTTTGTTGAAACATGATTATAAGAGAAATCGGTTGGCTAATAATTAAATAAGTTAACTCATTGACTGTGTGTATATGTGGCATCCGTAAAAAGTTGCCCCAAACTTCACTTCAGTGTTGTTATATTTTCTGGTCCTTGGGGATCATTGATGTGAACAATATAGTGTTGTGAATTGAGTACCTCTCAAGCTGGTGCTAGGTGAATGAGGGATGTTGCACATATTCATTATCCCTCATGTACAGACGCAATCAAACCGAGTCTGCAATTCTTATGTTATTTTGTTGTGATTGATGCTTCCGAGGGATCACTTTGTTTCCAGAATTTTTTTTCAGAGATCACCATTAGATTGAATATGTATGTTATATTAAGTTTATCATATTCATATTGATGTATTTATGAGCATTTTCATTTTTTAGGGGGGAGGGGGTGGCGAAAAAATATTGAGCAAGTGGAAAGAAATGTAGTGATTTAATGTTACATCTGTTAATATAATATAAAGTCTGTTTCAATACATGTTACCAATCAAATACACTTGGTTTTTTGTGTCAATCATTAGACTTTGGCTACATCAGTGCCAGTATGGCATCTTGGATTAGTTCAACTGTTGATAATTGCCCTGTAGACCCAGGCCTTATTAAGCTTGCTGCCACAAAATGACATCTGGTTTCTTGTGCTTAAGACAAATCATATGCCTTGAAGATTAATGAGAATATTCCACCTGCAATGGTCAGTACATAAATTGCTATTTTCAACATAAACACTGCTTGGTAATTTGTTATCTTTCTGTTTTCCCATATAATAAAGTTGAAGAAGATCTTAAATGCATCCTAACTTCTAGAGATTTTGTAGAATTTTCTTCAGACCAACTTGAACAACTTCCCCTTTCTTCATTGTTCTTGTCAAAATGTCCACAGAAAGTTACGGAATGCATTATAAATATTCGAAAATTTTCAGAATAGTATTTGAGACTTCAAAACTTCAAAAGTGGATAATATACAGATCATATTGAGTGTAGTGCACAAGAATGAACTCTTGACTTTATTATTTCTAAGTTATGATCTTTCCAAACCTCAAAATTACTCCCTTAGTGTTTTTAAAACCTCCACTGCATAATGGGGTGTGGGGTTGGGGGTCTTTATTGGAATCATTAAATCCTGTAAGTCTGCCAGTCCTTCCATCAGTCAGTCATTCTGTCTCCAGTTTTAGTGTCAGCTCTTATTACAATGTTCCCTCTTGAGGGATTTTGTTAAAACTCCTGCAACAAGATGATGTGGTGCTGTGCAAGCTTAAGGTCATGGTGGTATTAACCTATGCTAAGTGAGAGCATTAACAAAAAGCTATTTGTTGTTATTTTATGAAGGCAAGCCTAAATTAACAATAAGAATTTTTCTATTTTATACCTATAGTCTTGGACAGGAAAAGAAGATAAGAACAGCTGTTGAAAATGAACTAAAGTCTGCTAAGGACATGGTTCAGAGGCTTGAGAAACATGTCAATGATGATTCTGTTAAGTGTCAGGAACATCAAAAAAGAATAGCAGAATTAGAAGCTGCAAATAAAAAACTTGAAGCTGCATATAAAAATCTTGATAAACAGAAATATCATATGGAACAACAGGCAAACAAGAATATGGAACACATGCAAAATATTCTTCTAGAAGAGAAAAGGAAAGCTGATGACCAGTACAAAAAACTCTTAGCAGATCGAGATGATTTACGAGACAGGTAAGTTATTAGTATTCAGACTATTCTAAGAATTTTTTAAAGTTTTTGACTCTTTCAGATCTAGTATCAATAAAAGCATTTGGGTCTTAAAGATCCTGTAACACATCTTTTCATGGTTTTATTTCATAGATATAATGCTCAAATTAAAATTTGTCAAATTAGTAAGTTCCAATAAGCATTATTTATAAAGATATTACCGAATTTAACATTTCATGTAATTAAGGGAGGTAATTAGATATTTATTTTCAATAAATTATAAGCCAAATTTTCCAATAAGAAATGGATGCATATAATTTATTGATTAAATATAATGTGCTCAAATATTTGCAGTACACATTTTACATATTCTTCGATGTTTGAAAATGTTTTATTAGCATAATTATATACATATATAATTTTTTGCAAGTGTGGTATACACACAGTAACAATATCAATCACAAAACATATAGGATCTTTAACAAAATCATTACAGCTGTCTCTGTATTAATAATATCATCACCAGTGCAGTTATGGAAAAACTTGAGACTGTCAGATTTAAGAGGTGATTAGCAGTTTCTGCATTAAGGGGAAAATGTATCAACCTAGAATTCAGTAAAATCTATTTTCAAAAGGAACAACTTCATTATGCATTTAGAGAAAACATATACTAGTAATATACAGAGGATATTGAATTAGTGTAGGTTTAGTAGGTTTAGTACAGAATTTATTGAACAAGTTAAAGAAATTATATATCATGTGAGCTTCTGGGTGATACTCTACATTAACTGTACAAATGATTTACCTCTGTCACAAGGATTACATATAAATGGAATTGAATATGAAACCATTAAAAACATTTCCCCAGAAACTTAATTTACATTCCTTGCCAAGTTTTTTTTTGAGTTTTGCTAAAATTTGCCACAACTTTGTTATTGTATTTAAGGTTTGATTCATACCTAGGCAAATGATTAATTCAAATATGACCTTGACCTTGAATAACACATTGACTGTCAAGGTCAAATCATTATATATTTTGCTTAAATTGTAATAACTATGTTACTTATTAATAAATTACATTCATCCACTGATGACAAAATTGACATATTGGATGATTTCAATATACCATTGACTTTTAAATGGCATGGCCCATATTTAGTGTTGCTTTGTTTATTATACTTGAATTTGATTTCAAAGCTACACTTGAGATAGAACTGACTTTAAATAGTACAAATATGACCTTGACAGCAAAAGTGACTGTCAAGGTAAAAATATTAAATTTTGCGTATATTTTGATAACTTTAATAGTTATTCACAGATTTGATTTATACTTGGACTAGATTACAACAATAAAATAGATACATCTGTATGTTAATGACTAAAAATAACATTGACCTTTAAATGACATTGACAACCAAGGTCAAATTATTGGTTTTGCAAAGATTGTAATAGCTTTGTTATTTATACTTGAACAAAACAATACTTATGACAAAAATGAAATACAAGATAATGTAAATATGACCTTGACCTTAAAGTGACCTTGGCCTTCAAGGTCATATTATTTATGTTTTCTAAAATTGTCATAGCTTTGTTATTTAATAAAGGATTTTATCCATTTCATGTCAATAGAACACTTAAGACTAAACCAACATATGGTATAGTTAAAGTATGACCCTAATTTTTGAATGACCTTGATTCTCAAGGTAAGTTTATTGAATTTTGCTTAAATTGTGACAACTTTGTTATATATTTACAGATATAATTTAAACTTGGAGAATACATTTATGACAAAACTAATTCATTGAATAATTTAAATAGGACCATGACCTGAAAAAGGCATTGACAGTCAAGGTCAGCCATTGATTTTGCCTGACCTGGTGGAAGGTTTCATTTGTACTCGGACAAAGCAACAGTAATGGCATCATCTACATGTTGAATAAATTATGTATGCCATTGAATCATAAATGTCACCTTGACAGTCAATGACAATTACCAAATATTATGTAAATTCTGTCTAAGAAAATGATGTTTTCTTAGTTAAATCTTCACTAGTATTATGTGATGTACTTGCCTTTAGAAAAAGAACAAATAGGCTTTGGCTCTGCTTTTGGTGGATCTGGATATTTTGTTATATCACTCGTCTGTTCCTGAGCATGCCTGAAATTTTTCAATGTGGTTACTTCAATGAGATGTGGCTATGGGTTAAATTGGTTACATTTCCAGGAAGTTGCAAGAAAAGAATAAAAAATACTTTTATACATGTCATGTAGACTAGTGAATACTGACCATGGATGTATTTTTGAAACATTAATGTTCTTTTCTATTTGTACTCAGATTTAGTAAGCTAGCTGGTAAGAAATTACAGGAGCAGAATGCTGATATAGCAGACCTCAGTGATCCTAACAGAGCAATGAAGGTGTCGGAGAAGTTTGGCCAGTTATACGATGATGATTGGACTAATGCCTTTGAAAGTTTGACTGATAAGAAGCTAGGCGTACCATTAAAAAGATGCCATAAATGTTCTACTACGCCTTCTTCAAGTAATGTATATACTATTTGTATCAAACATTGTTTCAATTAAAATGCTGTTCTCATTAATCATCCAAACAAGAATTGTTTGAAAAAACACTAATTGGTATACATTGAAATTGTTTTGCATAATCTGTAAACTGACTGTTTAGCCTGTCTGTTTTGAAGAAAAATGTGTGCTATTATGATCGCTTCAACATTATTGTTGTTGTCTTTAATATTGAAATGCTTCTCATGACAAGGTGCAGATTTTAGACAAGCAGCGTAAGTCTTAAAGCAATGAATTTGCAGAAAGGCCTCTTTTAACTTAGAATTTTTAACAGACAAGTGTTTACACCACATGCATTGCTCTTGTAACTGTAAAAGACTGATTTTTTTGGGTCACAAATCACAATGATAGAGTCAAAAGTTGAGCTGACATACTTTTTTTTGTTTAAAAAAAAATATCGAAACATCATATACCGTATAAGTTGTATTTACTGCGGTGACTTTATTTCTGCGTTTTCTGCGGTCAATTTCAGCACCGCAGAAATAAAAACCGCAGAATATTTTTCCATGTGTTTTTTTTTAACGATATGTCTCCCACATGATGACCTGTTTCCTCTAAAGTAATAACGACTATAGGATTATAACGGTTAGCGGGTAATCGAGTTATTTAAAATTGCTTTCGGCTAAGCATGTAATATGTGCTTGTAAGGATGTACCTATTGTTAATTATGCCAATTTATGAATAAAGATATTTAAACATCATAGTGTTTGCCTGTACGCTAAAAGGTTTGTTTACCACTAAATCATTAAAACCATTTTAACCCTTAAACTGCTAAATAATCGTCGTTTACATTAATTGTTGACTGATTTGTAAACGATTAACTTCTAGTCAATTTTATGAAATTAAAGATACTACAGGGTATATTTTTCACGCGTCATTTCACGCTGATCAAAAGATGCATACTGTCTATTGTTGAGCATTATATTTGTTTGCAAGTAAACAATATCATTATTTGCAATTTACTATATAATTTTGATGGTAACGATGATGAACAAAATTTTAATGCGAATGTGTACATGCAAATAAAATAGGAAGAGTAATGTGACTTAGACTTTGATAAGATGAGCCGCAGAATTTAAATCATGTTTTTTTCCAAAAGAATGTGCCGCAGAAATTAAGTCCGCCAGAAATAAAAGCATTGCCAAAAATTTTGGAAAAAACGCAAAATTTGGAGCCAGCAGAAAAAAACACTTATACGATAATATTCATATTATATATATGTATCTTTGCATTGTTAAGACAGATGTCTGACATGTATGCCAACTGACCCTAAATTTAGACAATGATTGATTTGTTTTCAGGAATGTTGGACGTTTTGCAATAAACTGGTGGGCAGCACAAATGGAAAGTTTTTACAAAAGTATTTCTACATCCCTGCTCAGATCTTTGGCTACTTTTGACCAAAAAAAACTGGTAGGTGTTTTAAAAAAAATACTTTTTGAAAAATTGTTACATTATAACTGAAAATAAATAGGCATTTCCATTTTGAGTGTAAGTAAGTAAGTAAGGTAAGGTAAGGTAAGGTAAGGTAAGGTCAGGTAAGGTAAGGTAAGGTAAGGTAAGGTAAAGTAAAGTAAAGTAAATGTTTCCCAATCTTCCATATGTGCCTCTAAGAAAAACATAATTTACAATATATACAACTACAATAATATGGAAACAACAATGTGGTACAATTTACATTGAAATTGTTAGAACAAGAAATACATGATAATATTTACAATCCATTCATAGCATAACACTTGTCAAAGAAGTACATATTAGATTAAACAAAGTAGGTGTTACATCAAATATTAATATTCAAGTCTTTTTTAAAGTGATTAATTGAATGATGAGAAATACCAGGATAGATATGAAGCTTGAAATTCCTAACTGTTTCAGATAATCTTATGTTAAGAGGGATATTATTCCATAAGTTAGGGCCAGAATATACTAGGGATTTTCTGAAAAATTCTTTCTTAGGTTGTGGAACAGCTAGGTCTGAACTTTTCGTAGATCTTAAATTGCTCTCATGTTTTTGTTGTACAAATTTGGAACTTACTTTGCATGTATTGTGGATATGGTTAACAAGTTCAAAACATAGAAATATGGATTTGAAATGCCTATAGTAACCCAAAACCGCTAAATTCTGTATGATTAATATTAATTGAGCTAATTCTTGGATGACAATTTTTAATGCACTTCAATAATAGCTTAGGCAAAAACTAAATTTTAAATATGGAAATAATAAGTTCATATCATGATGTGCCAAGTTATTTCAAACTCTTACAACAGTTTAAAAATTATGGAGTGGACTCGAAATGTCAACTTTTTAACTCTTGAAGTTTGAGTGTGACCTAATTATTGAGCTCTGAACAATGATGACACCATGTGCAGAGCGCAATCATTGGGTTGCTATTCCCAAGGTCAAGTTCACACTTTAAAGTCAAGTGTTAAAAAGTCTACATATTGTGTCAGCTCCATAACTTTTAAATTGCTGATTTTTAGCTCATCTGTCACAAAGTGACAGGGTGAGCTTTTTTGATCGCTTTTCGTCCGGCGTCCGGCCGTCCGGCGTCCGTCCGGCGTCCGTCCGTCCGTAAACTTTTACTTTAAATGACATCTCCTCATAAACCACTAAGCCAATTTCATCCAAACTTCACAGGAATGTTCCTTTGGTGGTCACCTTTAAAAATTGTAAAAAAGAATTTAATTCCATGCAGAACTCTGGTTGCCATGGCAACCAAAAGAAAAAACTTTAAATATTTTCTTTTAAAAAACCGTAAGAGCTAGAGCTTAGATATTTGGCATGAAGCATCTTCTAGTGAGTGTCTACCAAGTTTGTTCAAATAAAAGCCCTGGGGTCAAAATTGGCCCCGCCCCGGGGGGTCATTGATTTTCCCTATATGCATATAGTAAAAACTTAAAAAATCTTCTTTTAAAGAACCCATAGAGCTAGAGCTAAGATATTTAGCATGAAACATGTTCTAATGCGTGTTTACCAAGTTTGTTCAAATAAAAGCCCTGGGGTCAAAATTGGCCCCGCCCCAGGGGGTCATTGATTTTCCCTATATGCATATAGTAAAAACTTAAAAAATCTTCTTTTAAAGAACTCAAAGAGCTATGGCTAAGATATTGAGCATCAAACATGTTCTAATAGGTGTCTACCAAGTTTGTTCAAATAAAAGCCCTGGGGTCAAAATTGGCCCCGCCCCAGGGGGTCATTGTTTTTCCCTATATGCATATAGTAAAAACTTAAAAAAAATCTTCTTTTAAAAAACCAATAGAGTTAGAGCTAAGATATTTAGCATGAAACATGTTCTAATAAGTGTCTACGAAGTTTGTGCAAATAAAAGCCCTGGGGTCAAAATTGGCCCCGCCCCGGGGGGTCATTGATTTTCCCTATATGCATATAGTAAAAGCTTAAAAAATCTTCTTTTAAAGAACTCAAAGAGCTATGGCTAAGATATTTAGCATCAAACATGTTCTAATAGGTGTCTACCAAGTTTGTTCAAATAAAAGCCCTGGGGTCAAAATTGGCACCGCCCCAGGGGTCATTGATTTTCCTTATATGTGCATAGCAAAAACTTAAAAAATCTTCTTTGAAAAAACCCAAATAGCTAGAGTTAAGATATTAAGCATGAAACATCTTTTAGTAAGTGTCTACAAAGTTTGTTCAAATAAAAGACCTGGGGTCAAAATTGGCCCCGCCCCGGGGGTCATTGATTTTCTTTATTTGTGTATAGCACAAACTTAAAATCTTCTTTGAAAAAACCCAAATAGCTGGAGTTTAGATATTAAGCATGAAACATCTTCTAGTAAGTGTCTACAAAGTTTGTTCAAATAAAAGCCCTGGGGTCAAAACTGGCCCGGCCCCAGGGGTGTCATTGTTTTTAACTATATGTGTATAGTACATGTAAAAACTTTAAAAAAATCTTCTTTTAAAAAGCTCAATGAGCTAGAGCTTAAATGTTTAGCATGAAACATCTTCTTATGGGTGTCTACCAAGTTTGTGCAAATAAAAGCCCTTGGGTTAAATTGGCCCTGCAACGTTGGGAGGGGGGGGGGTTGGGGGGCCTATTTACAGGTGAGAGACCTCAGGGCCATCATGGTCCTCTTGTTTAAATTAACTTAGCTCAACTGATCACCATAATGAGACAACATGCAAAGCACAATAATTGAGTTGCTGCCCCAAAGGTCAAGGTCATACTTAAAGGTCAAGTGTTAAAAGTCTATATTTCTATCGTCTACATAACCTTTAAACCGCTGAAAAGTTTTTTTAAACAAGTTTGCACAGGTGACGACCATAATGAGATGAAGTACAGAGTGCAATAACTAAATTGCTTCCCACATAGTCAGGTAAATGTTAGAAAGTCTACATTTCGTGTCAGTCCATAACATTTAAACAGCTGCAATGTTTTTAAGATAACTTGGCAGAAATGATCACCATTATGACACCATTGGCAGAGCACAATGATCAAGTCATAAAACTAAAGGTCAGGGTCATACTTTAAGGTCCAGTTTATAAATAGTTCATGTCAGCTCTACAACTTACTGACAATTCAAAGGTTTTAAAATAACTTGGCACAAAAGATACCACACAATCTGCAGAACTCAACATCCAGGTTGCTACCTTCAAGGTCAAGGTTATATGTTCTCCATAACCTTTTGACTTTTTGGGAGATTTTAAATAACTTGGCACAAATAATCACCATTGTGAGACTATGTGCTTATGATATGCAAGGCACAACATCAAGGTCATGGTTGGTAAAAGGTCAATAAGTACACATTCATGACTGCTGAAGGGGATTTAGACAAAGTTTTGTAAACGCTTGGGGTCACTTAGTTTATAAAGTCTTGTACAAGAAATAACATTTAAGTTTTCTTTTGTGAAACAAATGCCAAGAGCTCAGACATTTGTAATGTAACAAGCATTGCTTCTATAAAAGTAACAAGTCATGCCCAAGAGGTAAAAAATGGCAACACCCTAGGGATCATTTACTTCACATAGACTTGTTTAATTAAATGTCTTAAAAATTTCTTCTCTGCATGAACAATGCACATTAGAAAATTTGCATCACCTCTATAAAAGTTATTATGCTTCCCAAAAAATTTCGGCGGAGCATATAGTCATCAGGTAGTCTGTCCGTCAGTCCATCCGTACGTACGTAATCTGGAATTCGTGTCTGGTCCATATCTTTGTTATTTGAAGTCAGATTTTTAAAACCTTTTCACAGAAATGATCACCATATGGAGACGATGTGTCGTGCGCAACATTTGGGTTGTTACCTTGAAGGTCAAGGTCACAGCATGACCTTGCAGCATTTCGTGTCCGGTCCCTAACTTCATTATTTGAAGTCGATTTTAAAACTATTTCACAGAAATGATCACCTTATTGAAACGACGTGTCGCACGCAACTTTTGGGTCACTACCTTGAAGGTCAAGGTCACAGCATGACCTTGCAGCAAAATCGTGTCCAACCCATAACTTTGTTATTTGAAGTCGGATTTTAAAACTATTTCACAAAAAATGATCACCATATTGAGACGATGTGTTGTGAGCAAATTTGGGTCGGTACCTTGAAGGTCAAGGTAACAGTATGACCTTGCAGCAAAATGGTGTCCAGTCCATAACTTCATTATTTGAAGTTGGATTTTACAACTATTTCACAGAAATGATCACCATATTGAGACGACGCATTGCCGGCAACATTTGGGTCGCTACCTTGAAGGTCAAGGTCACAGCATGACCTTGCAGTAAAATCTTGTCCAGCCCATAACTTCGTGATTTGAAGTTGGATTTTACAACTATTTCACTGAAATGATCACCATATTGAGATGACGTGTCACGCGCAACATTTAGGTGGCAACCTTTAAGGTCAAGGTCACAGCATGACCTTGCAGCAAAAGCATGTCCAGCCCATAACTTCGTTATTAAAAGTGGGATTTTAAAACTATTTCACAGATATGATCACCATAATTATTGAGACAATGTGTTGCGCGCAATAATTTTGGGTTGATTTTACACTTTGAACTTTGTCTGTGACATAACTCTGACACTACAAGAGGTATACCTTCCTGTGTCCAAAACCTATTCGGGGAGCATAACCCAGTTCAACCGACTCTTGTGCAAATCATGCCCTGGAGGTCACTTAGTTTATATAAACCTTCATAGTAGTAATTTCAAATTTACTAGTAAAATATTTTATGTGGTCCTCTACCTTTGGATGGAGATAAGAGGTTCTTAGATCAAGGTCAGCAGTATTAAAATGTATATAAAACTTTTGCACCCTTTATTCATTGACTGATGTTAAAATGATGATAAATTGTAGGTTTGGGCTTCTTCAAGTTAAGGTCACACTTGGTCATTAAATTAAAAATTTTATGCGCCGATTCCTA